AAAAAAAAAATCAATATTTAAATAACATTAAATTCGCTAAACTAACGACCAAAGGCAAGTCAAGATGCATGGCGGCGTTAGACAACAAAACAGAATTATGAGATTATAAGGACTCAGATTTCGTTGGGATAAACTACAAGACGAGTACAGTTGGATTTTGATAAGGAACTCCACAGTGAGATAGTGTGAGAGAGAAAATTTGACGAATACTTCACCGTACCAGTATTTGATCACAAGCCGTGTGTAGGTGAGAGGAGGCAACGAAAATTGAATGAGCACGTTGCAAAGTGCATGAGCTCGTTGCAAAGTGGACGAGCTCCTGCAAAGTAGTGCATGACAACGTTGCAGAGTGCATTAGCATGTTGCAAAATGCATGAACACTTCATCAATGTTAATAATATAGGTAATTGGCGTTTATGTGGTCCCAAAAAGTGCTTCTCACTTTTCGTCAAGTCATGAGATGAGTCTTCCTTGGCCTATGTCTTACCCAAGAACATAAACCCCGTCACATCTGAGGGTGGAGAAAACCATGTCCCTCAGTGAGGGCGCAGCGAGGAATGAGTCTATAACAGTAACCGTAAGACCACGCTTCTGAGAAACCTTAAAAGGTTCACGAGACACATCCGTTCCTTGTCAAACTCTTATGTTAATTATGCTTGGGATATTTTTTTAGGTAAGGACCAGGCCGGACGCCCAACTGTAAGCTCGGCGAGTTCGGATTGTTCCTTCAATGCGGGCAGCGTTCACGTCAAGTTGCATGGGGTGCTAGGTAAATAAAGGCAGATGTTGTTCTTGATAAAACAAAAATGCGGTGGTTTTAAAGGACACAAAGGGCCCTTGTAAGGTTTGGTTGATGGAGAGGCTGAAATAATATTAAAATAAATTTAATTGCAATTTTCAATAATGGAATTCTAAACCAGAAAACAACGCTTTCTAAAGTTTATAAGAAACCAATTGATAACTCATACATCGAGAAATGACTGGGTTGAGTAGAGATTGAACCCTGACGAGACATACAACGATTTGCGTTTGGCTGCTGCTATATTCTGCAACAGAAAAGGTAACTGATCATTTAAAGCTCACTTTTATTATTGCCCACGATTTCAGCTGGTTGTACAATCTGTTTTCCGGAAGCATCAGCAACTCCATCAAAAGTTCGCTCAACAAACAGGTATGATGATGACAGGTTACAATTTACACTGTTTCCAAACGAAAGACTAAATCCCACTATAGCTCCAGCATCTAGAGGGGAATGGTGAGCAATGAAAATAGAATTACAGCTGAATGGTCAGATAGCGATGGCAGACTGCAGTGAGGCAGCAGCAGCAACAACACTTTGGCGTAACGTATATTCTTCTACGCAGGAAGTCTGACTAATTTACGAAGCATTTGTGGCGCAATTGTTTGGAATTGAAATGAATTCAACTTTTCAATTCATGTAGGCAGGGAGAAAACTTGCCGTGACGTCACGAAATCGCGTTCGCTTTCTCCTTTGCGCAGAATATGAACCCGCCTTTAATAAGCACACGTGCACTGACAAGAAGATCAACATTATTAACCTATATAGCTCAAAAAAATGATTGATTTTGACAGACATGTGCCATGATAATCAAGGAGGTCAATACGGATCTACAGAAGCAGTTTTCCAAACTGAAAAGTAAGTTCAACTCTCAAGATGATCGAGGATTTTCGTTCTCTTCTATATTTTCTTTTTTACAAATCCAAACGTTCCTTTAAAGTGAGCAAAAATCCATTCAGGCCAGGTTCCGGGAAAAGCCAAACAACTTTGTCTGGTTCAATCCATCCAGTTCATAGACTGAACAGGTAATTGCAGCCAGCATATCGCGAGTGTCTAATCTTTGGCGAGACGAGGTGCCCGAGTTATCCTTATGGTGGAACCAGAAGTTCCTTAAAACAACACCTCCTTAATTATACGTCCCTCATCGCAGTTATTGCTATCTTTACTGGACTCATGCTCAAAACAACTTTTTGGTGTCTTCACGTGCAACTTTGTTCTGTCCATTTGTGCACCTAGTTTATGGTAATGAAATTATAAGACAGAGTATAGTTGGACCAAATGAGCAAGTGACCTCAAATAAGCTTCCCTCTGAACAGGAGAGAATCAATTGTTCCTAAAGTAGTAACAAAACAGAGATTATAAACACTTCAAGCTGTGTTCTAGATGTGAATGATTCTCATCTGTTCTACCCCTTCTTCCAGCCCAAGCCCCCATCGACCAGTATGCCGTGATTGACTACTCCTTGGTGACAGCTCCCCAATTCTCTGGCCACGTCGACACAGCCCACAAGGTGAAGATAGAAGCTGCAGTTATCCGTTCCAACAAAACAATTGATCAAAATTAAGATGTCTACAAAGGTCTCGGTAAAGTCTGTTAAAAGCTGCGCCAAGTTTTGAATCATTTTCCCCGTAGACTATCTTCTTTTGCCTATTATTTCGGAACGTCACAGTGGCATTCAGCCATTTTTTACCCACTGCTTTGCCACTTGATTTGACTAATTATTATGACGCAATGATAATGATGTCATGAACATTTCTGCCAATAGGGAGAGGTGTTCCCGAGGGACACGCCCCATAAGGAGGCGCCGTACACAGTGCCCGTCATACGGCCGGATCCTGACGTTTCCCGGCACGTTTTTCTCTGGGTCACCGATTACCTGTTTCAGACGGCTGCCTACGTGTACTACGAGGCTGGCAAGTTCGAGTTCAACGTTACTCAGGATAAGGTACGCAGACTGTGAAGATGTTTTGTTGTTGTCATTTTGGTCGCCAAAATAGAATATATATTAAAGCCAGTTTACCTAGCATTTGAAACCAATTTCTTTTTATCAAAGGACGTTTATTCCTTTTTCATTTATAGTAAAATCACTTAATTAATTAGTCAAAATGTAACTTAATTGATTCATTTTTTCAATTAAAACAGAACCTTTTTTTAGAAGGGCATGTATCGCCTTTTGATTTAGAATCGAAATGATTGTGTTTTTAATTCTCGAATTGTTTGTATAGGCCTATGCGATGGACATTTTGTTTAAGCACTAGAACCATTTACAGAAACCATGCTCAATGAAAACGTCAACAAAACTCCAATCAATTCCATTCAATTCAAATTATTAGCACCGTTTCGCAGCTGAAGCTGAATTACAGGTGTTTACAATCAGAACATTGTAATGCCTAACTTTTGTTAATAAAAACAGTTATTCGTTTTGTTGCAAATTTTCATTCAACTGGATGAACCACATAGGCTAGTGTGCTATTTGTAAGTTCCCAAAGAGTGAAATTATGAAGAGACGACTTTCAGTGAAAATCACCCTAACTGTATACTTTGAAAAGTAGTTACTTGTCTTAGTGAGTGAAAACTCGATCCATTCAATAAACTTTTTGAATGAATTTCACTTAAATCATCTTTTCCTTATCGTTTCAATTATCTTACTCGGATGGAGTGAATTTGCATTTTTTTGGTTAAAAAGAGACTTTGGTTCAACTTCAGGATAAAAAAATACTGCGATCTATATATACCGTTTCTGACGTCTCGTCATCAAGTTTTAGACCGTATAATGTATGAAAAGATCCACATTGGATTTGTGTTTTATTTACAGATGCCTCCTGGTAAATACAGCCTGAATACTTCCTCGTTCCTTGTCGAGTCTCTTTTGCCTAATGTGAGTAAAATGTGTAAAAACCTGTCCAAATCTACCGCTTGGTTTTGCTGATCTAATCGATTCGGCACGGTAGAGGAATGTACACAATGCTGAATTTTCGCTGGACAAAAATGCTCTGGGTTGGGTACCGGACATCACCTTTCTTAACTTAAGTCAAAATGTACGCGTTATCATTTCTCCCCTTGTATCTTTAGGCATCAATTAAAATTGCATGTCGTGCTTATTGAGGTAGCTTTTAAAAGGACGGAGGGCACCAAAGTGGGTTTGTATGTCGATGTGGTTAAGTTTCGAGGAGGTGGTGAGATTCCGAGGAGGAAGGCCCACCCCCTTAGGCCCCGCCCCTTCGGCCCTACCCTAATAGGCTTGTAGCTAAAATGATCTCTATTAACAATGCTTCGGCCTATTCTAAACCTCATCGACAGTCAAATTTTCAGTTAAATAGTATATCCAGCTTTTGCCATCTCACGATTATCTCTGGCCATCAATCACACATGTGTTCTTCGATCCCTCGCAACTGCAGGTGTCCAAGAAGTATCCGAACCTGCTGATGCAAGTAAACGCCAATGCCACAGCGCCGCCAGTGATTAACATCGGCGAGGACAATGTCAACGTCTCCCTCAAGGCCGACTTGGATTTTTTCGTCACCCTGCCCAACAAAACTCTGGTGTATCTCTTCACCTTGAACTCGGTAGGTGATTGAAAATGGGCACCTATGAAAAGTAGCACCTTCGAGCAAAGAATATCTCCCCCTTCCCCCCCCCCCCCAGAAAAATACTACAATCAGGAACCGACTATAACCTAAGAGTAAGCCTTGCTGTGCCATTCCACGCAAAGAAACTGATAACCTTACGGTATTTATTGCTCACAGACCATCAGTTGTTCGACATTGCTGTCGAGTGATGGCATGAGTCTCAAATGGATGACCGACTCCTTGAGGTAAGTCTCGATATGTTGGTCTTAAAAAGCGGTCTATGCACCGTGATTGCTTTTGGCCTAGGACTTCAAGACTTAACCCCACCTGTAAGTTGCATGCCGGGATGTAGATAAGACACCATTTAGTTTGGTGAGATTTGTCACAATTATTCAAATAATATCGTGTGTGTTATTTTTTTTATGTTTAGTATCGTGGTTGCTTTGAAACGGTCCGCCATCGGAAAAATCCAGGTAGGAATTTTACGAAAATTAGAGAAACAACCGTTCATAAGATTATTAACCAACGACTCAGCTGAATGCATTTCAAGATCTTCTTCCACTTTTGAATATCGGTATGTTTTTCTTTGAAAATTTCTAGATGAAACCGATCAGTGAGGCTGTTCACGCCCTGACAAGTTTCTTCCTCATTCCATGGATCAACGGTAAGTGACTTCGATTCACGATTTGTATTTTCTGCTTTGTTATAAAAATGGAATTTTAATAGACTGTTAACATTTTAGTCATAACTCATTAAACCTACCAATGTGCTATTGAATATATCACGAAGTATATACCTCATGCAATGCAGGTGTATTAGAGAATGTTCTTTGGTTATTATATTTTAGTTACAATGAGTAAGGCACATAATGTTAACCAATGTCTATCGAAGCGATACAAAACCATTTCCTTCTGTGGAAATGTGTGAAGGCACTCCCATATCCTTTGGGGGGGGGGGGGGTAACATTTGCTGTTTTTCAATTTACGTTAGGGGCGCAGAAAACATGTCTCCTCTCCGGAGTTGAGGAGACACGCAAGATTCAGAAGCCATTCTTTTCTTTGTCCTTTCATTTGATCATGCCAAGGCCCTTTCGAATGCTACTTTAGAAAGTCAGAGTGATGTTTTCAGAAATTATCATGATTAGGTTTTTTGTTGCTCTTAAACAGAGGAAGGAAGGAAGGGTTTCCCATTGCCTACCAGCCCTAACATCAAGTTGGAAAAAACAGTCATCAAGCAAGGAAAGGTATGACCGCATTTTTTGTTTGTTTTGTTTGTTGGTATTTTGTTGGGGTATTATGGCCATTCCAAACGGTGTCATGTAAACACAGTCTTCAGACGATTATTTGGAGTCGGGTATATACAGTAAAGTTATTTTTTAATTGAGAAATTGTGGGGCATACATTTGCTTTTATTTTCACATTTTCTTTTCTCTTCCTCCTATTCCAGGGCTTCATCAAACTTGCTGCTGACATCAAATTCACCCCTTCAGCTTTGCTCTAAAGCTCGGAGACAGCAGAAAGGCACAAAGAAAATCCAATTGTTGCACATGAACGTACACTCGTCAGAGTCTAATAAAAATGCGGACCGTGTCATCCAAACTACAACCACTCAAAATTAATGGTTCATTTGGAATAGGAATATGGTGTGATAAGAAATTATGAAACAGTGTTTTTTTTTCTTGAACGTGTTTTTTTTTGTATACCAAAGCCTGTAAATAATTGCAGTATAACGTTTGAGAAACGTGCATGTAGATGAGAATTGTCGTTCTTGTATTGTGTTATCAAATTTAATGACTATTTTGTCGTAAAGTAACAACATTGGAGAAACAATGTATAGATGATTTGAACAACTGCACAATAATCGTTTTTGTAAGAAGAGTGGCTCAACTAAGTTGTGTACCAGTGCGCCTTTATAACGAAGAAAGCATAATACCACTAGAATTGAAAACTAAATTTGACAAGTGGATTTTTGTTTCAGTGGGGCATTTCGGTTTGGGAGCGGGGGGGGGGGGGAGGAGGGCAAATTTGTCGTAACTTTTTAAAAGACCTTGTTACATGAATTCACATTTTGTAATCATATTTTTTTTAAACTTGGAAATCGATTATTATTATTATTATTCAAGTATATATTTCGTAGTGTTTAATATGCTGTATTTTGCTGTCTGAGTTCTTCAGCATTTAGGCCTACGCTAAAAGTTGCAATTATACGCGCTTCAAAGTCTGAAATTCTGTTCATTTTGCGCGGCCTCTGTTGGCCAAACTATTTTGCAACGGCAATAAAAAATGCTGAAGAGAGTGTATGGGGAATTCAGCGATTAAAACGTAGAATTAAAAACATACCGAAACTCCATTTTTTACAATAAGAATTTAAACATAATTGGTGCAAAAGGGACATTAAAGATAAGCGTGCAAAACGGCAACTTAAGGTTACTGTTCAATCTGTTATTATTATGCCCCCTAATGGGAAGCTTCCCCTTTCGGTTTTTTTTTTAATGTCGTTTGTATAATTTCTTTATTTATTTGTTTACATATTTCGCCGAGGCGGAATTATAATTGGTTTTAGTATCATCCTTCGCAGCGGAGTTCGGTACCATATCAAACGTCCAATAATACGCATGCGTGTCACATCGTAATTCGTGAAACGACACGGATGCTGCTGATTGGTTGTTATCCGTCAGCTGATCTTAAGTATGATGAAGAACATGGCGGCACTCGGTATGAAATACACGAATCTTCCACGTGGGATGAACACAAAAACGGATGTGGTGAAAATAATGTCCAGACCGGTGTTCTGAAAGGTTAGTGAATGAATTTGAAACATGATTGTTCTTGGAATTGGCTTGCGGACCTCGCCCTTCCACGAGTCTTTTAAAAGACAGGAGCAGCAGTATGTCTATAGTGGAGTCCGGTCCCTATAACGATATACGCGGCGCACCTCGAAGTTTCCCCCAATTTTACCCATCCAGCATTGTCAAACCTCTTTGTCGAACAAATTTCAAATTCATTCAGTTAAATACTGGTACTATTACCTTAATAATGCCTGCTGTTGAACCCTTGTGAACAACATAGTTTCATGAAATTCGAAATTTAAAAACGTTGGCGTCCGGATATTACGCACAAAATCGGCCGAGTGTTCCTATAACGTGGCGCACTTGAACAAATCTCAGAAATTTCCAAGTGAACACGAAAAAAAAAATGTTTAAAGTTGACAAATTTTGATAAATCATTATTATATCCACTCGCATGCCCAACAATGTGTTTGTTATAAATATAGTATTTGTTTTTTAATATATTTTCTTATATAAGGGTTCAACTTCACTGAGCACTTCAAATAAAAATTCGAAAATCTCGCGAAAGTTAACTTCTGTCTTAACTTTGTAACATATAATTGTAGCCTACATGTAGTTAAACTCGAGCTTTATAAACGGTAATGTTGAAAACTAAATTTTTTCACTTACTGCGAAATATGAGGTAAATGTTTTGCTCAAGGCACTGAAGGCGAAAAATCAAAGTGCAATTAAAAGATCTAATCATTTGCAATCGTTTTAATCGGTTGGGATGAGCTACCATTCGGCACTCCAGACTCAAGAACCATTGAGTTTTAAGTAAATAGGTCTTGGAACTAGACAAGGCAATGTAAGAAGCTCCCGTATACAAGGAAAACTATTAGCGGCATATTAATTCAAAGAAAACCACCAAATGCTATGTTTGCAGAGGAGCGCTATAGATAGAGGCTGGCTGACGAGTTCACCTATAAACACCCACACTGACAAATATTTTTTTTAATGCATTTAATAATTTTCCAGCGTCATGCCTTTTTTCATAGCTTTTTGTAAATTTGTAAATTGTTTGGAAGTTAGGAACGTTATTCATATTCATGTTATATTCTGTCTTTATAGTCCGAGTACATTCACCGCAAATTAAATGAATCACGATTTATAAGATACATTTTGGAAGCACCATTAATATGGAATCAATACAAAAAGGCGCTAACTGATGGCAAATATTTCAAACGTTTTGTTTCACAATGATTGTTATACCTGAACATATATGTTTATAAAGTAGACTCAATTAAACATCTCTTACTAAATTTAGTATTTATGGATATAAATTATCTTAACAAAATTACAATATTTACTTTGGAGAAAATATTACAAGGAAATTCTTCATGTTAACACCAAAATCTCTCAAATTGCCAAAAATATACATACATTAAATCACTTAACTTAAAACACACGAAATCAAGCAAACTTTTAAGGAGAGTATACTTTTGAACCATGTCCCAGAATGAACCATGTCCCAAAATGGAATTTGTAAAAAGAAATTGGGGGGGGGGAGACTGTTTGAAATTATTCTTTGGGTTTATTTTAATTGTCATAAATAATACACAGATGACTATTGAATAGTTAGAGCTAATCGGTAAATTCTACCAAATGATGACACCAAAAAAAGACAAGATTAACTTCTTAATGATAAAACTTTCCAGACGTGTATTAAATGTGATCAGAATGAGCACTGTAAACTAAAAACTGCCACATTTCTAACAAACACGATTGTCTACTGACTAATGTCCTGCAAAATTGCAAAAATCCACTTGCCCCACCCTCCAACATACAAGCTGAGGTGTCATTAGTTGACCAAAACACCTCCTTATGTTTAAACATATCTCTGCACAATATGGGCGTGCCCTACTCACACAATCTGTTCTGTGACTGGTTTCAACAATAATATCATCACAAGGATGAATTTTACGAAGAATAAAAACAAGCTTCATGACATCATTGTAACTTTCGGAAGACGACATTTTACCTTTTCAGAAGACATATTTTCTACTACTGTTATTCTGAATGATTGGACGGCACTATAACTACTTTTATATTTAGCCATGCGATATACAGATTAAATGCGTAAATGTTGCGTGCTGCATGCACATATTGCAATTTCAGTATTTGATTCAGATTTTCAAATATCCAGAAATACACTTATTGACGTTTCAATTAAATTCACATCAAGCTGGATAGGTTTTGAAACTATTGTTTCAAATAATTTTCCAGTGCTGGTTGACTAGATTTAAATTAATGATTATATAATACAACCAAGAAATTGACTGGAGCGAGGTTTGAACCTGTGACCTCCCAAATGCCGTACCGGTACTCTACCAACTGAGCTATCAAGCCCGATGTTGGCGGTTGCCCAGTCTGTCAATGTCTTTGATTTGATTTAAATAGAAATTTCAGCATATGCTCATGAGCCAATGTTAGGCCATCACAGTTAACTCCCCAGCTAAAGCAGGTACCCATTTATACTCCTGGGTGGAGAGAGACAAGTGGGGTGAAGCGGCTTGCCCAAGGACACAACATATGACCAGCAGCTGGATTCGAACCCCTGACCCCTGAACCAACCACTAGGCCGCACTCCCACTTGAACTCAAACCTGACTTAATCCAGTATATCAAAGTGGACCTTGGGTTGGTGGACCTGCTGTAGAAACTCCTCCACGATTCGGCCGACCCTCAGCACCGTGCTTTCCTGCCACCAGGCGCCCATGACCTGCAGGGAGATGGGTAGGCCTAGGGCGCTGTAGCCTACTGGGACGGTCAGGGCCGGGGTACCAGCAAAGTTGGCTAGGAATGCGTGCCTGGAGTAGAAGAAGATTAGATTGAAATTTTGGGGGTAGGAGAAATGAATGATTGCACCTGCAGGGATACTGGCAAAGTTGACGAGGAATGAAGTTACTACTGTGAAGAGCCGTGGTTTGAGACTTAAAATCTCGATGAAGAGGATGACCTCAACGTGTGTGATTCGTAGACTTCAGGTCACTCCAGTAATTGAACTCTTCACATCATTTTTCATTTCTGTTGAGCAGCATATGAACCGCCCTCCCCCCCCAATTGTTCGTGTTGGCAAATTGTTGTCTGTGAGCTAAATTATGTGTCCATCTGCAGACATTCCATGAATTGGCATCATCCATGGACTGATAGTGTCAACTATCTTTTGCATTAAACGTTGCTTCCCCATGATTCAGACGGTGTCCAGCCCCACCCCCCTCCCCTTATTGATTTTGCAGCGGCTGGGAAAACCAGCAAAATCTTCCCTAACTTCCATCACGAAATGATCTGTCAGCAAATTTGTTGTCATCTTGTTCCCCCTATTAAAAACTGTGGCAAAACCCTACACACTTGAGCTCTCTCTTAAGTACCTCATGGTGTCGCTGGTCATCTTGGTGTCCGTGAAGCCTTGCTCGAGATATGCAGGGTTGATCTTGGGAGCCAAGATGGCACAACCTGAGAATACATGTAAGATCAGTCGAACAGTACATCATCAAATAGGAGATGACGTAACTTGTCCAAGATGAACATGAGCTCTTCATAATTTGTGCACCAACCAATTGAAAGCTTGAAAATCAAGGCATTTTTTAGTATTCACTGTCCAACAATTTTCCAAAAATAATGTGTTTTTCATACCTTACTACCCCAAAGCTAAGTCCAATCCCTTTTGTTTATTTTTTTTTTTTTATTAATTATTATTTTACTCATGTTCATTAACTGCCACAAAATAATGTTCATAACCCCCCGAAAAACGAACAAACACCCCAACACCCCAAAAACACCCGACAAAACAAAAACTTATGCCGATTTTGTTCTATATTTTACATTTTTCTTTACCTGGGTTCAAGATGACATCCACTTTTTGGAAGATATCCTTGAGGAATGAGATAGTCCTAGTCTTCTGCTGTTGGGCCTGGATGAAATCTGTAATCGTCATGCTTTCTATCATGGACAGAGAGTTGCATTCTCAAAGTACTGTCACAAGCAAGAAAGGGGAAAAACATTTGAAAGTTTAAGTGTCTATTTACAAATGAATTGTAATGATCTTACAAAGTCTCAGCAATTCACAGGTGGGGGGGGGGGGGCTTGTCTATCCGACTATATGACTGGTTTGCTGTTGTCATCAAACATTGTCTTTCTGTGATTTCAAACATGGCATCAGCAAAGAATTTCAAATAAAACGTGTTAAAATGTGCAGCCTTACCTTATGATGAGCTTTCCATGCCGACATCAATCGAAAACTGACAGCCACTCAAGGGAATTTATTCAGTTTGAAGTATCAAATAAAGAGTGCCCACTTCTTATTTGAAAGGTTTCAGGCCACTGACTTGTTGATTAAGCCAGTCTTTCTGGCTTTGCTTGACAAGGAATGCTGAGTGAAGTTTAGCAAGTCATCATACCCTAGTGGATGAACGATGATGGGGATGATAAAGTCAACGTCGTTTATGTTGAAGTTTTTCACTGAAATGTTGATAGTTGCTAGTGAAATATCAAGAAAAGTCTAAATGAAGAGTATTACAACCAATGTTTGGAAGAGTAAGCAGCAATATGTTTGGAAAAGTAAACAAATCCAATTGTTTTGCAACATCCTAGTCGTTACATCTAAATTACACTTCAATCCCACATCATGTCAGCTTTGATTGTCTTAAGAACGCCTTAAATATCCACAGGTTCAACAGAATGTCCGCGACACAGCAAATGCTTTGAGACAATCTCCATAGCCCTGCGACGGTACGACTGTTTGAAGAGACAGTAAATGAAGACATTGAGGGCACTGTTGCAGTAGATCAACCACACCATCAAGAATTCCAGCCAGCCGGGAGGAGCAACCCCTGCCAAGGATTCCACAGATCTACACAGCATCAATGGCGTAAAACATCCGGCTAGTGTAAGGGTGACAACCAGGAATGCCTTCAGGGCTCGATTGTCGTAAAAACTCTGGTTCGTGTTCTGACTGTTGCGGTCGATTCGCCGGGCGTGCTCTCGGCTGATTTTAATCAAGCGGTAATAAACACAGATCATAATGGACACAGGTAATATATCCAGGACTATAAGAAATATGAGACCTCCATATTTACTTGTCATTCTGAGAAAACAGACAGCTGAGGAATCCAAATACTCCGCAGGTATCTCAAATATGAACTGGATACTTATGGAGTTAAACAAAGACAACGCCAAGAACACGAGTACTAGTGCAATAATGCGGTGTCGGCTGCACCAGATTGGGTACTTGAATGGCCGGGTGACAGCGATATATCTCTCAATGTTTAAAAGGACCACCGAAACACTGACATGAAGAAAACTGCCATTATTCCGACTGGCACTAGTTGGCAGCAGAATCGGCCGAAGGGCCATCTATCCATAGCCGAAGCCACGACGCCGAAAGCTGTCGAGAAGCCAATGAAGAGGTCTGAAACTGCTAGAGTTATCATCAAGACCTTGGTACTCTCGGCCAAGTCGGTGACGTGGCGAGTAACAGCAATGGAAAGGAGATTGCCAGCTATGATCAGAACTCCAAGACAGATGATAAAAGTGGTGCGGAAAGCAATGAGAACAGGCGACAGTTCGGAGGGCTCTGTGGACGAACTGTTCATTCTGATGCCTCCAAACAGCACAAATAGAAATGAAAATCTTGTAGGTTCAATATCCGTGTGAAGACGAGGGACAAGTTGTAAACCTGCTTGACCCCTGATAATTTGTTCTTCCAATCAGTTGTAAGTTTCCGATAACTGTAGATTGGAAAAATGACTTCAACTTATTACACACTATAATCACTCGTACTCTCCAATGCAAGTTTAAAAATTAACAAACTTGTAGATGTAAAACCTAGTGTAACAAAAAGGTTGGGTGAGAACAATTTCGCCTATTTGTCTGCAACTGTTTATCTCATGGACTGCTTCCAATTGGAGTGAAAGTGTCCCACTTGGTGTCTACGCTCATCATATGATGCCAGGCAAGTTGCCCAATTCACACAGTTACAATATCACATCTATCTGAGTGATGCTGCATCAGCCACTGTCGCCGTCAGAAAATCAGTGTTCCCAAGTTGACTGATGATGGAGTCACTGAAAGAAGTTGAGTCTGGCTAATGGATTTAAAAGCCTCTAGTCTCAGCTCCAACATGACATGATATCAATCAAGCACTTCCTCCATTAAGTGACACAGCTTTATCCCTATTGTCGTCCTCTGCTTATCCTCTCAAGTACAATAGACTGACGGATGGCCATTTTTCCATTAGCGAAATGGCTTTGTATTCGTAAGTACCAGCAGTACCAGCTTATTTGTGAGGTCATTTCTCTGAAATTCTGTCGTACAAGGTTGACCCAATTAATAATAATAATAATAACTGTATTTATATAGCGCTTTTTGCCAGAGGATACAAAGCGCTGGGGGAGAATGCAACCAAAGCCAGGTAAATGAAGTATATGAACATTATGAGACCCATCAATTTCAGGCAGAGGTTTAAGCCACGTTCACTCCGTTTGTAACTATGTCCCTATCAAATGATAAAACGAGAGGAAATGATGACTTCTTCATGAGTAACTGATGATCAGAACGTTAATTTTTGTGACATTTGAATCATTTCACAGTGGTGTACAGAATTCCTTCTTTTAGCCAGAAACAATCCTGGGGTTTTATTTCTAACACACAATTTTAATTATCAGCGATCAGATATCTCCTTTCTTATAACAAAACCATGATCACATGACAAAAATATCCAATGATTGCCCGACCCCCCCCCCCCAAAAAAAACCCCATTAGACCGACCCTAAATATTTAGGTGCATAGGGTTGGCATTTCAATGTTTTTATTTATTTTATTTATTTTACTCACATTTCATGTATACGTTTTTGAAGTGGGCAATTCCACGGTTACTCACGTTACATTTTTGATGTACTTTCGAGTTTCCTTGGGCTGTAATTACCTTACTGAAAAGGTTTTACTAAAAACCATTATGTGGAGACACACCCCTCCTTATTCCATTTCTTTTCAATTCAAACATTACTGAACCTGTTTGATACACACTTAAGATAATTGGGGGATGAGAAACTGCGCTACAAATGCAAGGAAACGCTGTTATTGTCACAAGCAATGGTTACTTCAAACAAAAAGACTCTGTTATGTATATCAGGTCTTGCACTACAGCTTCACTTTACATAATACAGTGTCTTTTGTTTGAATGCCTAATAATTGACTTACGTGTTCTTCAAACTGGTTCCAGAAGGATTCCTGCAGGTTGCTTCTCATCTCAGATAAGATGGTCAGGATGTGGGCCACTCTGGCTTCCTCCAACTCCGGGATCTGTATGCTGACCACCTCAGCTCCCCGGGATTTCAAGAAATCGACAGCTGAGGGAGAAACATGCATACTGGGCTACTGAGACTTCAACAATTAGGAGGTCCCTGGGACTTGGACATATTTGGTCATTATGAAGGACCCTGGGATTTTGATTTTTGAACATGGTCATGCAACCCTGGGACATAAACAAGGCCCATTATGAGGACCTGCAACACTGGCAATTACTTTGTTATTTTGAGAATTCTGAGAATTTGACAAATATTACGAACCCTGGGACTTTGGTAGGTATCTTTGTTATTTTGAGAACCCTGGGAATGGACTGTTGTGGATTTAGCCATTATGCCCAGCCCACCTTTGCTATTTCTTGCATTCTTTGACCAAGCTACCATGGTCACCTGACTAAAAGTCCCAATCTGATTGGTCAATGCGAACTGTTTGTTTGAAAGGCAGGAGGAGTCAATATAGAGATATTGGGATTTGCAATGACATGGTGACGAGCACCCTCCTGATTTTGAGGAACTGGATTTGTTATTTTGAGAACCCTAGGAATTTGAGAAAAAGATTTTTATTTGTAATTATCAGGATCCTGGGACTTTAATAAATATGTTTGAGACCCTAGGAATTTGATAAACGTTTTTTTAATTAATTATTTAATTTATTTAATTATGACCCTGGGACTTTGATTAATATCTTTGTTTTGGGAATTTGACAAATAGTTATTTTTCAATTATGAGGACCCTGGGACTTTAATACCTCTGTTATTTTGAGAACCCTGGGAATTTTACTACTAATTAATTATGAAAAACATGGTACTTTGATAAATATCTCTTTTTTTATTTTGAGAACGTTGGAATTTGAAAATAGCACAGACGGTACTTCTTTAAAAAATGAATTGTTATTTCAAGAATCTTTGACAAATACTTAGTTAGTGTAAGCACCCAAGGGATGTTACAAACATCTTGCAAGCTTGGAAGTGTTGCAGCTTACATATGCTTTGGAATTTCATTATTAAATTTTCATTCTGTTAAAAATCCCTGAAACACTGACATCAGAAACAAAATCACACGCATACCTTTTTTACAGCATTTGACAATTTCTAGATCAGCGTGCTAAAAGGAAGAAAGAAACACAGAAGGCACAAGTCAAAAAATAAGATGAGAAATCTAAGGAATTATTCCAAGCAAAGATCAGCCTATAGGGATATCTTATCAGAAGACAAGACAATACATGGACCAAGACACTCAGAGAATGACTCCCAAGAAATGCCAGCAATAAGAATAGGAAATTCACAAAGACACACCTGGAAGAAATCCCAATAGATCCCCAAACGGAAGCCCTTGAGATCTGGCTCATCAAATCCTGTCAGTTCCACAGCCGGGGGGTCCATGGGGAAGTCGTCATGGGGTGACAGCCCGGACATTAGGGCTAGACAAAAAACAAACAACACATACATATTCCAAATTATATTGTGCCAAATACTGCATTACTTGAAAGACTCAAATGATAAAAAGTAGGAAAACACAACTTGAAATGATGAGCAAAGATTTCATTAGACACTGATTCAAAAGTACCTTTCGTTTGATTTTGAGAAACAATTTCCAAAATTTGATTAGTATTACACATTTTAATTTTTGATTAGTATTGGCAGGACAAAATTTTGACCCTAAAAAAAGCTATCATACCGAAGTGTGTGGTCCTCACAACTCCAGAACAGTAATGTGTGTTAGCCGTGATCGCGTTTCGGGGAATTGTTTTTTAATTGTTAATAGGGAAATGAGGATAGAATTGTGGGGACTTTCTGCTGTCCCCACATCATCTTTGGTCCCCATAATAAGTATCGCTCATAAGGTGTGTGGTTCCCAGAACTACGGAACAAGTATGTCTGCTCTAGTATTACATACATCCCGAAGACAGACACACAAAGAGAGAACGACAGCTTCTTTGTTGTCCTCGAATGTACATCTTTTGTTGAAAATGGTCCTCGTGAGTTATGTGTTTTTCTGTGTAAAGTCTTATATAAATCTACTCCAGCATGTTTTTCACATGGCAATACTGACCATACGTGATAGCGGCATCCCTGACACTGGTGCAGAGTGGTCCTTTGGCACCGACAGAACTGAAGGGAACCGGTGATCCGGACCACGAAACCCGGCCGAAAGTTGGCTTCAAGCCAACCACGCCGCACAGTGTAGCTGGTATGCGTACGGATCCACCACCGTCTGTACCAAGGGCCACTGGACACAGCCCTGTGTTAGCGTGTAGAAAGGGGAAGTAGGAGACAAAATAAAATAATTGTACTACAAAAATCATGAACCTCTTTAACAAAAGACTGCAAGTCATCAAAAGTCATCGCAAGTCAAGCACAAGTCATTGGCAAAGGAATGCCTTTGCCACAGCTTACTTGATTTTAACACAATTCATTTTACTTGAAGGGACACTGGATTGACGTGGGATTTGAAATAACTCAATTGTGATGATGAATCATAACGACTTGTGATGACTTGTGACGTCTTGTGATTATTTGAGATTGACTTGTGAAGAGAACAAACAAACAATTTTTTTTTTTATTTAAGAATGTATGTTTTTATTTACAACAGATTTGTAGTCATGTCACAAGCCAAACTTACCTGCAGCTACAGCAGCAGCAGAACCGCTTGAACTGCCGCCGGTGAAGTGGTTCACGTTGTATGGGTTACGCGGAGTGCCATGGTACCTGAAATGTCATGAATAATGTCCACCGAATTTATTCCAAATTAGCTTTGAAGATATTTACCTGTTAAGTTTTGCACTTTGCAGAATTGATAAAAATGATCTGCATTTCGCAATATGTTTTTAAGTATACTTCAGGAAAGAGAACAGGCCTTTTATAGAAAAACAAACACATCATGGAGGCAGTGACGTATACTTTGTTAAAATATTTCACAAGTTTCCAGATGTGTTTCTACGTGGGCCACTCTGTTTGCAGATTTACAAATTTGCTTTTAATTTTAATAGAAGATACCTTTATTTTATTTAAACATCATATTCATAGGGTTGGAATATTTGATTGTGTATTTTCTAAAGAAATTCTGGCCTTTGTTTTCTGTTCAAATTTCTCAAGATTCAAAAAGTTCAAAAAGTTGTTCCAAAACATGTGCATCAAATTGATCATGTTGCAACCATGTTGATTTTTTCCCATTCAAATCAATGTAACCAAAGCGAGGCTGAAAGGAAAAACAGTCTGGTTCCTTTTTGTACAAAAAAAAATTATCATTTGACTGTTTTTGGATACAGGGAACATGACTGTAATGGTGGCATGATATAGGTGTATCTCCTTACTTGCTGATGTTGATTCCAGTGGTTCCCATGCCATTCTCCTGCATGTTAGTAACACCCAAGATAATGGCTCCCTTAGCCCTGAGCCGACGGATAGGCTCCGAGTCCTTCTCACTGAGTGAGTGGCCAAGAAAAGTCGATCCAAATCGCAGATGGTGAGATGCCTAGGAACAGTGTGCACAACAAGTGATAAATTCTTCGTCAAAAAAGAGATTCATTACAAGACTCAAATGCTACTACTTCCCTGCACTTACCCACTTGGTGATTTTTATTTGGCCATTTTTGAATCTAACTCACTAAATATCTCCTTTTTTTGTAATAAAAAGTTTCCATCAAATAGATTTTGTGGAAAACTTGTCGCACTCTGGTCCCATAAATGCAGTTTGATGAGGTATATTTAAAAGACAATTATATAAACTTGACAATTCAAATAATCCTAAAAAGGATAAATACATTATTGTGTTTAAGTTTTGTAGATACAAAAACAGTGAGCATTATACCTGGCTGCGGACGACAAGTGACATCATGTGGATTGCCCTTGACATCACAGACACAAAGCAATCTTTTTTTTTTTTCGGAAGAAGCACAAAGAAACATTTTTCAGTGGAAAATCAACAATTTCTTAGTCTGTAAAACGTTAAGAACTTACCACCCTGATTTCATCTTTGACTCCTATAGGTATGCCATCAAAGACTGACAGTGGCCGCCCGTTGGCAAACCGCTGAGTAGATGCTGTAGCTGCCTATCAGAGAGGAACAAACAAACAAACAAACAAACAAACACAGTAAAAGCAAATCTGATTGGTTGACTGGTATTGGTCAGTTCACAAATCAGCCAATGGCCACATGCGTTGGTAACACCGTCATGTGGTGAATTTCCTCCAGCATACAAATAAAACCAGCTTATCATCACAAATTGGAGATTGATATTACAGTATCCTGTTGCAAGGGGAGAAATTAATAAAAAAAAAATCGAGCCAAAATATACAATTATGGGTTGACCTCCCCCCCATGGGCATTACTGAAATTTTTACTAACTTTCCTACCCTGATACATAGATAAATCAAAATTATAGAAAAAGTGAAGTAAAAAAAATACTTGTATGCATAAGCTGAAATTATAATCAGTCTTCAACCATTTACCAAAAAGTGTCCACATTTTCCCATAGTTTGTACTTTTTTGGGCTGAGAAGTTTTTGTGTCTACATGTAATTTCAGCCTCTGTGCCAAATCTCCGCCCCCAAAAAATACAAAAATCAAATCTTAGAAACCCTACACCCCCCCTCGAATGCCGAGATGAGAGGCTGGCTGAAGGAATGGTGTACTTATGACACAGAGATCCCATTTTCTACCTTTCGAATTTCTTCCGGGTTGCATTCCACAAACGCCCTTAGTTTCGGCTCCACTCTATCAGAACGTTCAATGGCAGCTATGGCCTTTTCTGCAACATCACTTGGAGTGAACTTACCTGACCTACAGAATAAAAAAAATGTAATTTATGCTACAAAAAATACAACTTTTGTTTGATTTGAAAATTAATCAAAATAATTTTAAATGATTCAAAACTTTATAACAGTTATATTTTTGTGTAACTGAACTGGGTACAAAAACACATTTTTGCCAAAGAAAATTTGTATTTTGGGCAATGATTTTGAAGGGTGGTAGCTGAAAATGTTTTAATCAGGAGGCAAATAGAAAAAAGGATTTTGCTTTCATTATATGCGTAACTTCGATCAAAATGTGCAATGAATAATAGATCAAAAGGAACGTTTAAGGAAAGATTACCACCACCTGAATATTTTTACTAAATTAATTTTTCACTACATTTTGTGAAAATACCAATATTTTTATTCAAGTCCCATAAATCCATATCCTCAAATATTAATGCTTTCAACTCTTTCCAGCTAAATAATCAAGTCTAAAAATTGGATAAATCACATCTTTTCTGACCTATTTTCACACAGAAGAGATTAAGAATGACGGATTTTCATACCTGTATCCTTCATAAAAATCCGAAATCCCTTTGAAGCGGAAGTCTGATTTCGGCCTCTTATCCCCTCTCTTCAGTAGGGCATCCAGGTCCAGAGGGCCAGACTCTTTGCCAGCTGTACGCCCTTGCCATCGAATGAGAGGGTAAAATGTAGGCGGATCCTCCATTAGAATATCACGGAAGATAAACACATTTGCCATCCTAAAATTAACCAAAAAATTATGGTGCTGCATAAATTTCATTTTTGTACATTTCATTTGAACACTGTAAACAGAAAATGCAAACCAACCATGATATTATATGATTTTACTTCCATTTTGGGCAGAATATGGTACTTATTGTTTGATTTTCTACCCGAGGTTCTATATTTACGGTCCACAGAGAGAAATTCTTGGCAACGGGAAGGGGGGGGGGGGGGGGGGGTGTTTGCTACGCCCTATTCTATAATAAAAAAAAAACAAAGACTAAATGAAACATACTGCGTACAATGTCAAAAACTTGTTTAAGACTCAACAGATGATATCTCTATCTCGCAAGATTGTAAATGTGCTTAAAAGACCCACCCTTTTCAAGTAGCATTTAAAGGGAATATACATCATTTGCTTTTGCTGTAATTTTCAGAAATGGATGGAATTGGGGGGTTGGAAATATAACGCAAATATAGTTACACTGACTTTTTGGAGGTTTTGGGTTCGAAAATGCTATAAAAACCAAGAAAAACGATCATTTTCCTGTAGTCTGGTTCCCTGACTCCATATAAGAAGAAACAGAGCAGTTTACATACATTGGGGAATTGTAAGGTCAGGGAACCAGTCTAGCTGGCTCGTACCCGTTCATAGGTTCGTAATCGATTGCAGACAAGTGCAATGGTCAATTGGGGCCAGTATTTGAAAAAAAGCCAGTTGTTTCCAACGCTGATCGGCCGATCAGCGTTGGAAATTGATACAAAAATACCACTTTTCTTGAAAATGACAGTATACCAGGTGCCATAATTTTACAGGATGCTTTAGACTGTCATTTACCAACATCCTATTAAGGTATTTCGCAAAAACTTGGTAGTTTTATTTTCCGATGTTAGCAAATGTTGTATATTCCCTTTAAATACATTTATTTCTCATGTTGTATTACTGTTTCTTCTTCATGTAATTTTAATTTTTTGTTCTAGTTAACTTTTTTTTCCTCCTTTAGCATCTCATTTAGGTGGATCTGACTGGCACATTATACATTTTCTATATTATTATTATATGAATATAAAATATGACACCATAAGGCAGGCCTTATGTATACTTAACCAGCTGCCAATTTATTTCATTTTTTTTGTGAATGCAATTTTCCAACTCACCGATTTATTTGATCTTTCAGGCCTGTAGCTCTTCCAACAGTCTAGACATAAACCAAACATATTCTGTTACCACACGTTAAATTGTGGAATTGTGAATTTAGTTTGATGAAGTACATGCATGAAGCTTTTTTGGCATTTGATTTTGAAATTCAATATAAAAATTCAATTTCTAGAATTCTATTGTATTATTTCAATGAAAAAAAGGAATTTATGAGCTTTTATGTTCCTTGTTTTATTTCTGTTATTGAACACTGTTGGCTGCAGTCAAATTTGGGAATTCCCTTCCATGCAACATACAAGACCACAAATACAGACCTCGAATAGAAACCATGAATACAAAAACAGTACCTGCATCATGCCATATCTTGCATTCAAAACTAAAACTCCATGACCTCAATGTTTATTTTCCTAGTATAGGCCCTACCTGTTTATATCCAGGAAGAAATGAAGTGCATCACACTGTGAACTTTAAGCTATTTGAATACAATGCACATGTATTTATACTTTTGTTTGCTGTTGGATGAACCATGATACTATAGACTCTTTGGAATGTATGCGGACTGCAGTGTAATGTCTGGTAAACTGTAACTGATTAGAACTCGCACTATATGTACTATAGAAAAAAAAACTTGAAATCATGACCTTCACAACAACATTTTTGTATTTTTGTCTGTGTAAAAATTATCTATTATATTTATATGTTTCTATGTAGTCAACTTTTTTACAGAGCTTGAGGAATCAGTAAATTACCGATGTTAATTGTTTTTGACCTTTAATTTGGCTGAATAAAAGTTTTATATCTTATCTAATCTAACAGATGTTAGATTTTGTTTGAGTAGTAAATGTCACATATTTGGTTGAATAAAAACAATACAGAGTCTATATTTCCATTCTCTGTGGCTGTTTCAAAATTTAGAAAAACATTCCAGGCAATAATTTAAGGCTCACACCCCCCCCCCCCCCCCCCCCCCCCGATGCCCCCAACCCCGAGACCAATTGCCATCATGACAACAAACCTTTCTAAACTTGAATATTTACCGAATCAACAAGGTTGAAGACAACTTTAGCAACATTTCCTGGTAAAGTTGGTGCTCCCTGTGAAGGAAACGAAAATTCACTTATTCAGGCTGAGCAGAACCAAACCATTGGAAAAAACTTTCTCTGAGTCTGGGAGGACTTTTTAAATAAAATGTCAATGCACACTACACAACAAATAGAGGTATATTTCCTCTTCTCTCACAAAATGACAGCACTACTACGCACAATGATTTGGAGGATGCTTGATCCTATTATTTACTTGCAATCAAGCAGTCTTTTGGCAGTTTTTTTTAATGTTTGCAAAATGGTGTCCATACTTTTGAACTGTGTATAGAGGAAACTAATTGGTCACCTTGCTCTGAATGTTATAAACCACAGGCTGGTCAGGCACGCCTGGTTCTCTCTTCCTGAAATTCCGCTTGCCTCCACTTCTCCTCCAACAAAACAGCCAGAATGCAATCCCTGCAAACCCTCCAGCAGCTAGCGTCAGCGCCCATGGTAAATGATCCATCTTGCGTTCCATATTGCCCCAAGCTGTGAGAAGGGCCTGCCTGTTGGGGGGGTGGGGGGGGGTGGAGGGGAAGTACAGAGTAAGAATGATGATGAGGTCCATAAAGGGAGAGCTTAAAAGTTGGAGCATTTGAAGCATTCAACTGGGAATGTTAATTCTTATGAATAATATGATTTTCAGTGAAATGTCATTTTTCAAAACTAAGCCTACAACCTTTTTGAATAACACACAAATCTGGAAGGATGACCCAATGTCCAAAAACTAACAATGTCCAAAAACTATAAATTATAATAAAATTAAAAACTGAGCAGAGATGACCAGATTTTCAGATGGGTCAGTCAGTCAGATGAGGGCAACCCAACAATTTTTTATTTTTGCTTTATACAGCTGTTCCTTCTGTGCATCAATTTATGGGCAACCGTGTGTTCCATATAAATCCACTTTGAATTTATTTAACTTTTAGTTACCAAATTGACGACTTTAAGAACTTCGGTACATCATAAAAAGACGCCGGCAGGGTTTCCAATTATTGAGGAAAATTTGGGGGTAAAATGACGATGACAACGGCAAAACACAACACAAAAATGAAGATGGTGATCACTGTGATGTACTGCAAGGTGCGCTGAATCGCGCGGCACCAACCGTAAACCATGTTTGAAAATCACAACTTCTACCATGTCTGTTAACCCCCACTGACAAACTGTTTAAAATTTAAAAAAAAAAGGGTCATATTCTTATGACTCATAAGAATTGATGAGAGAAGTCGACTTTATAGTTGGAAGGGTATTTTTGAATTTAAAAAAACCACCCGTGACTCTAATTTGATCGAAACTATAGCAATTTAGCATGCATGTATAGATCTGAGGTGAGGGGCCCGTAAAATTAATTCGTCTATGCAGGCGGCCTGTTTGGGCGTTGGCGTTGCTAATGGGGGGGGGGGGGGCTGGCAAGCTCGTTTTTATGGCCACGCGGTAGACTGTAGAGTAAACTCCGTGCTAATTACTCCAGAGCGTGGCCATAGAATAGGGCTAGCCCCGCCCCCCCCCGCCCCCCCCCCCCCGCCCCCATCGGATATTGAAAAAATACATGCATCAAATCAAAATTATATTTTTGGATTTTCCGCACAAAACGGGTCTTAGTCATGTTGGGTCGTCAACAAATTATACTCACGTCACAACTTTTGTCCGCGTGTTCTTGCAAAATGAGCGGGAGAAATTTCCCTTTTTTGTTTACGTTCCGCCCTCTATCCAGCGCGGGCGCTGCCGCTTGAGGGCGCAAGTGCAACGCAACATGCTTCATTCATTCATATCGGCGTATTTACAACTAGGCTAGATTTGTTAATGTTTGTTCATTTTGAAAAGAAAAAACTCGGTAAATTCGCTCACCAAAAATGATATGCGAACCTGAAGACGACGACTACAGTTCTGATGAGGACGAAGATTATTTACCATCAGGTAAAATTCAGGTGCAATAAATTAAAAGCAAACAACAAAGAAAGAACGCAGTGGCTATTGTTACGGCAGCCGTAACGCATTTCCCATTTTCTATCGTTACGGTAGACTGCAACCTGGCAACTTTTATAAAAAAAAACATGACAAGAAAATATAAAATTAGAAGGAAAAAAGTGAATTTGAACTTTATGAAATTCGGACTTTATTTCCCTTTTAAAAAAAATCCTCCAAAGCCTCAGGTTAGAAAAGGAAAAAAATTCGAGTGCAAAACTGAAATTCGAACCCGCAACCTCGCGGTGCAAAATCCTACCCTCTATCGGCTGAGCTGGCGCACTGCTCGACAAAACGTGGGGAAACAAATAATTATATACCTGCGTGCGTATCAAAAAAAATCGTAGAGGGCGCTAAACAACGAGTGCCGTAACGATAGCCACTTCGAAGAAAGAAAGAGTGAGCCTGTTTCATCTTTTTTTAAATGTAATGTTTTGATTGATGTCTTGATTCTTATGCAAATTTGATTATTATTAAATTTTTTACTGTAACACTTACAGTGTCAGTGTAAATTAATCACTTTATCAATCCGTCTTTGGCGCATGCATTGTTAGATGATGTACGAACATGACGAAATATATATAAATAAATAATAAAACTGCCCGATTAGGCAATTAGGCCCAAAAAAAATATATAGGATTAGGCCTATTCGGTCTCTGGTCAGACCAAAGTTCCGGAATTGACGCGGCCACGCAGCTTTTTTTTTTTTTTTTGCTTTTTTTTTTTTTCTTCAAGACAGACAAGGTGGGGTACTACTATTTTGTTTTTCGCAGTGGCTATTGATTGTTACGGCAGCCGTAACGTATTTCCCATTTTCTATCGTTACGGTAGACTGCAACTTTTATAAAAACATGACAAGAAAATATAAAATTAGAAGGAAAAGAGTGAATTTGAACGTTATGAAATTCGGACTTTATTTCCCTTTTAAAAAAAAATCCTCCAAAGCCTCGGGTTAGAAAAGGACAAAAATTCGAGTGCAAAACTGAGATTCGAACTCGCAACCTCGCGGTGCAAAATCCTACCCTCTATCGACTGAGCTGTCGCACTGCTCGCTAAAATGTGTGGAAACAAATAATTATATACCTGCGTGCGTATCAAAAAAGTATCGTAGAGGGCGCTAAACAACGACTGCCGTAACGATAGCCACTTCGTTTGTTTTTTTGGTGTCCTCGTGTACATTGGTGTCCTCCCTAATTTGCCTTGGGGCTTTCGATCATTTGCCTTGGTGCAATTTCCCATTGCTTGGTGCTCTTTGGTAAAAAAAAATGAGGAGGTGCGGAAATAGAGGGCGCTGTTGGAGCTACCGCGGAACATTTTGGAAAAAAAAAGATCGACGCGCATGATTAAAATCGACGCGCGCGCTGACCAGAGACCGACTTATTTTTTGTTTCGCCTTATGGTCGTGGTGGCAGGTAGACCCGTGAATGTGGCTATACATAGCTACGCTTCAATCAAAACACTCTATTGGGATCCACAGTTACTGTGATTGAGTCACCGTTCTAGCGGAATTTCGGCTACATTTGACAGAATATTTGCATACAAAAATGAGTTGTACAGAAAATCCAGCAGAGTATTTTTTTTGGGCAGAATTATGTAGATGATGGACAATGAAAAAGATTAGAGAAATATGGGCACATTTGGTTTGAGAAGCCTTCGTTTTTTGAAAGATCCCTGAAACAAACCCTTACACAATGGATCAGCAATATATACTGGGTGATTGGCAGACTTTCGAAGTGGATTTAGCAGAATTTTATATGGTATTACGGTCATCCTGCCATGTAAGACTGTTAGTCGGTTAGTCGGGTACCCACTGGTGGGTTTTCTACCGTTTTGCGCATGCGGAACTCGGGGTACCAGATTGTCATGCCTGTCTTTGATTTTCTGATCATTTTGAAAACATTCGTTGTGACAAAGTTGTGCCATATTTTACTTCGAATTTCTTGACAATGACAGATCCAACACTTGCATAAATTCACAGGAAGCCTAACAAGTAAGTGATTTACCTATTGGCAAAATTATATGTGGTTATATGTAGCGGATAAAAAGATATCATGATTTCGCTTGTATTTATGCGAGGAAGCGCGTGGCGTTGTATACAACGCCACGTTCATGGGTCTAGGTGGTGGGTTAGCTTTGTTAGGTTGGATCGACTCCGTTGTGTTCATATTTTTAACGCATGGAATTGGAAGAAGCTGAAATTTTGTTTACAAATTCCTTTTGTCCAGAATTATGCATACGCCTGGGTTAGAGAAGATAAAATGTTCTTGGGCGACGTGTTTACCAAAAATTATCGCAGACCCAGGCTTTTGTTGAAAACATCCTGCACAAACTTCTCGTGCATGTCGTGTGAAGACTTACATACTGTACATGCTGAAGCCCTGCATGTAATGGCAGAGAAAGTGTGTGTTGCAGTAGTAGAGGACTTATGCGCAAGTGCGTATCATACGCATAAGTTGTGCTGAGAATGTTTTTGACAAAAGCGTAAGGTAAATATATGAGGAAAAAAAGGGGTTATAAATGTTTTCGGTATGGTAGTTGAATTAATAACCTGGACGTCAGTCAAAATACGATGAAGACATCGTCTATGCAAGGAAGACATCGTCTAACCTGGGCTATGCACTAGACCTGCTCACGAGGTGCCTTCTAATTCTAGACTGAGTAATTTGGGCCGGCCTTCTGTACTTATCATCTTTTTAACATTTGGACATAGTCCCAATGTACAGGACAAACATGGTAAGTGTGTAGTTTACGACACCTCTTTTTTTACGCAGTGGCTATCGTTACGACAGCTGTAGTGCAATTTTCAAATACTATCGTTACGGCATTGTCATGATTGTAAAAATACATTGCAAAAGTATCAGATTTATAACTAACTGCCCATCCAACCAGAGCGCATCAGTAGCTTGATTGGTACAGACCTTAGCTCAATGAGCTGATCTATATCTCATGAAAAAATGGTTTTAGGAAATCGGCCCAACAATTTTTTGAGAAATCAGAGTATTTATCAATACCAGCATTGGATTTTCAGCTTGACAAAATGTACTTTTTAACAGTTTACATTTGCACACTAGATATGTGCCCATAAGTAACTGCATGCATGCATTAACGCTACGGAAAAATATTTCTCTTTGTCAGGAGAGGCAAGTGAAGGAGAATCTGAAGATGATGATGTAGAAGAGGAGGAAGGGTGTGAAGGTGGTGAGGTCAAGGTTCAACAGAAGTCAAAGGTCAAGAAGGGCAGAAGTAAGAGGAAACGAAGACAAACCCCAGAAATAAAGAGGTACAGAATTGTAGCTTCGAAATCGCTTATTTTCTTTGTTGACTTATCTCATCCCTTCCTATCTCTGCTAATCAATTATTTTCTCCACTTAGTGAATTTCTGTACTTAAAAGCCCCAGTCTTAAGATTAGTACATGTCTGCCCTCACAGGAGCAGAACAGGAGGCATCCAACTTCCGGAGAAGGAGGGCACAGAGGGACCCGCCCATGAGAAAGATGCGGAGGAGGCAGTTGGGACCTTGTTCAAGGAGGAGGAGTTGAGAGCGGCCGAGATGAGGAAAGAAGAGAAGCAGAAGCAGAAAGCTGATGATCTTTGGAGTAGCTTCATGAAGGATGTTGGCCAGAAACCCAAGGCCAAGATGCAGTCATCTGGCCGAGACAGCTCCAGCTCATCGGGGGCAGCATCAAAGCAGGTACTGAACCAGACTAAATTGAATATTCATGAAGATTTTATTTCAAAAGAGCGATACATGTATATCCATTAAAAAAATATGAGAACGTTGCACAGTAATGAAAAGTTATAGAATATACAACAGTATATTACCGGAGCTGTGTCTAAACTACATTTTTCACTTTATTGTTCTCTTAAATTGTGTGTAAAGGCACATACATGCAGGATCATTTGAATTTATCCCAAAAGTACTGGTTTGCTGGTTTGGCACGTTAGTTCGCACAACAAATTTTAATTTTGAATGTGCACAAAGCCATAGCAATGTCTCTCCTAGTGGTCCCCCAACTCTCCCTTCATTACCGTTGAGGGGGTACTTGTGGTCGGATTCCATACTGTGTTTAAATTTTACTGCCCTATTTTGCTCCATCCCCAATCGAGGTAGTTTCCCTATTGGGGTACAAGTCTGGATAGGTTTCAACCCCAAATGGGATACTTTTTAACTTTTTATTTGGAACTTTTTTTTCTTCCCCATAAAAAAAGATGACTTCAGGGACGAATGGCCGGGAAACAAAACCGGAGAAAAATGAGACGACCAGCTCAGCGGTCAAAAAGACGGTGACGGTCACCAAAGTCTTTGACTTTGCAGGCGAGGAGGTCAAGTGAGTGAAATTTGATTTCTTGATATTGCATTGGGGGGGGGGGGGGGGGGGGGGGGGGGGAAGTATAGGAAGTGCAGTCATGTGACTGTTTAAAGTTTCGAACTCATTTTGGATGACACAAATGTGCATTGCACATGCGCTAAGCTTTCCAAAACATTTTTTTTTGCCAATGAGTTTGAATCGGAAATTATTGCTTGGAAAATATACATGTATGCTCAGCAAATATCAGCAGACAACCAGTCACATGCAGTCATAATAATAGTAATAATAATCATATACAGTGTGTATCATAAAAATGCAAACAACATATAACTGAATGCCAGACGTACAGTGTGTAACCAACATAGATAATGTAGGTATGGTTTGAAAGATACGCCTTTCCACTGTAAAATGAGACATCAAACGTCCAAATCTGATAATTTTTAACAGAGTGATGAGTAATTTTCCAAGAGAGGTCAAATTGACCTCAATATAAACATTGTGTTTAGCGAGTAAACACAATTCTGAACACTTTCTTGCTGTATACCTTTAACAATCCTTACAAGTAATTAAAACCTGAAAAAAACTTTTAAAAAAGAGAAATTGCTACAAAATAATAATATTAATACAAACATAATTACATTAAAACCTGGGAACGAAACAAATTAAATAGCAAGATAAGCTCAATTTACACAAAACCATTACAGCAGTAAACTTAAGCCCATTTATAAATTATAAAAAAATAATTTTGGGCTGGCAAAAGGTCACATTTCTTTAATCTTTGATTAAGGAAGGTTTGTCGGGATGTTTCTGAAGGTTCGTTTTGACAAATCCAATAAGACATTTTTGAAGATGTTACTCACAAATTAGTGACATCTCAGTGATCTCACTGCTAAGCTAGCAGCTTCTTCAGGCCTACAAACTGACATCTTTGATCAACTCATCCCCACCATTCCCTCTATGACATGTCATCTTGGTTAGTTTTGTCACACACAAAAATGGACAAGGATGAAAAATACATGTCTTTGCATGAAAAGATTCCTCAATTTATAGTGTTTCTAGAATTGCTTACTTACTGACAAATGTTGTGATCTACCGGTAACATGTCCCAATTTCCGTCATCAGTTTGAAGCATTGCCATAAAATCTTGTGATTTTTTTTATCACTGATTCCATAAATTTTTTCCAAAAAAATTTATCAATTTATTGAGTTTTGTGGGTGATGGGTATTATAGGAACCTGTAAACTCCTTAGTGATGGGTGTGAGGGTGCATTGGGAGATTTAGACACATTTTTAGACATATCAATGTTTTGAAAGTTAAATAATCAAATAAATCTGATTTAAATAAAAAAAATCTGATTTAAATCAAATAAATCTGATTAATTTTTTTTTTTTTAAATCAAACAAATCGCCAACCCTGATCCACACACAGACAATTAGGCAATTAGGCTACCTTTGTCCCAATTCCGAAAATTTAAAACTTAGTCCCATGATCAGTTTGACCTCTCTTGAAAAATTACTCATAACTCTGTCAACAAGATTTGGACACTTGATGTCTCATTTTAAAGTGGAAAGTCGTATCTCTCAAACCATACCTACATTATCTACAGTATGTTGGTTACACATTCTACATCTGGCATTCCATTATATTTTGTTTGCATTTGTTTTTTATGCACACTGTAATTTGTTGCGCAAGTTGCACTGTTATATTACGCACAGTGAAACTTTCTTGAAATGTTGCGCAGCGTGAAATGTTGCGCAAGTTCAGAGTTATTCAATAAACTGTAGTGCAAACGGTTGTACCATTGAGTAAAGTTTCGTGAAATCAGCTGAAGACTTTTTGGCAATTTCAGTGTTGATCTGAATGCTTAAAAAGCCCAATTCAACATCTCAGAGAGTTCCAGATTGCTTTAGTCACTACTCCTAATTGGAAAAGCATTCCCAATCGGGCTTAGTAAGGGTCCAGTGACCAGTTACCGGGAGCTTCTGCGAAAAGAATTTGCTAAACCAAGGAAATGTCTGCTGTCCAAAAACTGGGCTTTTGTCTACCTCCCTAATTGGCTAAACAACATATTCATCTTAGAATGACTCTGAAATTTGGCTCTTGATGCACATCCTGCGTCACCGACGATCGCACGCTGATGAGCATCTGCACTTTTAGATCCATTATAAAATTTATTAAAATGATGCTAAGAAACTCTTCCTTGAAATACTTCATTCTTTGACAGAGTAACCACGGAAGTCTCTGCAGATTCCAAGGAGGCCAAGGAGCTCTTGCAGCCGAGTCCGCCCACTAAAGACGCAGCAGCAGTCGCTGGAGTGGCTCCCCAGTCCACCTCATCAACTGGGTAAGCCGAAGCCATGGGGTCAGGGGAAAGAGGCATTGCTAGCCCACACTCGATCAATAGACCATCATCATGTTGCGGCCATCTTGATTTTTTTCCAATGTAACCAAAGCGAGGCTTGAAGGAAAAACAGTCTGGTTCCTTATTGCACAAAAAACATTAACATTCAGTAATGTTATTGGATACAGGGAATGTGACTGAAATGGTGGCAGCATGATAAAGGTCTATACATTCTACCCTACTCAGTTGTTATGGTTTTTCCTTCCACCCATGAAGTCCTGTGTGTCCCTTGTCCAGTAACCTGGGGGGGGGGGGGGGGGGGGGGGGGTACGCACCCCTCTAAATTAGAAAAGGCCCACATTGTTAAACTATAATTTTTTATTTGTGGGCGTAAATTGACCAACCTTTTAGTTTCACAACTGTCTCCTAACAGTTTTTTTTTTCTGGCTGAAAAAGCCACTGCATGTACATTGTATCCAAAATTAATTAAATAATGAAAATATTGTTATCACCTTACAATTCAAACGTGACTGTGAGTATCTGTAGATGTTGACCAAAAATTAAATGTACTGGACACTGCTTTCTTAACTTCTGTTTATATAATCTAAAACGATATGTAAATGTTTTTTTAATGTAGTTTTGATGGGTTTTATTATTAATTTATACTTGATGAAAACAACTGAATGAAAAGAGTTTTACTACAAACAAATCGTACCAAACAAATCAAAACAAAAATTGTTTAATATTTTTCAGTTCCAAAAGGCCCGGTGGTGGGTTGAGCAGCGTGCTGGGTTTGATCAACAAGAAACCCAAGATTAGTGTTCTTGAGAAATCTCGCCTGGACTGGAACAACTTCACGACAAAACAGGGCATTACTGATGAATTGAAGCTACACAACAAAGGCAAAGAGGGGTGAGCATCAAGGGGTATAGGGAGGGGGTGAAGGGGTGAGGGTGGGTTTGCAAGGGGTGTAAGGTACACGTGTGTAAGGGTGAAGGGAGGGTGAGGATTGGGAGGGGGTTATGGGTGAAGGGGGTAACAGGTTTAGGGCAGTTGAGGGTAGCAAGGTGAATGAGGGGTGTAGTTTGGGAAGGGTGTGTTGGGAGGGCACGGGATGGAGTGTAAGGTATGAAGGGTTGGTAAGGGGTGTGATGTGGGCAAGGGGTGAAGGATATGTTTAGGGATTATATGGGTAGGCTAGGGTGTATGATGGGTAAGTGGCATGGGCCTGATAAAGGGTCTGTGGTGGTAAGAGTCGGAGGCTTGGTTACCTTTTATGGGGATGGTAAGGGTGTCAGGTTGGTAAGGATGCAAAAGGAGTATGGGATGTAGGGTGCATAAGGTGGGTAAAGGGTGTAAAGGAGAGTAAGACCTGTGTTTTGAGGTGGGTTAGTACTGCAGGATTGGTAACGTGTTGGTGAGTAATCGGTGATTTGTTAACATCTTGTGGTTTTCCCCCGGCAGTTATATTGAAAAACAGAAGTTTCTAGCGCAGGCAGACCAGCGACAGTACGAGAAAGAAAGAGATGTACGGATGGGTTTGGACAAAAGGTGACACCATACTACAGCACTGCAAGGCATCATGATTCCTATGGGGCAAGGATTCCAGTTGATCAGAGAGGACATATTTCCCCGAAATGCTCCTTTTTGGGGGTAGTGGGCACCACTACACCAACATTTCCTAGATTTGTGTATTACCTGCAGCCATTAACCGTTATCAAGGATAAAAAGGAAAATTGTGATGATAATTTGCTCTTTTTAAATATTTTTCCTTCCACGTAAAATCCTGTAACTTAAAATCCTGTAAACTGAAATTCACTCTGTATATCATTGAACTCTGTGATTATTTTAACAGTTAAAATGCATCATGAATGAAATATTTCTTCATAGGTGTCTTCATAGGTGTCGTGACAAGTGGGGATCCTGCCCCCCTCTGGAAAAGCAACCACAAAGGGGGGGGGGGGAGGAAGGGAAAAAAGAGGCGCAAAGTCATTGCTTTAAATTTAATGGGTTGGGCGGGGGTGGCAAATGTCCCTGCCCTCCCTCGAAAAATGATAAATCGAGAATGTACTTGATAAAGTACAGGGATTTGGGGGGGGGGGGGGGGGATGTGCTTTTCCCCCCTCTAGGAAAATCCTGGCGATGCCCATGTACTGTTTTCATAAAAACGATGAATATGCATGCTCCTATACAGGTCTAATTAACATGGCAGTAGTTTCAAAGGTAATGTACTTAATAAAATGATCTGTCAAGATATTGTAAAGGATGTAAACTAAACAGCTAGGTGCTGTGAGAACTTCATAGTGAATTGATGCAAGAAGAGTTTTTTTGGGGGACAGGGCTTTATATTCCTTCAAAAGTCGTTCAGAAAAGAAAATTGATTTTTTTTTTAAAGCACTTGTGTACCAACTTTGAACTTAGAATATTCATAGTGAATTTGTTATAAAGGGGTAGGATGTAAGAATCAAAATTGGGTTTTTGTCCTTCACTGACATATGAACACTGTATATTCAGTGTGTTACCTCCCGAGTGAAACTGGAAAAAAAGTCACTCGGGTATACTCGTATAACCTTCACAAAAAAAACGTTTGGTGTCATTATTTATGGTCTGAAATTTGAAAAGATCAGTGTAAGGAAGTTGGGCACAAACGTGAGTTATTGAACAAATTCCAGAATGTCCCAGTTGAACCAGTAAGGATTTCATTTCACAGCTATTTCAGTGTCGAGCAAGAACTTCACAACTATTAGTAATTAGATATACAATTATTGAATTCAACTACATGTATCAATGAACGTTATTGTCCAAACTAAAATGTTTTAGTTTCTGGATATGGGGGCGTCCTTCAAAGGGACGATGTTGCATTTGTTCCCGAGCTTATATTGGTTAATAGGGGGAGGATATAATACTACTTTTAACGGTTGTGAGGTGGTGATTAAATGAACACTATACATAGTATGTAATTCGTGCCGCTTTGTCTTTTTTCATGTTCATTTTCGGTCTTTATCTTCGAAAATATCTGCTGTGGCGCGCGCCTGCATGCTACGATTTTACTTTTCAAATACTGCTGCCAACTGCTTGCTGACTGAATTGACCTACAAATCAACGAAATGAGACGACCTAATGTTGCGATTCGAGCAGAATTTTTGTCAAAAGCAAACATATGAGTATTGTACTTGTACCCCTAACACATCGCATCCCCTTTTTGCAACGATTTGAAAGAAACGTATCCCCCCAACAAAAAAGGAAAAAAACTTCACGGCATAATATCCTCTCAAATTGGCCGAAAACACTTTACAGAATTGGTGTGTAGGGTTCAAATTTAAGAACCTTTTAATAATGTAATGACATAATTACTCGAGTTATGTAAGTTAATTAAGGTTTCACTTCGGTAAACTTTTCACCACGGTAAACTTTACAAAGTTGAAATTAAAGATGACAGACTCAGATGACAGAAGGGGTGAAGCTCGCCATAATGCGCAACAAAGGACAAACGTGCGATGTATACTTTTCAGCATCTAGAAGATGGAGAATATTAAAACCATCTTACGCCGTCAGCCAGTTAGCCTTGGATTCGAGAAAGTTATAGAGACGTTCGAAGGTAAGAAATAACCCAAAGCCTATAGATTTACTTTGTTGTGAATACGAAGTTGTGAAGCGAAGATGTCAAGTGTAGTGGTAGTCTACGCGAGCAGATTCGGCGATGATGCAAAACAAGACTGCGTCTTGACCTCTATATTCTGAGCTGACCGATCAGCGGGCGTCTTCTATCGGGTCTTCTGTCTGTAACGCGGCGTTGTATTACAAAAATAGTCAGCCAAAATTGACCAATAAACAGCTTAGTCCTCATTTCTGATCGAAATGACGTCACAATTTCCAAAGTCGACTCTGATTGGCTGGCACCCGGGGAGTCGCATTAAAAGTGCGTTGGCGGACAGATGTTGGTTTCGGAGAGGGTTATACGCAGACTAGTCCAAGCATGGTCCAAGGGATCCAGAACCAACTTTTCGGGGGGCCAAGAGGGCTTGAGTATATTTAAAGTAAGAGCATTTTATAATTAACACCATAGGACAAAGGGCGGTGGTAATTTTCATGGCAATGACAGTTGCCGACCCGTTACAAAGTTAATAGAGAAATCTGTTTTCGAAGTGCGCATCAATGATCTCTAGTTTTAAAATGCGCCCCAAAATAAGGGAAAGATTTTCTGACCAGTCTTGAAGTTAGGTATGTGAGTACGATAATAACGGTCACGAGAATTTGTCAACTTTAAATAAATTCTTAAATAGACATTCAGAGATATATATTTTGAAGTGCACAATGAATTATTTGCAAATGCACCCAAAAGTGAGAAAAAAAGATCTGACAAACTTGTATGGTTGGAAATAAGAATGGTTTATCAGAACATTTCAACTTTAAAAAGATCTTAAATGTTAACTTGGGATTTTCCGAGATTATTTTGTTGCTCCTGGCGCGTTAGGGAACAGTCGGCCGATTTTGTACCAAATTTTCGACGCTGCCGTTTTTTTTTTTACTTGTTCACAAGGTCCAACAGCAAGCATTATTAAGGTAAAAGTATCAGTATTTTACTGAATGAATTTGAAGTTTGTCAAGAAAGAAGTTTGGCAACACTACATGAGGAACGGTCGAGGGAAACTAACGTCAAAGCATTTGAGGCGCACTAGTGCAGTCTGCATCTGCTGCCTGACGATCGTCTCTGATCGATCTTGAGGGCGCTATAGCATGTCCCGAGGCCTGTCATCAACATGGCGAGCGTACTGCTGCAGTTTTCTTCCGGAAACAGCGTTTCTGACCCGAATGCTCGGTCAGTTTTAATTCTTGGTCAGTTACCACACCTCAAGTCAATTGATTTTGAACCTGTAAGGACCAAGTTGGAGCCCAGGGTGAATGCAGAGGTGGGTTTAAATAAGCGAGATTTTTCTGTGATGAAGTTTTCGGCAACCGGCCGGTAAACGCGTTGTATGTTGGTTGGGAGCGTAGGTGGGGTAGGCGGGGTTGGAAATGGGGCGGGGTGGAGGGGGGGGGGCAGAAAAATTGCAGCTTGGGAAGGGAGAACTCTTCCTGTACCTCTTTACCAGGGTAAAAGTGTAGAATGCTATCAAGTGTTCCTACGTTTCCTGCTTTTTCCTCGTTTTGGAAAGATTCCCATCTGCCCATATCTGGCCATAACCTGTGCACAAAGTGACGAACCCTATGGTCTGAAAATGTCCAAATATTAGGGGTATAGTAGTATTTTTTGATTGGTTTCTAGCTGCATTTTACAGCCATCATTTCTTATTTCAATTTAGTGACGATGAAGGCACAAAGGTCTGCTCATTGGTATCGCAAGAGCCCTGAACTCAAAGATGGCATTGGTGCAGATGATCTATTATAAAACAGGTGCCTAATGTTAAGCCAATCTTATTATCTATCTTTTTTCCCCCCTGACAGACATTCAAAGCTGCTGTTGAGAGCCTGCGTCCGTCACCGACTGATTCTGTACCTCTCTGGGTGAACAATGCCACGGTGGCTGCCCTGCCGCTCAAGGCTAGCCGACACAATGCCCCATCACGAGCCCATGCCGTCACCAAACTTGTCAAGAGCTACCTGCCTGGTCTGAGCAAGGAGTGCATAGTGGTGGGTCAACAGAAACGATTTAATAACCCCCCCCACCCCCCCCCCACCCCCCTGTTCCTGGACACTGACAACTCTATTTAATTGATTTAGAATGGCTATCCACTGGCAGTCTTTTAATGCATCTGGTCTACATAATGGGCGGGATTCAGCTCATATGCTGGCGTTATGGGGTGATCCTATACAATAGCACTGCCCGGCGCACAAGAGATAGTCCGTCAGCGAGTCAGTTAGTGAAATAGGCACAAACAGGACACTAGGCTGACCTCAAGCTGTGGGACTCATGTCCTCATTCTAACTAGTGTAGACTTTATACAAATCAATCAACACGTTTGCAAGTGATCAATTATTTATAGAAAAAATCTCGGAAAGCATCAGTGCATCAAACCGGTGAAGGGAAGTACATAATATTAAAACTTAGCATCACCTTGATGCAAATTCCATTGAAAATTTTGAAAGTTTACTAAAAAAAGAAAGAAATATACCTCAAGAACTGAAAACTATGTCTCATTGTAGAGAATTCATCATTGAGTTTTATTTTATGGTAGGCACTTAATAATCTAACATTAAACAAAAATATTAATAAATCCTTACTTACGTGTACGCTAGCTTATAAGTGTTGTACATTTTACATTGAACGTTCGCAGAAATTAACACATTTATTTCATTATTTTCCAATCCACATTCTGCAGGTTGTATGTGAGCGTAGCACTGTGTTTGCATCTGGGTGCGCCATTGCCAGGGCCTTCCCCATTTTCTCGCGCAAGGCCGGCTACAAGTCGGCCGGCCCTCGCGTGGTGACCGTCGAGTTCATCCTTGTCGGGGAGAACAGGGACAAGGGATTGACTGAGGAGGACATCAAGACCCTGGCAGTGACTGCCGATGCTGTCAGGCATGCAGCGCGCATCGTAGACACGCCATGCAATGAAATGAATACTGATCACTTCCTACGGGTGAGATACGGGAACAGCGTCAGTTGTTGTACATTCTGCTTACCCTGTAGACAAATCAAGGCACGTAATCACTGTACTACATGGAGGCCCCCTTCAATGGAGAAACTATTGTGCATGCTATTGTACAAAGCCCCATGATTATCTGGACAATAGCTAGCACAATGCTTTTGCCATTGAAGGGGGCCTCCATGATAGACTTGATAGCGTGTCAGGATTGGTCTATAGACAAGTGATTGCGCCAAAACATGATGAAAAACTCCTTTCACATTCTCATAAAATTTAGAAACAATTTGCGTGGAATAGTTCTTATATTCATTGGAAAATACTTTCCCATTATTCTTACAAATTACTTTTAAACATGTTCCTTGTAAATTAAAATACACAATTTTTTTAGGGCGATTCTCCCCTACCAATAAAATGTCCCTAACCCCACCCCTTTGCCTTTTGTTATCATGATGTCAAATAGTATTAAAAAGTTGTAACACAATAAATATTCCTCTTGAAGGGAAAACAAAAATTGGGGAGGAGAGGAGGTGTTGTGTTGATTGGGGTATCTTAAATGTTACATATAGGTTTATTAAACATTCCCTATTTGATAGATGCTTTCCCCCTCAAGGAGCAATGTCCAACTAGTTTTGAAATTGATGCATATCTTTTGTTTTTCCTTGAAGGAGGTGCAGAGGGTCGGGGGAGAGCTGGGGATCGAACCACTCATCATACGGGGCGAGGAGTTACAGAAACGAGGCTTTGGAGGTAAGATTCTGCATAAATGCGTGAAAGTTGCACTTGAATAAATTTGGGTCCTAAAATTTGCAGGGCTTTATTGTCAGATGCCACTTTTTTTGTTGACGGTAACGTTTTTGTCAATGACGGTTCATTGTTCCCATCCTTTTAGCAGGTTAAAGCCTTTGACAGGTAACATACTAAGGCCTACTGCAAAATACTATAGCTGCCCATAATGTTGACATAGCGCACAAACTGGAACTGCAAACAACTTTGAATGGCGCGGCACGCTGTTAAATGTAAAACTTGATCAGAAAGTTTTGAATATACAAATATTCAGTCAAAAGCAGTTTCGAAAAATCAAATACTAATTTATTCGGAAATGGATATCCCTAGAAATTTCATTTGTTTCTTACGCAGTAGTGGATTTTTAAGGATTCAGAAAGTAAACAGAGTGTTAAGATTGATAAATGTATAATGAAACTGTCATGATCCGTCTGTTCCTGCATCGCTGTGTGTATTTCATCTTTGGCCAGGTATCTATGGTGTGGGTAAGGCTGCAGCCAATCCACCAGCCATGGCTGTGCTGAGTCACAAACCAGACTCAGCAACGCAGACTATCGCTTGGGTCGGGAAAGGCATCGTCTACGACACTGGAGGCCTGTCAATCAAAGGCAAGGTGAGAGCATGGGTGTGGTATTGGCAGGGTATAAAGTGTGGTGTATGGTATCGGATGTGGTATCAATCGTGCTATTGTGTGTGGCTAAGACATAGTATTGGGCTTGGTATTGGGTGTGGTATTTGTCATGGTATCAGGTGTGGCCACAGGTATGGTGTATGGCATGGTATTGTGCTTGGTGTTGGGTATGGTACTTGTCATGGTATCAGGAAAATGAATAATAAAGATGCTCTGATAGAGAAATAATGTATATAAAGGTGCACTGAAAAATTAAAAAATGTATTAAAATGTACTTAACAAAACTATGATTCACTGCTGATAAGCAGGTCTCGCACCTTTAATAGAATCTTTTTGTTTTTGTTTTTGTGAATATATTGAGTTGATTGATTGATTGACCGACTAATTGATTGAGTCTGTTATTTCATAGACGGCAATGCCAGGGATGAAGAGAGATTGTGGAGGTGCAGCTGGGGTGCTGGGAGCATTTGCATCTGCCGTCAAAATGGTAAGTCTCCATTTCAAGGTTTCAAGGTTTCTTTTAACATCTTGACTTGTGATGACTTTTGATGACATATGTTTGACCTGTGATGCCTTGAGATGACTAGTGATGACTTGTGATGACTTGTGATGACTTGTGATTGACTTGTGATTGACTTGTGATGACTTACTGACTTGTGGCAGACGTGATAACAACCCTGGATGTGGTTGGTCTTCAGAAATATTTTTAGTCCTTCTTTTCAATTTTCCGTCAGGGTTTTAAGGAGAATCTCCATGCCATATTCTGTCTGGCTGAGAATTCCGTGGGCCCCCTTTCAGCACGGCCTGATGACATCCATATTCTGTACTCGGGCAGGTAACTGCATTATTAGTTTTTTTATGAATTCCATTATTATTCATTATTTATGAATTCCATGTTTGTGAAGCTTATATCTAAACGTAGAAAAAAAAAAACAAGAGTTGTGTCTCAAAAACTAGTGAAAAAAACCTATTCATCTGCACCTCGGTGTTAATCAGTTTAAAAAGAATTATAAGATTGCTTCCAACAGTACTCCCTAACTCCCTCCAGGCAGATTGATCAAAATCACGCCTTATAAACGACCTCATCTAAAGCACGGAACATTCAGTTGAAATGAAAGATATCCATTCAGTGCCTCTGACTGAATCAGTTAAATTGAAGAGACACAAACTAGAAACTAGATGGTGACACTCAGTCAACGCATCTTCTGTTTAAAAAGTATCTTATCTTGTGTTTTAAAAATTTGTTAACAGCCTTTTTCTTAATTTGTTGCTCTTTTTTTCTAGGTCAGTTGAAATCAATAACACGGATGCAGAAGGACGCTTAGTTCTTGGTGATGGGGTGAGTCCAGTATTCTGTCTGTGAGCCGAACTGCTCAAACAGTTGTTAAAAATAAACAAAATGGCATGAGCAAAAAGCTTTGGAGTAAAGTTTTGCCCTCACAATTGGTTATGAAGCATCGTCTACTGGTCAGGCAGAGTCCATATTTCAAGTTGGATAAATTTTCAGAGGGGATGAAATATGATAAAAATAATTCTTATAATTTTGTTTGTGGTTTAGGTAGCGTATGCAGCGAAAGATCTCAAGGCAGATATCATACTGGATATGGCCACACTGACCGGTGCCCAAGGCATATCAACGGGGAAATACCACGCTGGACTGCTGACCAATAGCGAAGAGTGGGAGGAGGCTGCTGCCAAAGCTGGTCAGTCATTGGTCCATTTCAAACAGACACAACATTTAAAAACAGCTTGTTGCTTAAAAGGAAAAAAAACCACTTGTAACTTGTGTATTTTTGTGAGTCCAAGCCACACCGTGCACATTTTCCTCAGGTAAGCTGAATGAAATATTAAGATTTCTTTTCTCAAAATTTCCTGTCAATGTCTTTGAACACTTATAAGTGTAATAATTTGTAGGAAATTAAGAATTTCTTCTCTTGTCAAATGAACCACAAAATGCAACTTTAATTGTGAACTTTTGCTCAGTATCGGAAACCAGACTTCCATCTATATCCTCTTGAACAGCAACATTTGGGAGTAAAGCAACATAGGGCTAGATAGCTGAAGTAGTATGGCATCCTGGAGTTCTTGAGTCGCTTTTCCAAATTTCACTTCAGTCAATTCTTTCTTCAACAAAATATAAAACCCTGTTCTTAATTTCAACCCTTTTTTTGTTCCTGGTTTGTTCTGGATACAGGGAGGAGCAGTGGGGATCTGGTGTTTCCTCTTGTGTACTGCCCAGAGCTTCACTTCTGTGAGTTTGGCAGTGTTGTCGCCGACATGAAAAACTCGGTCATGGTAAAGCAAATCTATCATTTAAAAAATAAGAGCAACTTTAGACTTCAGTAGGACATCTCAATTTCATTTTTTATGCAAACAGTCAACCTAATCAAAACATCAACATTGTCAAACAATTTTTCATTGCATTTCCACATTTGCAGATTTGATTTGTTGGAAGTCTGCTGTAATTTTTAAAACCGCAATTAATACTAAAGATTGTATTTTTGACCAATTTTGTTTTTGAAATCCTGCAAAAATGGGTGGCAGGTTAGCGTAGCGGTACTTTCCTTGCCTTGCAGTGCTGTGGCCGGGGTTCGATTCCTGCCTGGGCCAATATCTGGATTGGGTTATTACTTGATTCCAAGGGTTTTCTTCTTGATTCCGTGGGTTTTCCTCAGAATATTCTTCTGGCGTTTCCTCCCACATCAAAAAACTGTATTTCCATCACATTGTCTTCAATTTACTGGGCCCCATCAGAGACCAGTAGATTCCACTGAATGGGCTAACCAGTTGAAATAGGAAATAAATAAAAACTAGCAGCATTTGAAATGCAAGGTTTTCTTGTCTAGCAGGATCGTGGCAATGCACAGAGTTCTTGTGCGGGATTGTTCATCGGATCTCACATTGGATTTGATTATCCAGGCACTTGGATCCACGTTGACATGGCTGCCCCCTCGCACAGTGTAAGTAACATGATATGGGCCCAATTTCCTAGAGCTGCTTAAGCAGAAAATTTGCTTAAGCACGAACAAACATTGCTTAGTAAAATTAGGTTACCGGCCAAAACTCCACGTGATGTACATTGCTTGTGACTGGTATTTAGCTGTTGTTTACTTAGCATAACAATCGCATGGAGTTTTGGCCGGTAACTGATTTTATTAAGCAAGACGTTTTTGTGCTTAAGCAAATTTTGTGCTTAAGCAGCTCTATGAAATTGGCCCAGCCTACTGTTTCTAAACAAAATAACCTAGAAGTGTGCATTTGATTGTGAAATTGTTTTTTTAGGCGGGAACTGTTCATTTGTCAAATTTCAGAGGTTTATGCGCGACCATTGGATAGGTAACACTATAACAATAGCATAATCATGAAATACACGTTCCGGTACTTTTTTGCCTTCCTTGTTATTCAGGGAGAGAGAGCGACAGGCTTCGGAGTGGCCCTCTTGGTTGCACTCTTCGGCCGTGCTTCCCACTCCGCCCTTCTCCAGTCGGTCTCGCCGCTGGGCCAGAAGCTGTCCAACGAAGATGAGCTGGTGGAGAACGCAAGCAAGAAGATACGACTCGTGTAGACAACAAAATGTCACAAAAAACAAACAGCCTGAGAAGTAAATGCATCCTACTCATTAAAGAGAAATTAGTTTACACCCAAATCGTTGAAGAAAAAATACCTTTTTTTACTGTTTCTTTCAATCTAGAGCCAACGTGTTTGCAACAACAATTGGAAATGTTTATTTAAGGTTAACATTTCCCAATATGCTCGAAAAATCAATGGAAGGTACTTTAGAAATTTCAGAAAACAAAAGTACAAAATCTTTTTAACATTTGGGATGTGCCATGTGTTTGATATTTTGTTGACTTTGCCTTTTAAATAAGTCGTATCCTTATCTTATTTTGGATTGATTGGATTATTGTGGATTGCATATATTGGATCATCATTGGCTATAGAGTACATGAAATGTACTTTTTATCTGCTTTGTTTAGTCGGGAGTCAATATCATCATGTGCAGTATGAATACCGAAATTGTTAAATTACCATTGTTACATTGGTACATCCTTCCAGAAATCGAGTTGGAATGTCTTCTAGGGTCCCATGGGCATCTTTCCTGGAAGTTGGGTGCAGTTTAATTTTTTTGGCCAAAATTGCAAAAAAATGCAAGGGGTTAGCCTTACATTTTTCATCAAATTTGGCAAAAAAATGACTTTTCTCCAAACGACGCAGAAATGACTATTGATGCAAGGAGAGTAGCATACAATATTCAGACTGTTATGATTTTGAAGGTTTGGGCACAAATAATAGATTTATTGAGAAAAGAAATTTAATTTTGCACTGATTTCAACCCAAATTTTTGACCATTGTTCCTGTCTAATGGTACATTTGTCCAGAAATCAAGTTGGAATGTCGTCTAGGGTCCCATAGGCATCTTTCCTGGAAGTTTGGCGCAATTTAATTTTTTGGCCAAAATGGAAAAATTACAAGGGGTTAGCCTTACATTTTTCATCAAATTTGGCCAAAAAATGACTTTTCGCCAAACAACACAAAAATGACTATTGATGCAAGGAGAGTAGCATACAATATTCAGACTGCCATTATTTCGAAGATTTGGGCACAAATAATCGATTTATTGAGAAAAGAAATATTATTTTTCTCTGATTTTGACCCTAATTTTCGATGCATTGGGCTTTACAAGTAGGCACTGAATTAGCAAGGTGCATAAAACTGCTTTTTAAAAGCAATTAAAATACAATGTGAATGTTTGTTACCACCAATGCACATGAATAGAGTAGTGGTTGTGAAGTGTAATTCTGCAATGAAAGCGACTTTGATCAAACAAACAAAAAACAAAACAATACACTGTTTTTATTCAACAAGTTAATTTTATTAATATTTGACATGTATTTTATTTTACACAAGATATGAAGCACTTAATTTAAATTGTATGGTACAAATTACGTTGAAGAAAATATCTCAGTAAATTAACAAATCTACGACTTTTGTTTGGTTATAATAATATACTAAATATGGCTCTTTATGTTATCATTATATGATGGTTGCTTAAGTCTTATCTTGCTTCATGGCTCTCTGGGAAAAAGCCTAGATATTTAATCCTAACTCCCCAAGGGGTGTGCAAAATCGTATTGAATTTGGAGGATTCAGGACTGTTAGTTAATGAAAGTTTTCTGGGCCAGAATTCTTTAAAAAAAAAATTGCTGGCTAGCATTAGATATTTTTTTTTAGTTTCAGTTTTATTGAACACGGCCGATTACTAGAATTCTGAAGTACTGTTTAGTGTAGCTAAGATTTTCAATTAGGATTGTGAATGCAAGTCTGTAAACTTCAGTTATGAATCAAGTAATTCAATAAAGAATATAACGCATTCCTAAAAAAAAGTCTCCGAGTTAATTTGTTCAGAACATGAAATTGTCTCAACAATTTCAACCCATATCAACACTGGAAGTTTGGTGCAATTTATTTTTTTGGCCAAAATTGAAAAAATTGCAGGGGGTTAGCCTTACATTTTTAATGAAATTTGGCCAAAATATGAATTTCTTTTAATTGATATATCTGTCCCCAAATCGAGTGGGAATTAGGTCGAGGGGCCTTTAGGAGTCTTTCCAGGAAGTTTTGAGCAATTTCATTTTTTGGCCAAAATTGACAAAAATTGCAAGGGGTTAGCCTTACATTTTTAATGAAATTTGGCCAAAATATGAATTTCTTTGTATTAATATATCTGTTCCTAAATCGAGTTGGAATGTGTCCGAGGGTCGCCTTGGAGTCTTTCCAGGAAGTTTGAAGCAATTTCATTTTTTGGCTAAAATTGACAAAAATTACAAGGGGTTAGCCTTACATTTTTAATGAAATGTGGCCAAAATATGAATTTCTTTTAATTGATATATCTGTTCCTAAATCGAGTTGGAATGTGTCCGAGGGTCGCTTAGGAGTCTTTCCAGGAAGTTTGGAGAAATTTCATTTTTTGGCCAAAATTGACAAAAATTGCAAGGGGTTAGCCTTACATTTTTAATGAAATTTGGTCAAAATATGAATTTCTTTTAATTAATATATCTGTCCCCAAATCGAGTGGGAATGTGGTCGAGGGGCCTTTAGGAGTCTTTCCAGGAAGTTTTGAGCAATTTCATTTTTTGGCCAAAATTGACAAAAATTGCAAGGGGTTAGCCTTACATTTTTGATGAAATTTGGCCAAAATATGAATTTCTTTTAATTGATATATATGTTCCTAAATCGAGTTGGAATGTGTCCGAGGGTCGCACAGGAGTCTTTCCAGGAAGTTTGAAGCAATTTCATTTTTTGGCCAAAATTGACAAAAATTGCAAGGGGTTAGCCTTACATTTTTAATGAAATTTGGTCAAAATATGAATTTCTTTTAATTGATATATCTGTCCCCAAATCGAGTTGGAATGTGGTCGAGGGGCCTTTAGGAGTCTTTCCAGGAAGTTTTGAGCAATTTCATTTTTTGGCCAAAATTGACAAAAATTGCAAGGGGTTAGCCTTACATTTTTGATGAAATTTGGTCAAAATATGAATTTCTTTTAATTGATATATCTGTTCCTAAATCGAATTGGAATGTGTCCGAGGGTCGCCCAGGAGTCTTTCCAGGAAGTTTGGAACAATTTCATTTTTTGGCCAAAATTGATAAAAATTGCAAGGGGTTAGCCTTACATTTTTAATGAAATTTGGTCAAAATATGAATTTCTTTTAATTGATATATCTGTCCCCAAATCGAGTGGGAATGTGGTCGAGGGGCCTTTAGGAGTCTTTCCAGGAAGTTTTGAGCAATTTCATTTTTTGGCCAAAATTGACAAAAATTGCAAGGGGTTAGCCTTACATTTTTAATGAAATTTGGTCAAAATATGAATTTCTTTTAATTGATATATCTGTCCCCAAATCGAGTTGGAATGTGGTCGAGGGGCCTTTAGGAGTCTTTCCAGGAAGGTTTGAGCAATTTCATTTTTTGGCCAAAATTGACAAAAATTGCAAGGGGTTAGCCTTACATTTTTGATGAAATTTGGTCAAAATATGAATTTCTTTTAATTGATATATTTGTTCCTAAATCGAATTGGAATGTGTCCGAGGGTCGCACAGGAGTCTTTCCAGGAAGTTTGAAGCAACTTCATTTTTTGGCCAAAATTGACAAAAATTGCAAGGGGTTAGCCTTACATTTTTGATGAAATTTGGTCAAAATATGAATTTCTTTTAAATGATATATCTGTTCCTAAATCGAGTTGGAATGTGTCCGAGGGTCGCACAGGAGTCTTTCCAGGAAGTTTGGAACAATTTCATTTTTTGGCCAAAATTGACAAAAATTGCAAGGGGTTAGCTTTACATTTTTGATGAAATTTGGTCAAAATATGAATTTCTTTTAATTGATATATCTGTTCCTAAATCGAGTTGGAATGTGTCCGAGGGTCGCCCAGGAGTCTTTCTAGGAAGTTAGAATCAATTTCACTTTTTGGCCAAAATTGACAAAAATTGCAAGGGGTTAGCCTTACATTTTTAATGAAATTTTGCCAAAATATGAATTTCTTTTAATTGATATATCTGTTCCTAAATCGAGCTGGAATGTGTCCGAGGGTCGCTTAGGAGTCTTTCCAGGAAGTTTGGAGAAATTTCATTTTTTGGCCAAAATTGACAAAAATTGCAAGGGTTAGCCTTACATTTTTGATGAAATGTGGTCAAAATATGAATTTCTTTTAATTGATATATCTCTCTCCAAATCGAGTTGGAATGTGGTCGAGGGGCCTTTAGGAGTCTTTCCAGGAAGTTTTGAGCAATTTCATTTTTTGGCCAAAATTGACAAAAATTGCAAGGGGTTAGCCTTACATTTTTAATGAAATTTGGTCAAAATATGAATTTCTTTTAATTGATATATCTGTCCTCAAATCGAGTTGGAATGTGGTCGAGGGGCCTTTAGGAGTCTTTCCAGGAAGTTTTGAGCAATTTCATTTTTTGGCCAAAATTGATAAAAATTGCAAGGGGTTAGCCTTACATTTTTAATGAAATTTAGTCAAAATATGAATTTCTTTTAATTGATATATCTGTCCCCAAATCGAGTGGGAATGAGGTCGAGGGGCCTTTAGGAGTCTTTCTAGGAAGTTTGGAAAAATTTCATTTTTTGACCAAAATTGACAAAAATTGCAAGGGGTTAGCCTTACATTTGTAATGAAATTTGGTCAAAATATGAATTTTTTGTATTGATATATCTGTTCCTAAATTGAGTTGGAATATGTCCGAGGGTCGCCTAGGAGTCTTTCCAGGAAGTTTGGAGAAATTTCATTTTTTGGCCAAAATTGACAAAAATTGCAAGGGGTTAGCCTTACATTTTTGATGAAATTTGGCCAAATATGATTTTTTTTTTTGCATTGATATATCTGTTCCTAAATCGAGTTGGAATGTGTTCGAGGGTAGCCTAGGAGTCTTTCCAGGAAGTTTGAAGCAATTTCATTTTTTGGGCCAAAATTGACAAAAATTGCAAGGGGTTAGCCTTACCATATGGCCTTACATTTGTAATGAAATTTGGCCAAAATATGAATTTCTTTGAATTTCTTTTAATTGATATATCTGTCCCCAAATCAAATTGGAATGTGGTCGAGGGGCCTTCAGGAGTCTTTCCATGGAGTTTGGGGAAATTTCATTTTTTGACCAAAATTGACAAAAATTGCAAGGGGTAAGCCTTACATTTTTCATCGAATTTGGCCAAAAAATGACTTTTCTACAAACGACGCAGAAATGACTTTTGATGCAAGGAAAGTATAATACAATATTTAGACTGCCATTATTTGGGCACAAATAATCGATTAAGTGAGAATTTGTTTTTACTTTTCACTGATGTTAACCCAAGTTTTCGACTCATTGTTCCTGTCTTACAGCACATCCATCCAGAAATAGAGTTGGAATGTCTTCTAAGGGCCCTTAAGCATCTTTTCTGGAAGTTTAGTGCATTGAATTTTTGGTCAAAATTTGAAAAAATTGCAAGGGGTTAGCCTTACAAAAAATGACTTTTCTCAAAACGGCGCAGAATGACTATTGATGCAAGGAGAGTAGCATACAATATTCAGACTGCCATTATTTCGAATATTTGGGCACAAATAATCGATTTATTGAGAAAAGAAATATTTTCACTGATTTTGACCCTAATTTTCGATGCATTGGGTTTTACAAGTAGGCACTGAATTAGGAAGGTGCATAAAACTGCTTTTTAAAAGCAATGAAAATACAAAAGCTCTTTAATTATTGAATGTGAATGTTTATTACCACCAATGCACATGATTATAAAAATGGTTAGAGTAGTGGTTGTGGATTGTAATATCTGAAATGAAAGTGACTTTGATAAAACAAACAAAAAACCAAAACAATACACTGTTTTTATTGAACAAGTTATTTTTATTAATATTTGACATGTATTTTTTTACACAAGATATGAAGCACTTAATTTAAATTGTATGGTACAAATTACGTTGAAGAAAATATCTCAGTAAATGAACAAATCTACGAATTTTATTTGGTTATAATAATATACTAAATATGGTTTGCCTCATTTTTTATCATTATATGATAGTTGCTTAAGTATTATCTTGCTTCATGGCTCTCTGGGAAAAAGCCTAGATATTAAATGAACAGTTTTCTGGGCCAGAATTCTTTAAAAAAAAAATTGCTGGCTAGCATTAGATATATTTTTTTTAGTTTCAGTTTCGTAGAACACGGCCGATAACTAGAATTCTGAAGTACTGTTTTAGTGTAGCTAAGATTTTCAATTAGGATTGTGAATGCAAGTCTGTAAACTTCAGTTATGGATCAAGTAATTCAATAAAGAATAAAACGCATTCCTACAAAAGTCTACGAGTTAGTTGTTTAGAACATGAAATTGTCTCAACAATTTCAACCCACAACATCAGGTAACTGCCTTAAGACCAGCCGGAATGGATAAATAACTGCCAAAGTACCTCAATCTATGTGAAGGTATATTTTGTCAAACAAAAATCTGTGTAAACAAAACAAAAAGTATTAAAAAAAACCCATTTTGTGCGACCATTATTTTGTTATAAATAAAAATTAAAGCACAACTACTTGATCACATTTCATGATTTTGGGAAAATCACAAATTAAAGGTCTGCTGCAGAATCACGTGAAACGCAGCTTTAATACCCAGCAAATTTTACCATGATATTAAGGTAAAAGCAATATTTCATAAACTGTACACTTAGAAATGTAGCTTCGAAGTAAGTGAGGGTGAGTTTGCGGAAAGAATAGTGTACAAGAAGTAAGCCCCCTGCCCCCCCCCCTCCTATTTATACACAAACTGTATAGCCCTTGCAGAAACCCAGAGGCACATCAACACAATTGAAATCCTGTTCTGAAAACACTTCCTCATTTTGTTCTCGATAAATTCCCATTTTTTTTTTTTAACTGCTTTTAGAGCTAATCTAAGTATTATTTACTACTGTTCCATTCTACAAATATAACAAAAAAGGCTTTGTCAGGAAGTGTGTTGTTAGAAATAAATAACTGCGTCTAATTTCTTTTCATCTGATACTTAAATATAAGGGTTCCGCGAAAAAGAGCACATTTGTGGTAAAAAAGATTTTTTGAAAACGGCACCACCTTGGTCCAAAAAAGTTGATTCATTTTGTGTTATTGGCAAACCTGCTGCAAAAAAAAATCACAATTTGAGCAAGAAAAGCTTCACAATTTAAGGGAATTGCTGCATGGTGAATGCATAGTAAGCAACGTGTCATTTGAGGTTTGTAATTGAAGAAAGTTCTGAGGCGCCATGAAGTTTTTTGAAAGGTGGTCGAATTTTGCAAATTTAGAAAAAATATTTCATAATATAACCAGGCACGACATTTTGCTTGCCATAAAACATCTGCCGTGCATCTATAATTGTACCACTGATGTACCAAAATGACATATTATTTGACACAATCATTAAGGACATGGTGGGTCTTTCAAGATAATAAAAGTTACCAACAAAGAGAAAAGTTTTGGAACATCGAATCTTCCAATACTTCTCTTCGTTCAGTTCACTTTTTTCTTGTTTTCTTTATGTCTGTACTGTCCAACATGTACATATTTACACAAACCTCTCGTTGCTCCCGTTACTGTGACATCCAACAGTTTTGATCAATGCTGTTAACTTCTGGAAGAATAAAAAATAAAGTCTATTAATTTCTGGGAAAAAAAGTAAAAATTTAACAATTATGTTGACTTGCATAATTCAAAATGTTAACTCCATTACTGGGTACAGAATTCATTACTATGACAATTAGGATATATCTTACTCAGTAAATTTAGGCTTTGCAAAGAAATTCATTGACGCCCAGTTTCACTAAGCTACCGAGATGAAAATACTGCTTATCGAATTGCATGCTAAGCATGAATCAGCAGAGTTCCACTTGCAATGTACATTGCATGACAGTATGGCTAGTGACCTTTACTTGCTAAGTGTATAATATCCGTGCTTAGCACATTTCTGTGCTTGGGTCTGTGCTTTGTGACCTCATTTGGAAGCCCCATTTGAAGGGACACACCGCATGTGCATACTGGTTTGTGTACGTACAGCACAAAGTACACATGACTTATTTTATTCTGAAAGCCCACAAATCCTTAGCGTCTTTGCGTTATGGTCTGGCGCCATCGGCAATACATTTGAATGTCCCTCCCCATGGTCTCCCCCAACTCTACCCTTTAACCGTTGAGGGGTACTTGTGCAAGGAGTCTATAGGGGATTATTTTAAAACAAGTCCTACACGATCCCTACCTTGGGTCAACCTTCCTGGCCGAAATCCTCAGTGAATTTGACGTATTTGCCCAGGTCATCTACGTTGACGGATGGCTTGATGTGATCTAGCGACTTCTGCAGGTCTTTCTGTGGATATTATAACAGACGGGATTGTCATCCAACAATTACTGTAGAAAAGGGCAAGCTGTGATACCATGACTTTGAAGTCTTGGTACCAGACTGTACACAGGGAATCAGAAAAGTTGTAACTGAAGGAATTTTTATCCATAAAACATTTTTGAATTTGTCTGATAAACTGTGTAAATATATACATACGACACAAAACCACAAATAGGATTCAACCTTGGTTACAGTTAATTATCAGTGATACACACGACAGACCTACTGATTAAGGACAGCCTACGAATCCAATAGCTCATATCGGGAGCTCAGTCAGATAAAGAGTCAGAAAACTGCAAGCGTGTTTTGTCTTTACGACCTCTGATGTAGGGTCAACTTTATTTCACTGTTTACAAGCACACAAAAAGAGAAGGCTGCACCAAAACAATGAACCATTCCTGATTTGGCCACTAGCCCCGCCCACTTTGAACGTTGGTCAACCCATCATGGGGCGGGGCTCAACGGATCGTTCCATTTCATCCCGAGGGCGTTTGCCTGTCCTTATATACATGCATAAGGACCGGTCTGCAGTCTAACTTACCACTGTGATCTTTGGCTCGGCTAGCTTTTCGCCAGGGACATTCAGCCAGGTCATCTCGAAGGCCTGGGGGTGACCCGGGGAGCATGGGGTCAACAGGTCATGAACTATGACACTGGGGTCCACAGGGGAAGGACCAGATATCTGTATGGAGGTAAGGACAGAGCTCATTCAAAAATCATGCGGCACACTTCTATTTTCAATTCAGGTACAGTCCATTAAAAATTGCATACTATACAAATAACGAATGTTTGTGAGTGCGATGGTAAGAATAATTTCATAAGGTGACAGATTGAATGTTCTATTCCACGAGGCGAAGCCGAGTGGAATAGAACATTCAATCTGTCACCGAATGAAATTATTCTTTCCATCGCACGAACGTAAAACATTCGTTATTTGTTTTATACAACACCTGAATAAATTCTCGTCATTTGATTGGTAAATTATAAACTACAATTTATTTTGATTTTAAAAATGTTGAACTACCCCTTCACGAAAATGTTTGAACCCAACGCTGTAGCGCTGGCTCTTTGGAACAATACGCGCTACGCTGAACGTGCACACCAGCATGCATTTTGCACGCAAATACCGCGTCATGGAACAAGCGCAAAGTGAAACGGTATAACGCATGGGTATAACGCATGGACGCACCGTGCATTATACCGAATACTAATATGTCACGTGTTCTACAATTCACCAATCAGATGACGGGGATTTATTCAGGTGTTGTATAAAATCTAATATTCCTACTGATGGTACATCATATTCTATAATACAAATCAAAAGGTTTGGTGTCTTTTAATCTGTTTCCAACACCAAAGGCTAATAATGGTTATGAGCCAGAGACACAGCCAAAGCTGGACCAAAGCCGTGGTTTGACAAAGTCCAAGGCGTTTGTAGCAGGAACTCCTTAAGCCTACCTTCATGAAATGAGTAGCGGTCTGGACTTTACGCACAGGTTCCATGAGTGCATTCCTGACGACAATGCTGATGTCAGCCCCTGAGTATCCCGAACTCAGCTCCCCTAGGTACTTGTAGTCAGCTTCGGTTAGATCACAAGGCGTCTTACCCATGTGCAGCTTGAACATGGTGGTACGTGCCTGCTCCTCGGGCAGCGGAATGTAGATCCTCCTCTCAAATCTGATTTAAAAAAAACAGGGGTTAATTCCGTGACAGTGGAATAAACAGCTTTGATTAGACAGGCTTAATACGATTTTAAGAAACTGACTGGATTGGGGTTTGAACCTACAACCTCCTGAACGGTGTACTGGTGCTCTACTAACTGAGCTATCCAGCCCTATTTTGCCAGTCTTAAAATTTGTTGGTATCTTAGAAAGGGTTGGATAGCTCAGTTGTCTATGCTTTGTTGCCTTTAGCATGGTAACTGTTTATAGTGCCCAGGCTGGTACAACAGAATCCACTGTTGCATTTTTTAACAGACTAAGTGAAGAAAAAGAGAATTCAGATTGGGTTCAGGGATAATTGAAGGCCGGTAAAGATGAGGGGAGATTGAACCCTGAAGCTGTCCTACCTTCTTCTGATAGCAGCATCTAAGGTCCATGGGATGTTGGTTGCTCCTAGCACTAAGACCTGGTCGTTATCAACACCCACACCTACAAAGAGAAAAAACTAAACAAGTAACCACTGTGACCACAATAGACTCTATGAGTGAAGACTCAGTGTAATATATGGACAGTAGAGGGCGCTTCTGACCACCTTTGAGAGCCCGAGTAGGAGGGACACACACACCAAGCTTTTGTTTATGGTGTGAATCGAGGACACACACGTGCAACATCATCAGTGAATCAAGGTCAGAAACCGAATCGAGGACTCCTCGGTTGGAAAACATGTACACAACCAATGAGAGCTGTTGCAAAAAAGTTAGAGTACAAACAAAGGAAAAGGGAAGAGGAACAAAAGAAAAACCTTGATTAACACCATAAACAAACGTGCTAGTGTACCTACTGGTTCATGCACCAATGGCGTGAAGTACGCAAGACTAATTTCATTATAAATGTGCACAAACCCATAGCGTCTTCAAGTGAGTGCAAATCGATACTGGCAATGTGTTCAAATCTCCCTCCCAGTGGTCTCCCCAACTCTCCCTTTGTGGCCGTTGAGGGGGTACTTGTGTCGAGTCCATACACTTGAGGGGAAAGACAGATTGCAAGTTTGATTTGTTTTTGCTGGGAGACAAACGCGACTGACCTTGCATGTTGACCAGGAACTCGGTCTTGATTCGTCTGGCTGACTCGCTCTCGTTCTCACTTCTTGAGCCGCAGAGTGAGTCCACCTCATCAATGAAGATGATGGAGGGCCTGTTTTCTCTCGCTAGGGAGAAAAGGGTCTTCACTAACCTAAGAACAAACATCAAGAGAACAATTTTTTAAATGTAGAGAGCCTGATATCCAAGCAGGATTTGTCTCCAAAGCAAAATGGCACTAACCCATTAGTCTCTGTACTGCCCAAAACCACCCAAGCACTGTATGTTGTGAGGGATTCATCAAGGAGTAGAGGAATGTAATACAATGTAATACAATGTAATACAATGTAATACAATGTAACACAATGTAACACAAGTGCTAACAGGTTAATTTAATGTGTTCATTCTTCTTTGACTTACTTTTCACTCTCGCCGAGCCACTTAGAGACAAGATCCGAGGAAGAGACAGACAAGAAGGTTGAGTTGTTGGCCTCTGTTGCTACTGCTTTGGCTAGGTAGGATTTGCCTGTACCTGGGGGCTAACAAGGTCAGAAAACTGATTGAAAAAAGGCCTGCAGGCATTTGAGCGCAGATAGTCAAGCCATGGTTAACTGTAATTCGTGACTGAACTTCCTAAAGCTTGCTGGGGTCATCTGCAAATTCAAACTCATAAATAGAAATTATCGAGTAGTACTACTTAAACTGAACCTACCCCGTAGAGTAGAATTCCCCTCCACGCCTGTCGTTTGCCGGTGAAGAGATGAGGAAACTTGATGGGTAGAATGACGGCTTCCTTCAGGGCGTCTTTTGCTCCTTCAAGACCTGCAACATCATTCCACATAATGTTGGGTTTCTCCATTACAATTGCACCTGTCGGAAGCAGAAAGACATATTAATCACAATCAAAAGCCTTGCTACACAACCCTCATTGACAGTAAAAAGAAATTCAACTTCAATCATGTGCGTCAAAAAAGGGTAAGACTGCCAAGTCCTTATTTCCCAGTACAAAATGGCACTGTGCAAGTAAAGGAGGATTCGAACCTCCAACAAACAGAAGTTGATGTACTTTCTGTTTGGAGGCTGTTTTGTAGCATGTGAAGGCTGCTTCATACTGCACACGGATGTGAACACAAAGCCAAGGCAACGTCAGAGAACATTTGATGCAATTTGTTCCCATTAGCTTTCTCATGAGTATGAACTAGGATTTGCCTGTACCTGGGGGCTAATGGGGTCAGAAAACTGATTGAAAAAAAAAGGTTAACTTAATGCCACAGTATTCAGATTAGGATGAGATTTGAGCGCAGGACTAACTTACTTTGCAGTTGGGCATGCATCTTCTTGGTTTCAGGATTATCATCGCTGTCACTGTCGCTGTTATTGCCTTTTCTAGAAACAAAATGAGGAAAAATTTCAATATTTCAATTATTTTAAAATATTTTTTGGGAGTTTATTTCTGTGACATATACAATGGATTTCACAAAAGACTGGGGGAAAAAAGCCATTTGTCACAGCGATTTTTACACCCAATTTGTACTGACGTGCTTAACATTTGGTAGCCAAAGGGGACGATGGTTACAGTTGCATGTTGGGTACAGTAGTGTCTGTGATAGCAGTGTCTACTGTACGATAGACAGATAAGAACCAACACACTGGCTGCCATATTCTGCTTGAGGTCATGGGTCATGATACTCAGGCTTCATGTTTATACCCACTGAGCATGCGTCAACTTTGCCAAAGTGTATCGACGGCTGTTGCCAGTCAGTCAGTAATCATCAGTCTGAAGTGCGCTCGCCCTCATCGCATTGAAGGTACAAGTGTCATTTTAGGGTTTGCTATAAGGAATGGACACTTGTAGCACTCAACACCAGAGCATTACATTCATGGTGTTTTACTAGAGCAGGCTAAACACCCAACTAATAAAGGATAGGACGCCCAGCCCCGAGGCGACCTCTTTCTTATCATCCCATCTCATGACATCTCACCCTTTCTTGGACGAGCTGCCTCCTTCCTTGGACTTGACGGGCTTCTTCCTGTCCTTCTTCTTCTCGATGTAATTCTTGAGTTGCTCGGCTCGTTCTAGATATTGGGTACACTTGTCTCGGATGCTCTGTTTGGCTTTATCTCCATGAGCCTCATCTGAGGGAAAAGAACCCATGTCGGACAAATTCACTTACCAGATATGCAACTGTGACTAGTCAAATTCAGTCAACAGACAAAAACAGGCAAGTTGTAGGTACAGCTGGCTTATCAATCTCCCACAGTCAAAGCATTGCTGTATCAAGTTACATAAACAGTCACAGCCAGTCAGTACTGCTTAACTGTTGAAAAACATTCACTTGATTGATTTTTGACTACTGGGATGACTTAGTAGCGTTTGCCAGCCAGGGAGCGACATATCTATCAAAAAAACGCACAGTAAGGAAAAAATTGTCCCAAAATCACTCACACTTATTGGCATGAATGAAGTACTCTACTCCATGTGTGTACAGCTTCAGAGCTTCCTCGTAGTTGCCGTTTTTGTCTTCCTCTGTTGCCTTGGTTACGATGTCAATGGCTTTCTGTGAGATTTAAAGGGAAGGAAAAAAGCAATAATGTTAAATATCTAGCGCTTGGTAACAGTTGACCCAAAAAATGATAAAAAAAAATATCAAATGTGTCAAGAAGTAGGCTACATGTATTCCAGTGTTATGATTTTTTTTTATTCCCCAAATTTGCATGTTCACTTTTTCTTCCTTTAATTAGTTGCCAAGCACTGAGGAGAAAAGTGCATGAGTACCAGTAGAACCTATCAGTCAAAGGTTAAGCTGTAAATCATTAACTTATTCTAACTTTATTTATTGATTTATTGATCAATTTGACAGGCAATGCCATGTGTTTACTTAATTTGGAACAAGAATGAAGGGGAACTTTTCTCTGATTACTAGTTCCCAACTTTTGTGATCTGGCCATCACTAATTTTTCCCTTCAGTGACTGATCAAACATCAGAAAGTGATAATATGTCCTAAAAAGTCAAATTTAGCAGGGAAAATATTGAAGTAGTTACTGAGAAAAAACAGTTAGAAATTTTCAGACCAGCGCCATAGAGTTTGCGCACAGGGTAACAAGTGATGGCCAGATATGGGCATTCCCAAAATCCTCCAGAGCCACAAATCAGAAAAAAGATGGAATATTCTGCAAATAAATGTAGGAGCCAAGCCGTAGATACACGATCGCCGAAATAGGATCACGTAGCTTTAAGGGGTCTGACGACATAGCCACGTTCACTACGTTCACAGGTTTAGGGCCTAGGCTACTTATTTAATGCGGATTATGGTAAACGCTTCGTAAAGAAAATTGCCTTTTGGTTTTGCCGACAGCTCATATTTATAATATTTTAAAATATTTAACATTTAAAAAAACACAATTTTTTTTCAATAGGCCATGGAGCTAGGAACACATGCCTACACTGCACAACCAGTTTGGAAAAATGTGGACGGTGGGAAAAAAAGGAAATCGTCATCGTGATTCATTTGTTGTGTGCATAAAACTAAAACTAAGTAAAACATGATAAAAAAAAAACATAAACATGATTAAAAGGCCCGATTATACCTGTAATGTTCCACCTGAGGACATGTTTCTGGACTCTTGCTTCTACAATTGGAAAGAAACTTGTCAACTACCACAATCGAAAGGAACGTGGTCTTTCACATCCGCTTAAATAGATAAATATAGCCCAAAAATATCGCTCAGCGTTGAAAGAACTGCAATGCAAGATGAGTAAAATGGCGATGATGGCAGGTAATCGGCAACCAAGTCTCGTTCGGAAGCACAGTGATGGGCTGTGCCGGGTACCGGCGATTAGTACAGCTGCATGATGATAAGTCACCGATAGAAAATAACGCATGACTAACAGTAGGCGTGTCAATTGCTTTAAAAAATGGGGGAGGGTTATTTTTTTTTAAGAACGCAGCCATTCCAAGCGATCTGATTTCAAAACAGGTGATTTCGTTTTTCTGTCGATCATTTGCAAGTAGGAATACTTTGAAGTAATTTTACATCATGCATCATGATCCACATCAACAGGCAACTTACGCCCAGCAGGCGCCACAGCCTAGCCGGGCTGGACTAGTCTAGCTCCCTGATTTGAGAATCAGAATTAGGGGAAGAAAAAACTTTCTTTGCATCGATTTTTAAGAAAAACATATTTTACGCCATTTGCTCACTTGATTTTTACAAGGAAACTAATGAGAAGATATGTTCTGGCGCTTGCGCTGTTGAATGTTGTCGAAATAAAATACATAGGCCCACCTAAATAAATCTTGATGAGGCCATCAGGCCATCAGACTCAGTCATGGGCGACGCCAGGTTTTTTTTTTGGGGGGGGGAGGTACAAACTACTCATCGATCGGCAGAAGGGGGTGCTGAGTCTCCCATCGTCACATCCAGGGGATATTATGGTGGTGGGGACGAGCAAAGAAGGGCGTGGGGAAGGAGAGGGTGGGGCTTGACTTCATGGGGGGGGGGCGCTGTAAAGTTACGTTTAACGGCGCGTTAAGGCACATTTCCTCTCTTTTTTTAAATTACGAAACATGAACAGTATTTTGATTACAAAACGATATTGACTTAAACCATCTTCTTTTCTTCCCATTTTTCCGGTGGTGGTGTTCGGGGTGGGGTGGCAACGTACCCTTTGCCTGCACATGCACGCCCATTATGGTCAGACAAGACTGCACCGTTTCACTGATCCAAACAGCCAAGCAGGCTCTTATTTTAATTTGGCTATATACATTGTAAACGTGCACATGTACTTTAATGTGGTGGCCGCAGATCTGACAGACATCACAATTTCTGACCAATGAAAAAAACTCGGAAGTCGCTACTGTGTCGGGGACATCATAGTTTTCGCATAAGTTGATTCCCCCTACGTGACACACATCGATTTTTCCCCTGCCATGTAGCACACAAAGGAGATGATTTTCTGTCAAGTCAACCACTGCTCCTAATTCTTGAGTTTAACTACTTTTTTTAATACATACAAACAAAGTTACGAGAAAAAAAGTCGACGCGAGTTTCCGATTTTCTGTAAAAGGGCATATTAAATAAGAAAATTCACCGACAAACACACAGTTACATACGCGACGGTATAATTGGCTGATCATACCAACCGCCAAGAAATTCTTACAGCGTGACTTTATCTGTTAGGGATTAGGCCAACAACAAAAAAGTCTCCGGTTTCTGGTATGGAGCTTGTCCAAAAAGTGGTGCGGCTACGCGGCTTTTTTTTTTTTTTTACCCGACTTTTTTGCTTCAAATTTGCTTCAAATGTCGGCTGATGACTGCAAATGATGCCCGACTAAACTTAGTGCAAATATATGGGAGTCCAGAGAGGCCACATAAAGCTTATTCTCGATCATAACCCCATCTAAAAACACGTTGAAATTGCGCAGCAGCAGAATTCCAGTCAAACCAGTGAGTTTGGCGGTTTTGAGACATCATCTTTCATTGAAAAAAAACCTTTTTCATTTTGCCGACGCGCATGGCTACGGCGACGCGCGCGCATACCAGAAACCGGAATTTTTTTTTTTTTGGCCTTAGGGAACCCTCTATCCAAATTTTTCCCGCCGTTTTTGGACACAACCTGACTTTGAGAATACATTTCATGACACAAAACTGTTTTCATCTAAGTGAATTGAAACCTCACCAACGGAGAGATTTAATTGGCAAGCGTCTACTTGAGGCGAATCAGGGAAAAGTCGATTATAAACTCCCCCAATGACTTTACATTGAGCGAGCAAATTAACTTTTAGCCAATAAGATATAAGGAAGTTTCCGCGCGCACGCACTTAAGTTTTGAATACTATGCCCCTGCATGCTGACTGCAGAGGTCGGTCATAGCATGGAGGATTCCTCCATGGTCATAGTACGGATCCCCGGCTCCCCTCCAGTGTGGTGGGTGTGCAGCAGGTGGGGGGGGGGGGGGGGGCACAGTATCAGTTTGGGGGACTTATTCTTTTATTAGAGAGGATTGGAGCTAAAGTTGACATAGGGCCTATGGCTATACTAGGCTACATACGTACAAAATAACCAGCAAAGACATCCATGTAGAAAATGCAGTTTTTTATATTTCACATCCAAAATACAAGAGAAAACATACCGCTGCAAACCATTTACAGTACTTTTTTTAAATATATATTTTTGGCATTTTTTTCCATGCTTTCAAACATCAAAAGTGCAACATAAGTGGAAAATAGAGATATATAAACTATGGCTATTGCTGTCCGCTTACTACAAAATTTTGATCGCAATACAAAAGTAACAAAGAAACATGTAATATAGAACTGCTTCTCAATAAATACATCTTAATATAAATATTTCTTTTTGAATAAATAGATTTTTCAAATCATATTGCTGTGGCAATCTATTGTGTAGCTCGCCAAATTTCCATTCCTCAAAAGTGCCCAAAATAATTTAGCAATATTTGAGAAACGCTTCCTATGAAGTAAACAAATGAAAACGTTCACAAGTTTGAGCCAAAAGAAGGAAGAAATTCAGTGAAAATGAGACCAGTATTTAAATTACCTTGATCGCCTAATACCAACTTAAAACATTTTGTGGTCGATGGTGTTACAAATGCATTAGTATACCTAATTACTAAACTCTTTTTGTTTTAAGTGTATACAGAATTTAGCATAACATGCAAAATGTAGGTGAACTATAAGCAGGGTGAAATGACCATCTCGCTAAGTTATTTTGGGCACAATTCCTTTTTTGGAGTTTCTGGTCGTTGAAAACACTTAGATCAAAACGGATCTCAGTATGAAGATGCAGATTAGGGTTTGTAGCATGAATGTAGGCAAATGGAGGGACATGGACCCGTTGCCATCATGGCCGCTGTCTGACTTGCCGCCTGGATCACTGCTTTCTCCTGGACTCCCTGCATTGTCCACTGGTCTTGTTTCCTGTAAGCAAAAACAGGAAAAAAACAGCAGCAGTTGTAAGTGGTAGAGACAAACTGAGAAAAGAGAAAAGTGATCCAAGAGAAAAGAAAATATCAGTTTTAAAACTTGGCCAGGCAGGGTCTTGATTTCTCTGAAGTTGGCAATTGCAGTATATTACTATTAGTAGTCATTTGGGAAATTACGACAGGCTACAACTTCAGGACTAAGAAAATTATTTCAAATCAAACTCAATGCACTTAGGATTTAAAAAGTGGTGTTATAAAATACGTTTATTTTAATGCTTTTTAGCTAGAATGGAATAGATTATTGTTTTGGTATTGAGACCAGGTATTTTAAAACAAACTACACAGAACATTTTGTACAACTGGACTAAAAACCAATATCATATATCAATTTTGATATCAAAATTTTTAATATCAATCAAAATCAATAATAAAAATATATTGTACCTCATTTAAGATGCGGGGGCTTGACTGCACACACTTGAAGGTTTCACTCGAATACTCCTCCCCTTCGTCGTTGCAAATGCATGCACGGTTCTTCGGGTCGTGGACGGAGTTTAACGGACAGCCTTTGAAGAGAACTGTCTGGTGTACGATAATGGGCTCATCGATCTTGTCTTCCACGTCTCGCCGGAGGATGTCTCTTTTCCGTCGGGCAGTCCGCTCCACCAGCCTGAAGACGCAAGAGATGGTATACTCCCTGGATGTGGCAGACAGAGCCTTGTTGGTGAAGATCGTGCGGTGGATTTCACTGGCATGGATGTAAGTGTGCGAATCTAGAGTCTAAGGGGAAGTAGGGAGCAATGCCATGAATAAAACAATTACCAGTGGTAAAGTATATGTTGGAGCCTTTGGTTTGATTTCAAAATTTTGTAGTTAACAGAACATGCATCTTAAAAAAAAATGACTTCAGAAAATTTGATCAGCCGTTAGATAGTAAACTGCACCTGTACATACAGATTTGACATCACTATTTGGCAATTGTAGAATGAAGTAAAAACCCTCAAATATGGCTGTGTGCATATACGCAGGTGAAATCCAAAATTGCTTTTAAAGAAATTGACTGAAGATTTGTTCTCTTACATGCCATTGACTTGCCATTGCCATTGCCATTGTTAAGCTCAAACAATTAATCATAAGGCTACCCTCTTGGTTATCAATACTTAATACATTGATTACAAATCAGAGACAAACTTCCAACTCTTCTGATTTGACCACATTCTCACTTGAGAAGAAGTGGCGATGTCATCAGCATAGAGGTCTGTGTACTGGGATGGGGTGGTGTACAAACGGTAGTAGAAATTTGGTGAGACATACGCTGTGTAGGAACTCTCTGGTGGTGCAGTCAGGCAACCCTGAAGCATGACACATAAAACGGAATTCAAATGGGGAGTCAGGTTGGCGCAGTGGTGCTTTCCTCGCCTTCCACCTCTATGGCCTGGGTTCGATTCCCGCCAAGGGACATACCTGATTCTGTGGGTTTCCCCAACGTTTTTTCGGGTTTCCCTCCCACCTCTTAAACTTTCTTCATTGTCTTCTCTCTACAGATTTCTGAGCTACAGTGCCCCGGGTCTTTTTAAGGAATTCTTGGTTTCATTGTCGGGAATAACAAAATGCAATTTGCTCTCTGCCCAAATTGTCAAAAAAGCAAGTTGCTCAGGCAAAATTGACTTTTGCAGCAAGGGTTACATTGCTAGTATCTACAAAACCCTCTCCCATGAACCACAAGTGTCAAGCATTCGTTTTGTGCAATTAGTCTGAATAGAATTTCCATTTTCAAATCACTCATGAAGTTTGTCATTAATGAAATATATTACAAGTACCCTTCTGAGTTAATTTATGCAAGTAAATTCATAAGCCAAAAGCCCTTTTCCTCACCACTGACTTTATAAGTTGGTGTTATGATAGTTTTAGTTTTGAGTTGTTTTTCTTTTTATGCAAATTACATATCAAAACCACAAAGCTTAATTGAACACAAACTTACGTCGCCCGAGTTGTATTCATTGCCGACGCACACCACGAACAGCGTCAATTCCATCTCCAGCTTGTCTCGCAGAAAAAGTGGGAAAAAATGCGTATCCACGGTAACCGGCTCAAGATGAGAAACACCAGGTTGGACGCCATCCCTGATGTCAATGGATGGGTCCGATGCATGCACTTTCTTCAAGTAAATCCTAAGAAAGTGAATTACAAAATAAACAAAAAAAATAAGAAAGTGTGCATAGTTTACACTGTGCTTCAAGGCAGGGCCAACACAAATTCTGAGCTAACCTTGTCAAAACAAAAAGTTAGGGACATGATGTATATGTCACATACACAAGCCCAAACTCCTCACTCAACTGTAAAATACACCAAAGAACTAATTTTCTGTGGAGATTATAGTTTCAGGTTCATGTCACACTTGTTTACTGAATGGCATATTTTCGCGTGATGCCAACTTTCCATTGCATCGAATAAAAATAGGAAAATTCTTATCAAACGAGCAATGCATGGAGAAGCTCCGATTTTTCTCCAAGGCCATATCCGAATCAGGTACTTCGTGGCTACGTCTTCAAGTTATTACCAATGGCATGCTATAGTGAATAGCCACAGCCACAGCTAAAAGCTGTTATTACCTGGGACTATCCTTTGTGTCATCCACAACTTCCACCGTAGTCTGCAAGGTGATCTCATGGGACACGATGGCCTCCGGAATTTCCAATCGTCGACAATTGGAGCGGTCGTTGTTGGGACAGTCATACGTGTCGAACTCGAATGTAAACTCGCCTGCAAGTGTACACCAAGATTAGCTGGACATGTATGCTTTTGTTGCATAGGATGTCCTTACTCCCAGGGAGAGAAGGTGGTATAAAGTCGGCCTCAGGTTGACCTATGATTTGCTTGCGCCGCGACAGAACCAGCCTTGGTCAAGGCGTTCGTCGATAGTGTCCGTGATGGTATCTGGCCGCTAAAAACATAAAGGCTCATTCTTTGCCGACTGATTGCATATTGTAGCCGCGTGACATTGCTGTTCGCACTTTGAACGTGTCTTGACCTATACCAGTTCCGTCGCTGCGCAAGCAAATCGCAGGTCGACCCGAGGCTTGACTTAACGGAAATAAGCAGGGGTATTAATTATTGTAAAGCACTTTACCTAAAAGCACTATATAAATATCTATTCCAATTATGATGACCCTCCTGACCTGTAGCATCAATAGGCATCCTGTTGGTTGCTCCTGTAATGTCAACCTCCAGAACCAATGTGAACACCCAACGCTGCGTACAGTAGTTCTCCCACTCTGTCAAGTTGCAGTAGGGCGCATAATTGGCGTAGAATTGACTGGGCTCATTTGCTGCCACTGTTATAAATTGAAATGAATGTTAAAATTCAGAAAAATCAATATTTCTACCAATGATATTTCAATAACATATTTCAATGACATATTTAATTAGCAGTTTTAATCAAAGGGTTACCTGTAACATTAGAAATACTAATTTTGGGCAGTTTTAGGACAATTCAACAGTGTGTGTAATTATGATGGAACAAATCCTTTAGTTACTACAATGATGTAAAACGAAATTATTCATCCAAGTTTTTGTTGTAATAGAAATTGGCTGGAAACGCCATGATGTACGTCGGACGTACGTACTCTGACAAGTTGATTTTTGGTGTAATTTTTCAGTTAAAGTAACATCTGAACTGTTGAATAGTGTTAGAAATAAACTATATTTCAATAAATACCGATAAGCTTCAAAATGATTGACATATTTTCACTTGTGGCATTTGGATTTATTAAACTTTTTTTCACTGAGGTTTATAATTCTGTGGAATTGCCTTTTTATTAAAAAAAAACCAAACCCATTGTATACAATGCAATAACACAAAAGCACAATGATACTGCAATTATATACCGTTAGGGGTGCAGGACGCTTGCGCTGCGCCAACATCGCACAATCCAGTGGGCACGTTGGGATCGAGTGTGTAGCACCACGGTTGCGTGGAGTTGTTTGGATTCCGGCAAAAGTTGTGGTCGCCAATGCCGTAATCGGCGTAGTCCTCTGGGGTAAAGGAATGGGTGTGGTGTTCTTGAGCTGACCAGCGCTGGCAGGTCTCACCAGACTCGGTGACAGAAACTGTTCCTCGGTAGTCTGTTCCATTGACGTCCGTGTGGCATTCAGTATGAGCTATTCAAATGAGATTAAAAAAGGATAACTTGATCAACCTTGGGTTTGAAACACAGAAGAATGATTTTTTTTCCTCCAGGGTTCAAGAATTTGATGAGTGCCTTGTTTTAGGAAAATCTGACCAAAGTATTGGTGATTGGAGCATCATGTATGTTTGTCCTCCATGTGTGCAAGGAAGATTTTTTTGTGGTTGCCCGAGTGGGATCAAGAATCCTCCATTGTGTAGGAAGTTACCGACCTTCTTTGATCCGGCAACATCCTGGGACAAAAACCAAGGTGAAGTTTGAAGAAAGTGGGATGGTTTAGGGGTCATTCTTAACCTACCGTCACATCCAAGCAGCTCAATTCGCATGGCTATGCCGTCAGCCCATTCCTGTGGCAAGATGCGGATCCTTCGGGCCAAAACGGGCTCGTCAAAGTAATTGGACACGATGGTCTGACTGTCAAAGTTGCCTTCAAATATCTGTGTGGTGACAATGACAGACGATTCTTCATCAAATGTGAATAGTTGAGGTACAAAAAAAGTCCATGAAAACAAACCTGCACGTTCATTGAGCACCCTTGTTTTGGGGTTTAAGATTTGTTTGTGAACTCACTTGTAAAAGTAGAGAATAAACATGGTATGTTACAACCATTAAAACTTTGAGGTGGTTGCCCAATTATTTAATTCTCCACAGACCAAAACATGACAACTTTAAAACACATGCATATCCGTTTTGAACGGAAGCACTCGCTTAAAGATGGGTGCAGTGCAAACGATATATTGATAAACAGTCTTGATCACATTCATTAGTTATTGAGTGTCATGGCCTAGCGGTTAAGAGCACTGGACGCATGCACTGGTGTATCACAGGCAACAGTGGCATGGGTTCGAGCCCGGGTCTGGACATTTTGTGTCCTTAAGCAAGGCACTTAACCATTACTGCTTCATCCTTTGGATGGGACGTAAAGCCGTAGGTCCCGCGTGTTGTGTAATGCAATGCACATAAAAGAAATAACCCATAAGAGAAGGGCTTTGCCCCAGTGTTTCTGGCCTCTTGTTAAAACTCCCCCGCTGAGTATTTAGGTTTACCAACCAAGAACCCGAGAGTCGACCATAGTTTCTGAATCTAATGTCTGATCCCTTGTCCCAAGAAGAATCTTGTACTCACGACTGGCACACCAGATCCGTTAACGAGAGTAGTCAAGCCACCAGCAGCCTCGGTGCTGTAGGACACGCTGTACCTTGTTACCCACATAACAATTGCCTCCAGAATGTAACCTTGAGTCAGTACCCCAGACACCCACTTGAGGGTAAGCAAATCCACCTGTAGCAATCAAAAAACAAGCCAAACATTTCAGGACCAGTAGACAAATAGTTTGCCATTACAAAGATGCTTTTCGGCAATTACGAATTTTCAATTTGTATTTTTTTAGTCAAACAGAAAAACTCTATTTTTGAACATTTTTAACACTCTGAAAATATTCTTTTAATTTTGGTTGCTTTTGCAACACGCCGAGACACAAAAGATGCACTAGAATTATTATCACAGGCCGCAAATAATTGTAGAACTTAAGTATAAGTAATTTTCGCAGATTTTTTGCTTGATAGCCTACCCGATTTAAAAAGTGAATAACTTTTGTGTTGCCAGAAAAATATCACTTTAAAAAACAAAATCAATTTGGGTTGAAACTCAAAAATAGGATGGGGAGAGAAGCCTTAAGGAAAAAGAGATGTCCATCCAACTAAATTTGCCACTACTATCAAAGGAAAGTGTTGACCGCATGTTTTTTCATTAGTCTAGTACCTGTATCCACTGATTGAGATTGGCATCGGCAGCCAACCAGGCACCAGCCGAGAAAGCGTCAATGGGTTGAGCATTTAGTCGCCCCTTGGAGGCGCTGTACTCCGCACTACTCAACCAGACAGATGAGGAGGTCATCTGATTGTCCGCGATGGTACCATCCTCCACACCGAGGGGCAAGTCACAACCTAGCAATTCAGAGAATTTTGTGCAACTGTCAAATTTTAAGTTTGAAGTTTACTTTGCAAGAAACTTGTGCCGGGGCAACATTCCGCGGCTCTGCTACATGTATAAAACAATCATTCACTCATGTTCATTCATGTAACTAAGACTGTTATGATGCAAAAATCTGCATAGAGAAACTAGGATATTAATAAAAAAAAAAAAAAGGAAAAGCGATAAATGGTACCTCGGGGCCAATTTCGTGGAAAACACTTGGAATAGTGAAAAAAAAAATACCAAACTAATAAAAAATGTCAGATGAAAACAAAGAAAGTGCATTTTGTAGAGTGTAATAGTTTGATAGAGTTGCAAACATCGGAAGAAAAAAATGAAAGTTAATGCATATGCAAATCACCAGCACACATACAACTTATACAGGAACCAATTTGGTAGCTCTGCGCACTAGGAAAGTTGCTTTTGTTAATCACTCTTTAGGCTTACAGTGCTAGAAAAACATCTTAGCTAATCCCGTGATAAAAATATTGATAGGTTTTAGGAATGTAACGTATATGCACAAGTTACGAATGAATCACGTCAACTACTATCATTAAATTCTTATATGGTAAGCAAATTGTCTTAAGTTATGCTGTGCAGAACCATATACATATATGCTCATAACAAAACTTTAATCACTTAATCAGAATTCAGAAAATTACCTCTGGTGGGTATCATTCTGATATGACCAATCTTGTTGTTGCCGAGGAGATCTGCAGGGTCGTAGGTCAGACTATTCACCCTGTAGACGGATATCAGGCTGCCGTTTGGGTGATTGGTCAGGGTACGAAATGCAATCTCAACCTCTGCACGCTCCCTGTGAATATGAGATTAAAATTCTTCCAATTATACAACTGCTCCAAAAATTTGATGTAGAAAACTAGTTTTCTAAGAAGCAGAAACAATTTCTCAACTTCTGACTATAAAAGGGCAGTCCATCGAGTTGGAAAGTTAGCCGAGCTGGGGGAGGGGGAAGACAACAGACAGATTTTAAAAACTACAAAAACAAATCAAACTACTTGTAGAAAATTCAAGTATTTTTGTTGGGGTGGGGGTGGTGAGGAGAATAGCAGGCTAGAGGTGTCAAACGAGGGAAAAATATACAAAATTGGCCTTGTTTTGCAAGCACCACACAACTACCGGAAAGATTTCCATATACAAAGTTCACTAATTTTCCTCTGTATTGACTAACAAGCCCCCTGATTGCAATTTCATGTCATCAAAGTCAATTTGAGCAGTGAGAAAATACAAGCATTTTCTTAGAAAACACTTAGAATTTTCAGTCCAATCTCATAGGGTTTGTACACAGGGTGTTGAGTGAACTTCGTATATGGAAATCTTTCCCAACTACCTTACCTGTCAAATCCATATTGCTCATCATCATTCAGATAGACAGGCCTCACGATGGCATACTCAAAGATAGGCCTGAGTCTCTCCGTTGAGCTAATCAAGAACCTACAAAACAATATCAATAAGAAAGGTCTGTCAATTCTAAAAACGAAACGACTGATATAGAAATGGTAAATATAGAGTTTCCTTTTGCTTTATTATGCTTTCCTGAAAAATTCATACCAAATTTTACCCAAACACCCAAAATCTGACAAAGTACAATATGTTTTTATGATCAGTAGATTAACAACAGATGAGCATAAGCTTGGGCAACTTCCATGTTGATGGTTATTTGAAAGGTTGTAAATTTAGTAAATATGTTTCTTATGAAAGCAATCTAGAGATAAGTTTTGACGACTCATTTTGACGGCAATTCATGAAAGGTAACCCACAGATTTCGCAGAAGGTCCCAAATATTCTACTCACCTTGACAGTGCAACACGCAACAGACGCCAGTATAAGATTGCATAACTCTGAACATAGGCCGGCTCCGGGTTGGAACTGGTGCCTTGGGGTCGCACGTTGGTCATGTAGAGTGTTGTGTTGAACTCAATGGTTTCAGGCGTGACCTGTTTCTGCCAGATGGTCATATCATCACTAGTCTTGCAATCAAACATGGTGTCTATCGAGCCTGCGTAGTAGGACAAAGTTGGAGGAACACAAACCAGTAATGATCAAGCATTTTACATCAGTTGAGGCAAAACCTAATTAACAATTTCCATCTCTCAATGAGAAATCCCATCATATAAGTTAATGATTGTGGTGCCCACTGCAGTATCAGAATCAAACAATCCAGCCTATGCCTGGCAAGCTCGGTGGTCGAGTGATTAAGACGTCTGCACTCAAAAGTAGGTCGTGGGCTTGAAAGGATTCATTTTCTCAACAAGATGTTTAAAAAACAAGGCTATTTGGAATTCAATTGTTTTGCAGAATTGGCTATGGTTTTAAAAAACACATCAAAATGTATCCTAACCCTAAAAATCCACAGGTATTGAAGTTGTTGGGATTGAGGAAGATTGAAGACTAGCTTCTTGATTAACAACTTCATTGATGTCCTTTCGAGTTTATGCACAGTGGCGGACCTCACATTAGTGTCACAACAATTTGAATAATCAAATTTCCTTTTCAGCAATACAATCATATGGAAGATTTTTGCCTTCATGTCGTTCAGCAAAGCCAGCTATTCCTACCATCAAACTGAAGACGGTCCTCCCTGACCTGCATGTCTCCCTTCTGGATAAGTGTCGCATTCGACTGAAAGGTGTTGAACAGCGATTTGTTCCCAGGTGGGACAGGAATAAAGCCGTCATTGTAGAAACCATTTGCAGACTGGTGTGGACAAAAAAAACAATTTAAATTTTTAATTTTTAAATTGTTTTTTAATGTCGTTTCAAAACACACCGAGTTTATATAGACACATTCAACTCGCTCTGATCATACCCATCACATAAGCTGCATTTTGAACTGGTAAAAATTTGAATATACTCACGTGATACGGTACTGTGGTAAAGACACTGGAGCAGGTCCCTGTGTGCTCTGCGACCAGTTTACCCCCATCCGTCCTCACCACAGGCTGAAGAGACTTGTTATTGCTGTGGTGAAAATCTTGGAAGTCAAGGACCCAGACCTCATCCTGGCCCTGCGTGTTCTCCAATAGAACGTCCAGGGAAACTTGACCTGTGCACACAATGCAGATCAGAAATCTAAAGTTTACTGTTTTTTTAAAACAAATTTTACCATGATTTCCTGAGGAGATGCACCCTGAATGAAAAAAGGCCAAGTTGGTGACCACCAAAATAATGAAATAATGTATTCAGGCACAAATTTCTGGTCGTGCACAAAAAATAATTATCATAAATGGTATCAGAAAGGGTTATACTCGAAAGAAAACAAGATCTCCATACATGGACATCACTAAGTTTTCCTTGCAGTGACCTATCACTAGTATCAGCCATCAGAAAGCGATAACATGTCCTAAAAGTCAAATTTAGCAGGGAACATATTGAAGCATTTATTGAGAAAACACAGAATTTTTCACACCAGTCTCATTGGTTTTGTGCACAGGGTGTCACGTGATGTCCAGGTATGGAATTCTTTCCCAGAAAACAATCATTGAAGCAGTTTTTTTTACCAGGCCCATCTTCTAACAAAATTGGAAAATGATTCCCAGACTGTCCAAATTAATCATTAATAACTCCAAATAATATAATAGTACGTACCGTTTTCAATTTCGAACTTTTCAACCCTTGCCTGCCCCATCTTTTCGAACAAGTCATCTTTTCCGTGGAGGTTCACATCACCGAATGCTGCCCTGGCGCTAGGCGTCGCCAGACCCAGCACCAACAGGCAACACAACCCGGTCACGGACATGTTCTCGGAGTCACGAAAACCCGGCCTCGAAGCGGTCCGGTCCGAGTCAATTTAGTTACCCCTAACAGACAGACTGTCCACGACTTTCATACAGATCGGAGACAGGAAGATTTGAGAATACGAGGGTAACAATCACTGAAAATCTAGTCCCGATAACATGAGGTACGGCAGACCATTGCGAGCAGCGGACTTTGGAAGAGAGCAGAAACGCACCACGCCCCACCACACCAAGTTGGAATTCGCGCACAATCTGATTCTGCCAAGCACGTGCTTTCCTATTTATTTGCCAGGGTACGACTACTTTTTGAAGGAGGGGTGTTTCCAATCACTTTAGAAGATCCATAAATTAATATGATTAAAAACCAACGTGAAATGCTGATTGGGAAAGCAAATTCGGCTCATGGTAGTTTTTTTAATTAGGATCTCAAAACTGCATGTATCGAATGAGCAAATAAATTAAAATCAAGTCAACATTATATTATACATCGTGTCGTGCCCTCTCACATGCAGTGGTAACGGCCGCATACCTTCAATAATTCTGGACCCTTTTTCTGGAATTTACGGCCGGCTCAGCCGGCTACTTATTGAAACTGTTGTTCGAATTTCCTGATATGTATACAAAAAAAGACATTCATCTAATTGAAATGCAAGAATTTCCCAGGGAGTGAAGTCATGAATTTAATCGCTAGGTATAGGGACCTCGGCTGTAATGTAACCCCTTTACAAAGGGAGAATATGTCACCACGTGCAGCATTTCGGGATTATAAGTATTTTTTTCACTTCACTCGGCCCAGTTTAATGTTATTTATCATGTTAAACAGTGTTCTTGAATTGTTCCAAATAAAAATCGATAGTTCACCGGCCTACAATGTACATTAGTTAAAACCCGGCCCCACAATATTGGCCGGCCCCGCCCCTTAGCACAAAAGCCGGCACCCCATATTGTGTTCGTTTGTCCTTAGCATGTGTTATGTACAGAGCTAGGCGAGGCTCGGCGTCTGGGAACCGCCCTGCTCTCAAATTACAATGGCGGAGACCGGGGCAGCTGTGGAGACCGAAAACACAGAGAAGAATGCCGAAGAAAACGTCGATGTACCGGCAGAAAAACCGGTCGAAGAACCGGACGCAGACACGGAAGAGAAAGTAGAGAAGGAACCCGACGCTGCAGAGTCAAAAGTGAAGGAATTGACGGATAAGGAGGGCATGAACATTAAGAATTTAGCGTGTGAGCGATGTAAGAGTATTGTTCTACGTCCCGGATTGGCAAATGCCACACAGAAAGAGGTAGGCACAGCCACTGGAGCTACATCAGCTTCATCATGGTTGACCCCTTAACCAGTTATGATATGGAAACAGATGGTTACTTTCCAATGATGCACCACAACATGGGCCCCGAAAATGTGTCTCCCATGAAATGTTTTGAAAAGTCGGGCCGGGGGGGGGGGGTGTTTGAGCCTGGGGATTAAACGGGGGATAGTAAAGTGAGGCTTATTACATTTGTGAAAACTAGGGGTTTTTTTTTTTAGGGGGAGAAAAGGGTTTTAAATTTTGGACACAACTAATGGAATTGTTCTGCTTAATATTTGTAAAACGATCTGTCATAAGTCTGTATTTTTTTTAAGTTCATAGATCTCTTTCAATCCTAATTTTATTTTTTACAGAAGTTTTTCTGCCATATTTTCTCAAAATAGGGCAGTGGCAATAGTGAGTATCCGAATGTTATAAAGGTAATAAATTGGGTCCAGTTACTCTGACTAGGCCTACCTTAGACCTGTGAATGTGGTCTAGGCCTACATGCACTTCAAGTATTTTGTTCACTGTCATATTTGTTTATTAATGTTTAATCCTTCTTTCCACAGTTTTTTCTTCCACACATGAAGGTCAAGTCGGCAAATCAAGAGCCCAATGATGGAGAAACGCTCCAAGATTTCTGGCTGGTCAAGGGCATGTACACATTTGAGAATGTCGGCTTTACAAACACCGTGCAAAACATCAAGTACCTGATATGTGCTGACTGCGAAGTGGGACCCATCGGCTGTCAAGAACTTCAGAACAAAGACAATTTTTACGTCGCGGTAGATCGTGTTATATACACATGAGAATGCTGCATGTTTTCAAAAGGTTTTTACGTCTACCAAGACTGTTTCTTTGCTTTGGCTGATGACTCTTTTTTATGTTATTCAATTTACATGTTTTTGGATGAGGCCAGACATATTTACTAGAATCAGAAATTGTTTACGCTATTCCCCTTGAAAATAAATGTATTTTTGTCTTTCATTCCAAAATATCTCGCAAAACAGAACCACAAAAGTTTAGTTTTAACTGTACATTCTACATTTCTGGAGCAAACAATTTGTAATAAGTAACTCCATGGTTGCACGCATTCAGTATTTTTTTTTTTTCTAAAATGTATCAGAGCCTGCCCTTAATAGCACATACTTGGCTTGTATGACCTTCATGGAAAAAAGTGCTTCCTGCTTACAAATTATTCATCCAACACTTTGGACAGTTTATGCAGGAACCTTCCCTATTCCTCCAAAAATATATCATTGTACAGTAAGCTTATTGTGCCCTCATTGTGTTCAACTTTGAAAGGGCATCAACCCATGCCGTGTGAAATAGTTCTGTACCTTTTCAGCCCGATAGTTTTTTTATATTAATGGTAGACTTTTTGGTAGTCAACTACATGTAAACGTATATCCATGCATGCATTTGTTTTCAGTATTGTAGTAAAGCATTCCATTTTCTACACATTAGTGTGTTTACAATCAACAAAACTATATATGGGAGTATTATATTTATGTCAATAATGAGCACTTGAGGTTGAGCAAAAGTAAAAGCAGTGCTGGATTTACCTAATAATTAATTGTGACAAAAACTGGTACATCTACTTCATGTGCCAAAAGTAGATATGTAAATGACCTCAGAAAGGCTCTGGCCTTGACCCAATTTCAAGGCTAACCAATTTCATCAGCGTAACTACGGATTATGTGCTTACAGGATTAGATGAAAATGAATTAAACTGCTGCAAACTGCTTACTGGATTGACCTGAAATATACAAATCAGCAAAATGAGAGAGCCAAACGTTTCGGTCTTAAGCAAGACCTTGCTCAAAGTCGGGTTTAGCACAGAATTGTTTTGCTAGCCTTTTTGGCACAAAATGGTGATCTGTGATTAGGCCACAAAAAAAAATAGTTCTGCTTCCGACTACATGGATTTGCAAAAAGGGTAGGTAGGTAGGGATTTTTTTTTTTTTTGCAAATTTTTTTTGTGTACGATCACAGGAGGCTTCTGCGTGTAGACAAGGGTAAAAGGTAGAAATTGATGGTTTTGGGTGTTGTTTTCTCATTTTTCCAATAAAAAAATTAGGGTAGGGGCTGTCAGAATAGGACCACCGGAAGCAGAACTACATTTGTATTTTTGTTTGGCCTTAGCAGAGCCATGAAATTAGGCCCTGTTGCTGGTAAATACATGTAATGTGGTTTTTACTCTTTTTTTACTCCATTGAGGTAAACCGTCTCTGCAGATGTGTGGAAGACACTTTGAAGTCGGCACAACTATTATCATGTCATGAATATTTAGTCGGTCCTGTTATAGCTGAATAGCAAGTAAATCATTCATTGTAATTAAAATCTCCATTCAGGCTCGTACAGTGTACATTTGTATACGGTTTGTTTTATTCAGTATTTCTTGAATCTTTGAATGGTCAGTGAGTACTGAAATGAATAATCCTTGATATTTAAAAACATTTACTGTACTGGTCATGATCAATGCTTACGATTATGAAACTTCTGATTTCTGATAAATTAAAAATAAACATTAAAAACAAAATTCAATTCAGTTAAAATAATGTGAATTAAATACAGGAATGCATATGCAACCACTAGCCCATCTTTGGTGGGTGATGGGCACATAACTGCAAAATTTAATATGAGCTAGATAACAGATTCATGTATAAATGAAAAATATACTTTTGTTTTGTTTTAAGTTGTTCAAAACAGGGAAATAACAAGGTGTACTTATAACTGTTCGCTTTTACAATGTTACCAATATTTCTTTTAATACATGTATCATGTGCACAACCATGCCATATTTGCAAAGACTGAACTTTTACTAAAAAACGGATAGAAACAAAACAGCAACAGTTTTAATGAATATCATACTCTCTACAAGCAATGATTACATGCAGTGAACAACACAGTTGCAGCGCACTTTATGTGTGCATATAATATAAAATATAAATATAAATAAATAATTGAATACGAAATTTGTGAAGCACAAAGCAACAAGTATATGTGATGTATTCATTTGAAGTAAAAAAAAAAGTGGGCACAAACCGTAATATGGTAAAAATGTCTAATATGACTACTAAAAAATGAAAATAAATTGTACTGAAAATTGCGAAACTTAAGGGGCCCTTTTCTCTAGTTTTCATGAATACCGGTACATTATGAAACAATCCCAACTTGGAAATTGATATTATTGATGATATAATATCCAATTGCAATAACAGAAATGGCATTGTAAAGAAACTAGACGTTTTTTTCAGAATTTAACTCACCCCTGCCCAGTACTGTCTCACTTGCAAGAATACTACATTTTATCATGTACCTTTGGAAGTAAATTTATACAAGTTTTCTAAATCGTTCAAAACAACACTGATAGAAACTTGCATATTTGAAAATGTTGGGAGACCAAAAACAGTGTCACTTTGACTACTGCTTAGTCATCATACAAATGATGTAACAGTTATAAAAGAGTACATCTCTACATGCTCTTTAATGTCAACAAGCTCTTTAATGTCAACTCTGTAAAAATGGTGTTTTTCCGTGAAAATCATTATTTCTTAATCGTTAGGAACTATGGAAGTCCACTCTTTGAACATAATTAATAATCCATTAGTTATCAAGGTGGGTTTAGCGCTGCATAGACATGTACACACATTTGTGGAATACATCTGTTGAATGGGTAAGTTGATCATCAACAGGCACAATATTTGTCACATGGAATAGAAATGTACATGACGCGAGGTGATTATCAACGTTATAAGTGGCATGGATGCAGTTCATCAAAAAATCAAATGAATACAAACAATCACCACTAAGATGAAATAATGGCAGGCACTTCATCCATAAATGTACCGGTATACGATGCATGCTAAGTTTTTTAAAATTGAAGTATAGACTTTTTTTCACTTGATATTCAATATGGAAGCTATTGACCTGGTAAATAACCAGAGAATTTCAAAAGGTCAAAGAGGCATGACCCATGACCTCGAGAGAAAACCTGCAGTCACTTCGGACAAACTCCAAATTTCCCCTGAAAATTACAGGATGTCTAGACATCTAGATGTACGGAATTCAATTATTTTTTAATATGCTGTATACCGAGGTGGTAACATGCTTGAATTCAATGCAACTTCAACCAATAGGTTTCCAAAAATGCACGCTTGTTTCACATTTAATTAAATTTAATTAGGTCATACACATTCTTCTTGAGGCGACTCAATCTCCTCATAAGATTGTTTGCGACCTGCATGTAACAGTGCGAACTCAGTAATGACGTTGCTCACCAGGTTAGTTTCCACACAAACTGAGAAAAGCCTGTTTGTCTGCATATAGCAATTTTCACAAAACTCTTCTTCTAGCCTACAGTACAGTTACATTGTACATGCATAATGTAAAATACTACCACTGACGATAAACATCTACCATAAAGCTAAAATATAGACGAGACAAGTAGGTGTACACGCTGAAACCTAACACATGGTACAATTTATACTGGAAAAAACAACAACATGTGCACTACAATGGCAGTTGGCTGATCTGAACAATGACACTTTTGAGTCAAACTGTAGAATACAGAAGGCAACATTTCCCTTTTCCCGTATAGCCACTGTTCCTATAATGTTACACTTTTTAGGCAGGATTGTATGAGATGTTTACTTTTGCAGACAAAATCCCTGTTCTTGTCACCAAATTTACAAATTTACCAAACTTTAATTTACCAAACTTTCAGGTGTTTGAATATTTGTAATTTCTCATGGCTCCAAATTCAATGAGGTAGTTTTTGCCACGGAGAATTGGTCTTCCCTACCCAACCTGCAATCAGATTTGAAGACCATCTTTTAATTTTTCCCTTTTCTGAAGCTAAATTATACTGCAGAAATACATGTAGTTGACAATTATATTGTTAGTTCTGCAAAATATATCTTGGTCAACAAGATGATCATGGAAAGAGATTAACATCCACTGTAACAAAGTATTTCACACGTCACTCGATTTGTGACCATAAATTGACTGTTTACTGTACTACACTGTTACTATGACGCTCTTTCTGTTTCAATAATGTTTAAATGACATGGCCTTACCAATACAATACTGAATTCACTAAGGCCTTAAATTTACAGACATATGACCTCATACAAAAGAGAGGAGCAATTTCAGGCAAAGACCATTAGTCGACTGATGGTCGATTTGTGAGGTAACTCATGCCTGTGCATTGATAGCAATGTGTGAACGTCTCTAGTCAAACGCTGGTCAACATGTCATCATGACACTTCTTGATCCTGGCTCCCTGCTGTGCATTATGATGCACGCAGCTAATGGTAACCAGTGATGCAACCGTGCCCTGGCACTCTGGTTCCAAATAGTCGACAACAGTAGTCCAACCATTCGAGTGAAGTTAGTCCAACTATGGTTTAATTCAAATAGTCCTTGCTCGAATTTGATTGAGAGTGACTTTCACTGGTGTCCTGATCATGGAATGTTGTTAGATGTCAATATCTGATGTGACTTCATCCCTGGTATCCTGCAGAGCCAGGTTACCAGAGCTAAAGCTGAAGCTGGCAGCACGCTTCTTGGCTAGCGTGGACGTCGTAGTGGGCATACTCCTCAGTCTACATTCAAATAAATAAATTTAAAATAAAATCGGTAAAATGGAAGACGCATTCAAAGATTATGATTGGCAGCTTATTGCCCTTATATAAGGCTTGCAGACCATTGTTTGGCACACAACTGGGTTTTTCAACGTTTGTCTAAACCCAAACTTTGTTGGTTTTAGCTAAATTCTGTCCCCATAGATCTGATCACAATTCAAAGTGAATGATCTTAAACACAATCACACATTAGGTGGTGCTATCTGTTGTGGTATATTTGCCGAGAGACACATGATTTGGCCAACAGGTGGATAATTTTGCTGATAAAAAAATTAATGGACGCCCCCCCCCCCCCCCCCCCCCCCCTTCTAGCAATGCCCGTGAATAAATCGAAACAAATTCTGACCAACAAGAAAGATGTCGAGTGAAACTGATGACTTACCTTGCTTGTAAGTGTTCTACCTGGACGGCCATATTCTCATTGGATTGTTGGTTCTCTTCAAGGTTTCGCTGGAGCTTCCTGACCAAGTTTGTCTGCTGATCAACCTGAACACAACAATTAATAATAAAATAAATCTAATAATGTCTGAAGCTTCATTTGAGGTTGCATTTGGCAAAGTTAATTGTTCATATTTATGAAATTCTCCTTGATATTTGTAACAATATAGTTTCCATATATTTGAAAACATAGTTGTAATACTGAAATGTACTAGACACCAACCTTTTCAAATAATACCTTTTTTAATTCAAATAATTTTTGGAGCAGTTTTGCACAGGTATAGTATAAAAAAATGTCTGGTCAAGTAATGTCTTTGAGCTTCTTGCCCCTAGTCTAGCATTTTACATGTACGAGCCCTGACAATCAGCCCAAATTTAAAGATTTTTAACAAAATACAAATCTGTAAAAATTTTCCCAAAGAAACATTTTTAATGATCCCAAATATAAATAAAAAAGGGACCTTGTATTCCCCTTCAAACACAAAAACTGTCAGTAATTTCAAATTTGAAATTTACAAAACACAAGAATATAATCCCATCCAAGGACATTTAATGTAAAAAACCTTATTTTTTTGCCAAGGTGCTGGCTAAGTGTTTAATTGTCTAAACACAATGTGGAAGTTTTGCTGATAACTTTAATTCAATAAAACATGGATTGCCATCCATGAATCTTCACCTCATCCTCTGCCTTGGCCAGCTCCCTCTTGAGTTCATCCACTCGTCCCCTCAGTTTCTTCACCTCCACTTCGTGTTGCTCCGCCCGTCTGAGGGTGTGGTCCAGTTCCGCCACCTTCTCCTGGAGGAGTTTCTTGAGTTTCCCCTGGTTGTGTTTCAGCTCTCCCAACTCCTGTAGAAAACGAAGGGAAAATTGGGAAAATGCAACTAAGGAGTTCTCAAATCCAGAGGCAAGGTGGGATTTCCAAATCTTAGAATTTTCTCCGGTGTTTGCTTCAAGAGATTTTATAAGCCCCTAGTCATGGGTCAAGACGTTGTTGTATATTGGATATGTTGTGCCCATTCTTGAAAATCACGCATTCTCGAGAATGGGCATGCACATTCTCGAGAATGGGCGCGCATTCTTAAGAATGAGCGCCCATTCTTAAGAACGAGCACGCGTTCTTAAGAATGAGCGCTCATTCTTAAGATTGGGTGGGAATATCATGTGCACAATTTATGAATTTTGCCCAATCTTAACAAACATTGCATGACATAATTATGTTAAATGAATTGTATAGCGGTTAAAAGGGAAACAATTCACATAAAGAGGAAAGAAAATGTGCTATGCTTCTGTACTCGTATAACTACGATAATTTGAATCAAATTAAACCTGTTATTATTGCTTTTTTTCTGCCCACTATGGGAAGTTTTGTAATAACGGAGGACTGGGAACTAGTCTGGGAAGTGCTTTGTTTAGGCTAGACAAGTTACAAGTCCCTGCATGTATCATATGCGTGCCACGAAAAAAAACGATGTCCAGAAGCTGCAAAAATTGCTCTTTTGACTAGATAGAATCCAGCTCTGCGACGTTATGGTGGGATGTGAACAATAAATTGGTGGCAATTTAAATGGGAAATAGCATTAGCACTATGGGATGTCGCAGTATTCATTCTCATTCTTCACATTCTTCATTCTTACGTCCCCCCCTCCCCCCCGCTTTTATTATCCCCAAAATCAGAATTCTTTGCACTAGTATTATTATGTCTCTTAATTTTCCCGGTCCCCCCCCCATATTAATACGCCTTTACTTATCATATCCACTCTACTTTTCAGCGCCTTGCGTTGCAACAGTATAATTATTGAGAATCAGTGAACGAGGATTCAGCTAGACTTGCCAAGCGCAGCCGGTGCTCGGCATCGACAAGACCGTTATCTTGTCGCGCATTCTCGAGAATGTGCGCTCAATCTGGAAGAGTTATTTTTTGCCAAGATTGAGCAAGGATCCAGTTGCACATTCTCAAGAATGTGCATGCCCATTCTCGAGAATGCGTGATTTTCAAGAATGGGCACAACAGATACATGATCATCTGCCGCAAGAGGGCGTAATCACAGCGAATCACTGTCACTGCAAATCACATGAACCGCTATTGCAACAACGTCTGAGAATCTTATAACATTTCCCCATGAAAAATGGGCAACCTAGTGTGCTTGTGTTACATCTGCAGGCAAATACGGTCCACTTTCGGTCGCAAGCGTACTACATACAACAAAAGAGCTGCCATAAAGTTGCACAAAAGTCTTGTAGCATCTTGTATGCTACTGGCTCAAAGTTTGAAGTTTTGTTCGGGGCTATTATGCAAGGTGTTGAATGTGCACTGCACACATTAGGTAGAACAGGTGCGCATGCATAACATGACTGCTACAAGATTCCCAAGACGTTGTGATGGTAGTTCGTTTGTGGGTGACAGCGGTTTATTTTAATAACGCCCTCTTTCAGCGAGTGATCGAGTATCCAATGTACAACGTCTCGACTGAAGACTAATAGGCCCTTGGCATGGGGACCCAGGCATGCAAGCTATTTGGCTATTAGGAAAAGGTAAAAAAGTACCCCTCCCATCTTCACCAAACACACCTTATGTTTCTCCAGCATGTTTTCCTCCAACGTTTTCAGGTTCATCTGCAGATCGGCCGCCACCTGCTTGTTCTTCTTGGCCAGATGTTCCTTCAAGTCAATGATCTCTGCCTTCAACTTCTTATTGTCTCTCTCCAAGGAGAGCTTCTCTGTCTCTAGGCGTTCTCTCTTGCCCCACTCCATGGCATTCTCTGCCTGAAGACGCTCCAGCTGCGAGAGTATTTAACAGCCAAAGTAGCCGCAGCATTAACAACAATGCGCTCAACAGTGTTACTGTCTACTTTTTTCTCCCAAGTCCCAAACACCCATTCAGGAATTGCCACTATGACTGTCCACAAGTTATATGTTGGCTTTAAATATCGCCAACTAGTTGGGTGCATTTAATAACCTAGAAGGTCATTTTCATTTTCTTATCGGAACGGGGCCCGTAACTACACTACGGCCAGAATTTTAGAAGGTTTGCGGGTGTTGCCTGTCCTAATATAAATATGTGAGGTCCCGTCTGTAGTCTGGTGGCAACTCACCTCTTTGCGCATGTCCGAGATGCGCATATCCATGGTGGATCTGCAGTTCAACTCGTCATCAAGGTCAGAGGTCACACGGACCAACTCCCGCTGGTGCTCTGCCCTCATTTGATTCAACTGGAAAACAGGAGATTTTAAGATGAAGAAATAAAAATGAATGGAAGGTGTCATCTCAGAAAGAAATGTACTTTTAGGAAAGATTTAGCTCTGCTTTTCAAAACACAAGCTTCAGGAAAACAGGCAAAAACAATTATCAAAAGAAGGCTTAATCTAAAAAAGAAGAATTTTTTCCCCCCTTTATTTTGGCAATTATGGTGAAATAAGTAGTTGGTCAAAATAACTTCACTAAGTTTTGAAACCAAAATAATAAACATTTTCCAAACAATTTCACACTAAGATCAAAATGTTGATTTGATGAATTTAAAATTTCCAGAAATAAGTGAGTATCAAAATGTGCATTTTACTTTAACACCTTTTCTACTATGTTCAAATTAATTACTGTGTATTAGAAGTTACATGTAGCATTGATTGTAATAATATCCGTGATATTACATAAATCTTGTACATGTAACGGCAAAAGACATGCCAAATACTTATTTCTCTGTACATTTGAGCAATTAAACTCTAATTCCCTACCGAATGAACATTAGGTTTACACAATCGTAAAGGTCACTGTAACTCCACCCACCTCTTTGACCACCTGCTGCTTAGCGTCGCGGACCTCATCATGCTGATTTCTGATCACGCTCAGTTCCTTCTGCAACCTTTCGATCTGCTGGCTCAACAACTCTTTCTCACTGTGAAGAGAACCAAAAAAAAAGGTAATTTCATTTCTGTGCAGTACCATGTTGAATCAGTTTGAAATTGTTGGAAATTTCAATAAACATAGCAACACTTTGCCCAGGGACAAAAATGCATAATGACTTGGAAGCAAACTTGGAGATGGATATCTTGGAAGAATATTTCATCAAGACTGTTGATTATATAGCAACACAGGGGAGTGAGTTTGGCGTAGCTGTACTTTCCTTGCCTTCCTCTGCTTTGGCCCGGGTTCGATTCCTGCCTGTCCCAATATGTGGATTGGGTTTTCAGCCCCTTCTTGATGCCGTGGGTTTTCCACACAATATTCTGCTGGGGTTTTCCTCCCACACCTAAAACTGTAATTTCTTCACACTGTCTTCAATTTACTGGGGCCCATGGGAGACCAGTGGATTCCACTGAATGGGCTTCCCAGTTAAAGAAGAAATAAATGAATAAATAAACACATTTTCTTTTCCCTATTCATTCATAGAATTTGAGGAAAACCTCCTTGTGGATTGAGAGGGATCTGGAGAAGTTACGGTTATCCAACCAATATTTGAATAGGCTCCTTTAATAGTTATACAGGTGTGATTTATTTTCTACTTACTCTCTCTCAACTTGGATGGTCTTGGTAGCTTCCTCCATTCTCAGCTCCAGCATGATCATCCTCTGGTTGACCATTTCATCTGAAGGGGTTTGCATCTCCCTGACCTTGCGACTAGGGCTGCCATTGGCTAAATGCTTCCCACTGGAAGACATCGGTCCATTTTCTGCACCGTTGGTAGGTTTGTGGGTTGGGCTTCCATGGGGCGTACCCCGATGATGGCTCGGACTCTGTCTGGTGGGATGACGCGCACTATCCTGAGCACTTAGAGGTGGTTCTGAGTCTGCCAAAGACAGGTGGTTGTTCATTTGTCCCTTCAGCATGACGCTTTTGATGAAGTCTATGTCTTGGCCGTCACCTTCAGGTAATGTTTGTCTCAGACTGCTTGTATCCTTCTCTGGGAGGTAATCAGGGTTGTCCTCAGTCACGGGGCTTTGGATCTGCAAAGAGGTCTTAGCCTGTTCGTGCTCCAAGGCCTTCCTTAGTCTCTCGTTCTCAACTAGAACTTCTTGTTTGTCACGCTTTAGAGCTGTTGATTCTTTGGCTATGACCTCCAGCTTCATCCTGAGTTGCCGCACTTCTTCCCGCGCCTTGTTCCGCTCTGCCCGTACCTTTCCCCACTTCTCACGCCAGTTGGCAGTGCAGTCCGACCACCATCGCATGGTCTTCTCCATCTGGGCGGCCCGGGCTCGGGCTTCCTCTAACTCCCGTAATCTCAGCTCCTCCTTGTCCTCCAGCTGATTCGGATGGATGCTTGGGGGAGGGGTGGAGCTATTACTAGATCGCCCCTTGGAACCGTCTCTTGACGATCCCAGACTGCCCATGCTGTGAGCATCAGTCTTGGCACTGCGGGAACGACGGGAGGAATCTCCGGCATGTTTCGGCGATCCGTTGACTGGCGTGTGACTCATGATGGCACTTGTCACTCCTATGTCAAATGGTTTATTAACAACCCGTAAAGCTCTAGCGAAACACTGAGAATATCATTCCTGTTTGTAGAGAGGAAAGGGGCCAGAGAGTAGCACTAGGGTGCAAACATGGAGATCTTAGAATCGCTTCATATCTTGAAGGGTTGAAAGTTCAAGACATACTGTGCCTGCTTTGGAGACATCCATCACTTCTGAGCATCTTGATATTGCCACTGTGCCACATCACACTTTTTTCTGGACAGGAGAAAAATGTAACAAAATGGAAAGAATGAGTACTTTTAATAAATGTTTTGATTGACAAAGAAAACCGAATGAAGCAGAATTGGAGCCTACGGCTTCCAACCTATCATTTTCTTGTCCTCAGATTTTTAAACATTTTTTTCCCCAACAAGCCAACCAGACCTTTCCACCTACCGAATGAAGATTATCAAATTATACCATCAGACATGTCATACATGCCAGGAAAAAAATTAATAAAAATATGGAAATTCAACACACACACGTACATGTACATTCACATGTAAAATTGCAAGCCAATACCAGTAGCACAATTCCCTTTAAGAGTCCAACAAATATACTAAAGTATCAATGTTATACAGTTGGAACTACGATCCAGAAAATAGACAATGAGGTCTAAGTTCTCTCTTGATTATGGGTAGAATTTGAAGAAAAGAAATGTGCGGAGTAAGTCTAAACACATTTAAAAAGGACTTGAGATGAAGTCCGAGACAATTTACAAATATTTGTACATTTCCTACATATCTGTAATAAGCGGTATCAAAACACTTATTCTTCCTTATTCAAAGTACTCAACACAAGTTAGCGTTGATGTTCAGACTTAAATGTACAATGTTATTGCATTTTTTTTCAGCGAACAAGGGACTCAGGAAAGTAGTTGACTAGAACACTGCAATTACAGCATGATTGATGATTGTTTATGACACGTGCCATGCATCCAAAGAGAATAATTTATGGATGTTAGGTGAATCACTAGCCTACTGTATATCATGGTACATGCATCATAATACATGCCTAGGCTGACATGAATGGTGGTCATGTACGTACATACATGATTCCCTATGCCTACTGAAACAATTATCTTGGTGTGTGACGGTTATTAAATTGTAGGTTGAAATTTGGGCTTCATGAAAACAAGGACCTTGACCATAATTGTGCTGTGCTTGTTACTGCCTAACCATGGTCCATGGCCTAACATACAACATGAGAACACATGAGAATCTAAGAAGGTTTGAGAGTAATGATTTCATTAAGTACATGTATCTGTAGACAAATTTCAAATTTGCATTGAAACCGAGGGCCCTGTGCTCGCTTTTGCTGAGGATTAAAATTGAAAAAAGCCCTCAATTCATACAATGGCTTGGCACTGAGAGCCTTGGTTTCAATGATAAATTGAAATCCATCAATTAATTGCCACAAAAACATTTGCAGTAAAGCATGAAAAACAAACAAAGCAGAGTATGTAAGCATGTGTACTGTTCAATCAAAATCAACCTGCCGAATTAGGGTTAATATAACTTCGGATTCATGAACAAAAATGTCCCAAGCTACATGTATACTTTCTTGCCTTATTTTAACGGGAAAACGTACGTGACTAAATAGGGCCACAGTTCCAACAAGTGGTCACATACATCACTTCACCTTCGCAATACCTCTGACTAGCCCTGAGCCAGATTTAACCCTTTCTAGTGGTAAATAATGTAGGTCACAATTGAGCTCTGAATGCTACAAAATTCACATCCACAAATGGCCCAGAATATTTCTGGTGTGGGAAAAACGTATCATGGACATTCAAGAAACAGGACTGAAATGGTAACTTGTTATATTTTCCCCCCTTATTTTTTTATTGAAATCAAAATTTTTGCTTTTAACTTTCCCATATTAAAAAAAGGACATTTGTTCACATGCCATTAAAATTAATCTTTTATTAGTTTTAAATGGTCAATGTTGTTTACATGCACATGTACATGTACGGTACAAACGTTTATGCACCATGTTGATATTTTTATACACTCATGCACGACAGAGCCTGTTTATCAGAGCAAATGATGCAGGTATGGATCACGGACGACTGGCTTACATAATCACCTTTTTACAGCACAGATTTTCAATGATGCATTTCACATTTTACAATTAGGTGTGTGCATCGGAACCGGGTACCCGAGTACTGACCGCTGATGTCAGGAACCGGTTCCAGATTATGACATCATGTATCCATAACCAATTTTACGTATTACTTAGTAACTTCTCAAGACAATGCCCTCACTTTTCACATGTAATGGCTGCTTATTTAATAATAAAAAGCTGTCAAGAAATTAATTTATGTATCTTCCATACAAAAAATGTCCATACCTTGCACACCACTGTTGCACACACTTTGGTTTCCACGGACATGAAATTTTTCTTGTAAAGAAAACAATGTATGTCAGTCTCCTAATCTGACCGAACAGAGACTGTACCCAAGTCCACAGTGTTGTGTGATTAAGAAAGTGCAGCACTGCCGTGCATGCTAATATCTATTCCTTCCCCCCTTCTTCCGTGACTGTATACAATGTCGGCTTATGCAAGCAGTCATGCAGACAATGATGAAATGCCTCACCGCGAGGCTAGCCACACTCTCGCCTTCAATTTGATGAGTCAGCCCTCTGGTCACTCCGCGAAGAAAAAGAAGAAAAAAAGAGCGCGAGTGCCACGGGAACAGGCGCGTGTGTGCAAAAACCATTTTTCAACCAGCCTAATTAAATTTGTAAAACTACGTAATGCAATCTGCGATGACAGAAGGGCGAATAAGAATTTTTTTGCAACATTACATGGTGGTTGAGTTTAACACTGATGGTCCTTCCTCCTGTCAAGAAACCGACTTCCTTAATTTTAATTTTCTCTTTCTTAATATTTTCAATTTTAAAGGTTACAACTGAGATGGAAGAAAGCATTTTTTTCCTTTTAAAAATCACATCATCTGAAAATCCAATATATGGTCTTTGCTGATGGCTTGTGAATCTTGACATATTTAATTTTTCAACTTCTTTCTTGAAATTCTAATTGAAATTAAATTACATTTGCAAATTCCTGTAAGTAATGTATTCTAATTCCTAATCCTCCTTGATCACGCATTGAAAATAAAGCTTTCAATTCTAACAACTAGGGCCGACTACAAGCAATGTGCAAAGTATCGCGGCACAATTGTGGCGGCAGTAATTGGCCATCTGTCGCCAAAAAAAAATTAAATGGAAAATGGCGTGTTTGGAAACCATCTTGTATTGTGCTTTCTGAAATTCTATCATTCCTGTATGATTATGTTTCAAGATAATTTTTACAAAAATATCTGGTTTCATGAATGAAATACAAGCATGTAATTTCAGCTCTTGCTCACTCCATTCTCACTTTAAAAAAAATTACAAAAAATATCTACTGCACACTGAAATGGAAGAAGATACATGTAATTACTTTACAAGATAATACAATTACATTGTACAGAATACAAAATGTATCATTGTATTGAATGATTTGTTTGTTGACCAACAGTTGTAAGCATTTACTACCAAATTAAGGACTAAGAAAAAAAAGTACTATAACATAGTGATTATCATGATCCTCCCCAACAGGGAGATTTTCATCCTAATCCTATCCAGGAAGGAAAGCCCTTTTAATCTGATTGAAATTTGCAAACAGGGGGAACCTTTCCACTGTGATGAATTCCTGTGGTAAGTAGATTTGTTCAAATACCAAGTGTCCTATAGCCAAGGCTTCAAAATATATGACACTGGCGACAATAAAAAGAGATTATGGATTTCCTTCTTAGTTCACACAGCAGTAGCACACTACAAAGGGTAATGGTTGACAATTAAGCCTTTGAGTCTGGATGTAGGTGTAGGTGAAAGCTTTCCAGAGGGACTGGTTGGGCAAATAGCCGAGGCAACATTTTTCCACAAATTTACAGAATGTGCAAAAGACGCAATTGATTGATACGACCTTTCCAATGTCCATCTTTCTTTTGAAATTAAGCGTTATATCACAGAATCTGTCTGTACATGGACTGTTATTCGGACAATGTGTTTAACAAAATTGCAAATTTGAAGTACAGAGAACAATGATAGCAAATGACGTTTTAGATTTATAAGCCAGATCAAACATCCAACAAAAAAAACTTATATCGACCCTATCTCCCAACTGAGTTTTACTAAGAACAGTACCAAGTCCGCCGAAATCTATCACTGACTCAGCTTCATATAATGCTTCAGGACCAAATCCACTGAAATCCACCACAAATCCACCACAGCTATAGGTAGATTTTGATAGACTTGGTACTCATGGCTTGCCTACCAAGGGGGGGGGGGGGGGGGTTGATAATGTTGGGAAGGTTAGGGTTAATATAAGTAGAACCAAAATTATCCTATTATTTGTGCACATGTACACATTTGTCCCAAGGGTATTGCAGTAATCCATTAAAATGACCGTTTTTCAAAACTTATTATTACATGGCCCATGTATGGGGCTAAAATTAAAAAATACACCTTTAATTATCAAGGATCAACCAGAGGAATTTTGTGAAACATCTTGAAAAATACAGAACAGATCCTGTAAAGGATGCAGCATTGTTTATGCTAAGTTGCAGACTATGCTGGAATACTGGGAATAAATGCACTATCATGTACTACTCACTTTTGATAATCGAAAAATATTTATTAAAACAATTTTCAACTAAGGTTACAGAAAATTATGCCAAGTCCCATTCATTCAAAGGTTCAACCTTATAAATTCTTTATTTCTGGTACTGTACATGTACAGGTAGAGCCTAAATGAAGCAGTTGGTTATATAAGTATCAGATCACACTATGACCATATTTGATGATGGTCAATAAAAAAGGCAATTTGAGTCAATTTAATCTACCCAGGCACTTCACAGAATGCCAACTTGGCATACTTAATCAGCTGTGGGAACCACTAGGCAGGCATTAAACTTAACTGTAGTCTGTACTTGGCTAGTAATATAAAAAAAAATCCATTGTTTCCAAAATCCTCTAGTATTTTCACACTGACCAAAACCCCACCCCCGGGCACCACTGACTGTTAAAGAGTGGTTTTTATTTAACTGACAAAAGGACCAAAATCTCCACCCCAGGGGTCATACAAACGTGACCAAAACTGACGTACGGGTACACATGCACATACTTTACTCCCAGCCTGAGTGGGTAACGTTTGGTCAAGAATTAAGCAATTTCTGCCCAAAGGCATCCACATTCATTCAAATTGTAAAAATACACAGTTGTAGGATTTTAAAAGAACTTGATTTTGAGACTGAGGAACAATTTTGTGTAGAATGCTGTACCCTGATGCCACTTTTTTCACCATAACACTACCTTATTCTGAACATTTAGAACTCTCAAAACTGTGTACTAGTCCCAAAACTTAAGATTGAAAAACATGCAATACAAGGAAAAAAGACTTCAAATGGAACTCACTTGGCTTCACTCTCAGGTGCAAAATGTTGAAGAAAAGTCTCCTTTAAAAATTGAATTGAGATCTGAAACTTGACTGGTAAACACTGACATGACTGAGAACCTTATCTTTGCCTGTTGGGAATTTGAGAGAATTTGGAAAAAATGTTGCAACCTGATGCTTACTGACGCCACTTCAGTGACTGTGTACAAAGTCTGTGGAGAGTCAAAACAATTTCTAAGTATTTCCTAACAAAATTGGAAATATTTCTCAGTCCCAGATTCATGTCTTATCATCATTTTTGCATTGAATGACTTTCATTGAGATGACATATGAAGAAAAAAGTGGCATCAGGTTGCAACATTCTTTCCGAGAATTTTGTCAGCTAAAGAGTAATAAAGTTGGTCTGATTTTTTTTTCATGTTTTTCTGCACTCAGGGTTCCACAGATTTCACCGCATGATCAGTTATAGACCAAGTAACTTGGGCCCAACTTATCACCTTCATAACAGCGGAAAATGGTCTGCCGGTTGTAGGGCCCAACTTGAATGGCAGACATGGTGTTTTGTTACAGATAATTAACGACTTAACCATATACAAACAAAAACATAAGTTTTCACCCTGAAAACAGCCACAGCATTACTAAATACATCACCTGAGATACAAGTTGTTATTGTCACCAACTAACTAGTAGTAGTTTGGTAAGTCTACCTCTGTGCCCCCCCCCCCCCCCGAAAAAAAATGTTGCAACCTGACACCACTTCTGCGTTTGTGTAGAAAGTCTATCATTGTCTATGGAGCTAGAGTCAAGAAATAATTAAGTATTTCCTAACAAAATTGGAAATATTTTATATTTTTCAGTCCCAGATTCATGTCTTATCATCATTTTTGCAATGAATGAGCTTCATTGAGATGATATATGACGAAAAAAGTGGTGTCAAGTTGCAACATCCCCCCCCCCTTCCCCAGCCCCCACCCCCTTTCAAAGTGGATTTTGACTTTTGTGCTCTTGCTTAAATTTAGGGAATCAGGCCCAACTACTACTCCTAGAAATATGAGGCTCCACGTAGTGGAGCCTCATAGGTTCAGAACCCCGCAAAATTGTTGTCAGCACAAAACACCAATTAAGTACAAAAACGTCCATCCCAACGAAGCCGTTTCCCACAGAACCGCTGCACAGTTTGCCCCTAAACTCCGTACAATACCTCATGACATACTCACGCAATGTGCACCCAACAAACATCGGTGGATTCTGTCGGTTTTTGCAAAAATGATGGAAAATATGCCCTTTCCGCACTGAGCCAACCTAACACTTGAAATTTGCACGCGCGCAGAATGATCGCAGTCATTTTCGGTCCGATCGCTCGGAGCGCGCCGCGGGGGGTATAGGAGCGGAACGATAGTATGTGCATGCGTACAAGTGCGAATACGTACCCCCCGCGGCGCGCTCCGAGCTATCGGACCGAAAATGACTGCGATCATTCTGCGCGCGTGCAAATTTCAAGTGTCAGGTTGGCTCAGTGCGGAAAGGGCATATTTTCCATCATTTTTGCAAAAAACCGACAGAATCCACCGATGTTTGTTGGGTGCACATAGCGTGAGTATGTCATGAGGTATTGTACGGAGTTTAGGGGCAAACTGTGCAGCGGTTCTGTGGGAAACGGCTTCGTTGGGATGGACGTTTTTGTACTTAATTAGTGTTTTGTGCTGACAACAATTTTGCGGGGTTCTGAACCTATGAGGCTCCACTACGTGGAGCCTCATAGTTCTAGGAGTAGCCCAACTACACTGTACCAAGTACACGATCGCCAAAATTTTATTGGGAATTGAAATGACGGTCATTTGCAAAAGTAATTTTTGAGCGGAACTAAAAGTAAAACATTGGGGGGTCCTAAACCAAACTACACTGACAGGCATGACCAGATGACAGGCTCACTCAATTATAACAACATGAAAAATTCACACTCGAGACTCGAGTAAAAACAAAAAACCCCATGAAGGTATTGGTAGGAAATCAAATGGGCCTACCTCCTACTCCTAGAGAAGTGAAAGCAGAACTAAATTACCCATTGACATCAGTACGTACAAGCACGCAACACCCTTCAGATAACAGACTGATCACCAAGAAAATGGTGACATTTTAAGGAGTTCTTCGCACCACCTCCGACGTCTTCCGCGCGAGAGAATCGGGTATCGTGCCGAGCTTTTTGTATGGAATTGAAAAGTTGCAATTTTGCATGCATTTTGGCTGGTTGCATACGCACATTACCTTCATACGTATTTGTGCTAAGCCAGGTACCAACGTTATCGAAACGGGGACGTGATTACCAAAATAGAGGGCGCTCTCACTGTCTGTATTTTCGTGCAGCTCCGATTGTTTGCCGGTTGCTGCTTGTCCGGTGCTTCAAAGTTCAGAAATATTACGATAATTTCATTCTTAAATATGACGAGCTCACTCACGCATGCACAGCGAGTTCTTCGATTGTATAAGAAGTCAGCAAGGCATTTAGAATCATGGATTACTGACAGGTAGGGCCTAATTAATTGAAATAACAATGTGCCCATTTTCCGGACTATTGATTTTGGAGGCCAATGCCGTGGCCGTGACAAGTGTATGGAGAAAAAAAACCTGTCTACATTTCAGATTTTTTGCCCATGAAACCCCCACCCCCCTGTAAAAATTCCTGGATCCGCCCTGGTAATACTTTGCACAGTTGAGTTGTCTCGATGTCAAAGTCGACTTGTCTCAACGGACGACTTGGTGAGTTGTCGCACCAGTCGAGTTGTCTCAGCGTCGTGCTTGTTCAGTTGGCAAATTGTTCACTCTTCCTTCTGTTTGACTGTTTTGCCCCTCTGATGCAGCAGCTAATGATTGACTTTTTAAAAATAAGTAAGTTATATGAATTGAGGCCTGAGGTGATAGTTCTGCCTGCAGTGATGCATATGTGTACGGTTTGTCCTTTTAATCCAGGCCAACGTTCCGCTACGAAGTCACGCTATTGAGAGCCCGATTTGATGAACACAAGCATGAAACAAACATGAAGAAAGCAGGGCAACTTCTCAAAGATGGAGAGGAAGAGTTTTGGGAGAAGCAACATCCTCAGCCATACATATGTAAGTGCAAAGAGGCAGTAGCGTGACTGGCGTCACCAGGGGTATGACAGAGGAGAGAGGGTGCAAATGTCCCCATCAACACCAAACTAAAGCTTTGAAAAGTAGCTATGATAGTCCACAAGTCTCCTGTGTTTCTGATGGCCTGAATTTCATAAAAGACCTTATCAAGAAAACTGGACTAGTAGTTAAAGAGCAACATTAGTTGTGTCTATGGAAATTTACTCCCACTAAAAGGAATGCCCAATAGCTTGTTGTTTGACTTGAGAGTGGATGACATGTGATTGACATGTGATAGTCATGTGATAGTCTGGCTGTGACTTATGATGGCTTGATTTCATATCTGGACCAATCTTACCTTTGATATTTTATCACCTTTTTTCCCAATTCTCCCATTTCTTCTGTAGCACTTGAATCATAGAACATCTTCATTATTTAGTTCTAACCTCATGTGGTATTAAGGCTCTTATTTATTTTCATGTTATTAATTTTTTTGACAATCTTGTATCTTTTTTTCAGTTATTGATTCTCCTGGAGGCACACGCTATGAGCGTAACATCCCTTCCCCGGAATGGGTGAGTTATAAAGTCTCTTTAAGCTGTAGTTTTGTACAAAGGAAAGTAAGAAGGGCCTATCAATACAAACCCTCCTATCTTTCACACACTTAATGTTTAGATTCTTGTAGAAAGGATTGAAATGGCAAGCCCTAAAAATGTTGGTGCATTTCATGTCAAAGATTGTAGTGGCGGTTTATATGTTAAAGGTAATATCGACATTTGCTAACATAAAAAAAGTACAAAAATATTACAAAATAACTTACTTGATTGTAAGTGAATGATAGTCTCAAGCATCCTGTGAAATCATGGCACCTGGTGTGCTGTCATTTTCAAGAAAAGTGGAATTTTTTGTATCAATTTCCGACGATGGTCGGCCAACCATCGTTGGAAAAAAATGACTTTTATTCAAATACTTCCCTCAATTTAGTCTGATTCCCTGACCTGACAATTCCCCGATATCTATAAATTGCTCAGTTTCGTCTGAAGTAGGGTCAGGGGACCAGACAACAAGAACAGCATTACCTTTAAGTCTTAGAATTTGTACCCATTTGAAATACATGCTTCTGTTGAGTTTCCATTTTACTCAAAATTCTGTGTCAGGTTCTGAATTACTGGCATCCATCTGAGAAGGCACGCTACCCAGCTTACTTTGCCCGGAGAGAGAAACGCATCATTCAGGAGGAAGCCAGATGGCAACAACTGGTAGAGGAGGAAAAACAACTACTAGGACAAGGAGCTGATCAGGGGAAACCCCAGTCAACGTGACCTATGACCTATGACCTCTATCATCATCCTCCGCTCAGAGGATTGTTACATCACCCTCCTGTACATATCACTGGCTCGAGTCATCGTAAATCCTGAATTTCTGTTTACTGTTTATCATTTTAAACTATTGTCATGGTAGAATCGATCTTTAGTCTAAATTAAACTTTCTAAATTTAATGTTTGAAGTTGGGGGGGGGGGTCATTGAAGTCTGTTTTCATAGATTGGATAGAGTGAAGTCTGTTGTTGACATAAGGAGCATACTATTCCACCTGTCGTCCCATTATCTCTGAGTGTTTGCCAGCAGCCAGGACAGTGATACCAGTAGAATTATTGCTGATATTTTTGCTGTGCATAATTAATTTTTTGCTATTAAGTTGGCTTTACCTCATAGGATCACAGTGTTATGCATTTTCCTAGTGGTGTGTGTTTTAGCATAGTGAATTGAAATGAACTCCTTTTTTCAGGAAATCCGGCAACATACTGTAAACCACATCCTGTGACATTTCTGGTACACATAAGGATGAGAACACCCACAACAAAACCTTGTCAAGTTTGAACCTGTGAATGATATAACTTTATATTTGAGAGTTGGACCTTATTCTAGTTATGTTTTTGCAGTGGTTTCATCGTAAGCCCATAATAATTTTGAACAGTTTCCTCCAATCTTTGGTTAAATTTAAAAGGATTGGTGCGAACAACGCAAGGAATTGGGATATAAAAAAAAATACAAATTTCTGGATTTTACAGAATATTGTTTCATTTAATTTAAAAAATCAATCTGAGTAAAGATTGGGAAAGGTTGCTCTGGTATACCATTTATATAAACAGAAAAAATGTTGGCCTGATTGAGAAAGTCTATAAATAAAATGTTCTATGAAAACAGATTGCTCATAATTATGACAGTTGTGTGTTTGTGTTATGTTTGCTGGTTCCAGTCACTTGTGTTTTATATTACCTTACCTCACCTTGGCACAAAATTTACCTCAGATGACTATACAGGGTGAGTTAAAAAGAAAGTGACCGAACAAGAAAAAAATATAAAAGAATATGTGGCTCGCTCCATTTTGTAAAAAAAACCCACACAGGCATGAAGTACATGTTATTGACTAGTAACTGTGAAAGTTTCACATCATTTACATACTCCATTTCCAAGTTACGTCTCTTTTAATAGGAAGATCACAAAATTCAGCTGTCCACCAATGATCATTTACCGTTCTACGATCTGATGAATACTTATTAAATACAATGAAACATGGACGTTTTCCAACCTCGATGAATTGCGAACAAAATCACCATTAATATTTCAGAAAAAAAAGATGACTTGTTCCTCATATTCGAAAACACAAAATCTGACAGTAAAAATAATGTTTCAGTTGTAAATCATATTTGTATTTGAATGCTTGTGTGTAATCTGTAATTCTCAGTCGGCTCAATAACTTCCAATGGCATTCAATGGACAGCTATAAATAATATGGATTCTTTGAGTAAAACGTGCATTACTTCTGACAGCATTGATTAATTTCAGTAATTCTTTTTTGGGGGGATGAGTGGAAGAATATGCTGTTTTAAGATATACTTCATTGGTGTTTCAAATTTGATTGCTTTTTAACCCTAAAGAGGCCGGGGGCGGAATCCGCCCCCCCCCCCTCAACATTTTCCGTGATAGCCTCTTAAACAATTTTTTTCGCGACCCGAGCTGCTATGACTTTTTAGCCTCGAGCTTTGCGCATCTTTTGATACCAAAAACATAAAAATCGGACCACGGGTTGCCGCGTAGCGAAAAATTTTCCCGCACTACGCGCCGTGAAAACTGCATTTTCGCATATACGTTGTGTACACAGAGCAGAATTGCAATTCGTACATATGAATCATTAATTGAATGTCAGACAAGTCGACCGTTGAGACAACTCGACTCGGGACAAGTCGACCGTTGAGACAACTCGACCGTTGAGACAGGTCGACCGTTGAGACAACTCGACTCGGGACAACTCGACCGTTGAGACTGCTCGACTTAATGGAGCAGAAAAAGTTGCACAAATCTGTGGCAAGACCGATCACGGGTGCGGCGCGGGCATACTCGATGTACAGAGGGCGTCGCGTCGGGCCGGTGCGCCCCGCCCGCCCGCGAGGACCGGGCCGGGCCCGGCACGCGGGCACGTCGACCAGCGCGGCAAATGGGTGCACAGGCCCGGCACAAACGATGTCACCGTGCACGGTACGGCCACGTTGACCGGCAAATGGGCGCACAGGCCCGGCAAAAACGATGCCACCGTACACGGTACGGCCACGTCGACCGGGGATGCGCGCACGTGGCCTTGAAAAAAACGAACGATGTGCACGGACAATCACGCTGCGCTATATCGGCTCTGTTATATGCAACAAAAAAACTCATGTGTCATCACTCCCAAACGGCGATCGGCCGCCGTCAAAATCCCCGGTACTATCCCCGAAACTAGGCCCAAAACATGCGAGGCGACTTGTCTCAACGGTCGACTTGTCTTTCCATTTATCGCACATACGGTCGAGTTGTCTCAACGGTCGAGTTGTCTCAACGGTCGACTTGTCCCGAGTCGTGTCTCAACGGTCGACTTGTCTGACCCCCCATTAATTAGCCATTTGACTCACCCTGTACTACCAAGACCCCTTTTTCTAGACCAAATTGGCCTGGGACGGCCGGACCAGCTTTAGTAGGGTTGCCCCTGGTCTTGTTTTATTGTGAAAACATGATTACATGAACATAATGATTTGCCACAAAGATAAAATGAAGTGGTGAGCTGTGTCAACCAAATTAAGCATCAGATTTCAAGTTTTATAGGGGATAGTTTTCTTAAGGTGAAGATCCACAGAAATGCCTGTTAATTCTCGTAGAAATGAAAATGGTTGTCTGATGTATTCATAATCATATTGAACAAATTATAATCCCGAAAAAAAAAAACTGGGGTGTGACTTTTGGAAAATTATGTAAAAAATATAATCTTCACATTTATTCAAAAATAATTCTCAATTTTCCCGTTTTGTAGCCGAGGAAGTTGATTGAGCAACGATCGTACGACGAAAGTTGTGGTTATTTCCTTTGGGGGCGTGTACTACGTGTATGCATGATTCATCTACCCTTTTATACCTGCAACCGTGTAGATGATGTCAGCATTGAATTCAGGGAACTTTCCTTTTCCTTAATTTCAAGACGTATAAATGATCACAAGCGCATGTAAATAATCGTCAGAGGTCCAAAACAATATGAAATAGAGAAAAATAAACTGATAGAATTGGACATAAATTCTGACATGAAATGTATGTTAGTTTTGCCAATGCTCAATCTGAAATCAGGATGAGTCTGATACCATCCAATTATTCGTGGTAATTGATCACACCGTGCTTGGAGACCAGACCCCAGTGTAATAAAACTTTAACCGGAAACTTTCGTCAACCTTTGGTCACTGTTCGCGTTTTCCGTGCTATCTGCTGAGTACGTGTTGGTTTTGTCCCACTGAAATCATAGTGATTGTGCATTTAAACTTGATGTGTCCTCTCGTTCCGATCGAATAGGCAAACGAATCAAGTCGATAATGGGCGCGAGGTAACCACAAATCAAAACGGTAAACTATGGCTATGCGAGAAGTTAAACTCTGCCTGCTTGGGGTAAGTACGCATGTTATGGAGGTAGGCATGGTAGGGGAGGGGCTTGGGGTGGGTGGTTGGGGGGTGTTCCATGCGAGGAAGGGGGGGGGGGGGTGGCGGAACCAGTCTACCCTGCAAACAATTGGCCGATTCTTTAATGCGCCTATCAAATGCCCCCCCCCCCCTCGGAAAAAAAGGGCAGTTAAATTTTAAAACAAATTTTATTTTTTGGAGGGTGAAACCAGTCAAAACAAAAGTTTCGGCGATCGTGAAGTGTAGGGCCCCTGTTTTGTTTTGATCAAATTAGAGTCAAAAATGTTTTTTATTGCTCAAAAATCACCTTTACAATCAAAAGCAGACTTTTCTTAATGACACCTGTTTTGCAATTTTGAACAGATTCTTGGCCTTGGGGTAGAAATCACGATTTTCCCGCACGGTTTGTGCCTTGCGATTCAGCGCGCCGTGCGTGCTCACGGTACATCGCGCAGTGATCGCCATCTTTATTTACGGGTCGCGTGTTGTCGCCGCGCTGTCATCGTCATTTTAACCCCAAATTTCCCTAAAAAAATCAAAACCCTGCCCTCTATCTATGATATACCTGTTTATTGAGAATGTCGCCAACTAGTTTGGTAGGTCCATTAATTTTAAAGTGGATTTTGTTCCCATAGGAACCGGGCCCTACACTTCACGATCGCCAAAGTTTCATTAATATTTTTTTGGATATGCAAAGTCATGAAAGTGTTTTTGTTTAGTTATCCCAAATTATAAATATAACATAATTCATTATTCATATCAATTGACAATGAAAAATATCGTTACTGAGTAAAAAATTCCCTTTATGTTTTCAGGATTCTGGAGTTGGGAAATCCAGCATTGTGCAGAGGTTTGTTTGTGATTCCTACCAAGATTCCATTCCACCAACGATAGGGTAGGTCAAAAACAGCTGGCCATTGTAGTGGTCAGTTGTTTGCTTTCTCAGCCCTTGAGAATCACATACATAAGTCAAGTGGAAATCAACCCACCCACTTTCTGCTCAAATCTATTCTTGTTTAGATGTCTTACCACTTGACAATTGAGTTTTGCTTGAATATTTAAATAATTATATTTATAAGGCGTATGATTTTTCAGACTTTGGACCGAATCGAACCTTTGAATCTGAGAAAATTGTATGATTTTGCATAGAAAGTAACACGAAAACATAATCTGTCAGACCTTGCATCCGATTTTCAGACATTCTTGTTTAAATAATTCACAATATCATCAGTGAATTATTCATTGAAATCGTTTGCAGTTATATGAGTAACTGCTCTAAACGCTTGAACATGTCCAGAATTCCTATTTCGTTTACTCTCAGAAATGCGAATGATAAATTGGTTGAAATGTCTCTTCATTTCATTACAGTGCCTCGTTTATGTCCAAAACAATCACATCAGGTGAAAAGTCATTCAAATTCCAGATATGGGACACCGCAGGCCAGGAAAAGGTATGGAAAGCCTAATCTCTAATGTAATTTTTATCAGTAAAAGAAAATATGACTTGAGAAATCTTAGATAAATTGCCCATATCAAATAAATGGGTTGAAGATGAATGTTAATTTTGGAAAAAGCGTTATTATGTTGTTAATTCTAAATATATATATCACAAGTTGTTTAACGTAACTCTAAATCTCGAAAGGACGTTGAGATGAAACAATTTGATGGCGATCGATTCTTCTTTTCAGTATCGTGGTCTGGCACCCATGTACTACAGAGGAGCTGCAGCAGCAATCGTTGTGTATGACATCACCAGCCAGGTACCTGCATGTTCAGTGTTACAACTTCAATACATTGTCCAGTTCAGAGGGAATTAAACAAGTGGTTGCTTTAATAATTTACAATAAATGTTTCACTTTTAATTATCAAATATACTATCTTCTGGTCATTATTTGACATGAACTGATAGAGGAACTGCTACAGATCATACGTATATTTCCAAGTCCGCAAAGATCTCCAGTATGGAGGATTTTGTTACACCAACGAAGATAGACTCCAGTCATTAATACTGTTACTCTTTCGAAATGAAAATTACTAATGGTTTCTTGCACACTGGAGGAATTTACAAACCTAGTTAAAAGTTCTTAAAAGATTTGAAAGATACTAACTTTCTACTGGTCTTGGTGACAGCTGACACAATTTTGACAAAGTCGATGCTTAGTTCTGATTCATTATTTCAGTGCTTTAGCTTTCCTTGTTTTCACTTTCCAGGTGACGTACACCAAAGTCCGAGACTGGATACACGAGCTACAGCAGCATGGCCCCGATAACATCGCCATAGCGATAGCGGGGAACAAAAATGACATGGCTGACTTGCGAGAGGTTGATATGAGGACGGCCATGGACTATGCCCAGGATATAGGAGCAGTGTTCATCGAGACCAGCGCCAAAACAGCTGCCAATGTCAAAGAATTATTTGTAAACATCAGTAAGTTCTTTACTTGTTTAGCGGAACTTCTCAAAACTTGGAGCATTCCATTGGGAATACTGTCAGTTTAGGGGCACATCATCCTGAAATCGCCGAAATTCTTATGTTAAAGATTATTTACGTATCCTATTTCAAAGGTCTGGTTGAAAGGAAACCAACCTAATGGTGCACTGATCCTGAGAAAAGATAAATAAAAAACCTGTTGTTTACTTCTGACGTGGCGGACATTTTATGGCATACACGTATGTATTTCCAGCTGTAAATATGTCTCCTTATGGACATTGCCCCAGTTTCTGTGTCGGATGATTCAATGTACGGTACACGTCGTGTGTGTACACACATAATGTACAAGTACCACAACACCAATACACATACGTTGTTTCCCACACGTCCGCAGAATGCGATGCACTGGTGGAACATGTGCAACTGGAATCATGACTGACACCCTAATAACTCGATTTTTGGCAGTGAAAATTTTGATCCCCGAAATTCATTCTTGCAAGAAAAACACAAAAAATGGCCAAATTTTAAAGAATGGTTGTGTGGACGTTTATATTCTACTTTTAAATGCCCTTTCCAATTAATATCGTTTTGTAATCCATTTGGGCGCTTTCCGGGACGAAGTGTCCCTTTAAATAGGCCACTTTTTCTGGGTACAAACAGTAGAAATATCCCGTTTATTGTAGCAGTTTTAATAGTTATTCCACTTCAATCTAAAATTTAAAAAATGTTCAAGTGTATTTTCATACTGACATGGGAACAGTGGATTGCAGCCAGTGGTGTTACAGTAACAGGGATGTTGCGAGATTTTAGATGGTACCTTCGACACCTTTCCTCATCTTCAGCTTTGTAAAGGTTTCTTCAGACTTACTAGATACGATGCTTTGTATGAAGAGTCTTTGCCTCGATCATGAAAATCATTTTGCACGTCAGATTTCATTACAAAGTTTCCTAGATTAGCTCTTGACTTAGAAGATTGTAAAATTTAACCCATGTCAATTAAAAAAGTGAACTTTTATTTGTTTTTGTGTAAGAGTAGTCCACTCTGAGTGAAATTACATGTACTAGCTGGGAAGATAGGTAGATTCACTTGAAGAATAACTTTATTATTTCCTGTGTCTCTCTTTCTACTTCCCGACATTCTTTACCTTCCTCTCAGGTGAGCAACTACCGCCAGAGGTGATGCCTTACAACTCAAACGACATTGTGAAACCGGGGAGGAATCAAGGCAAGAAGAGAGGTCGCTGCTGCTAGCAGTTGCTCCCACACTGAAGGTTCGTCTGCCGTTGCCACCTATTTCTGTCACTGCTTTTTTGAATTTTGAAATATTCACCGTTTTGGTGTTAAAAACTAAAGTTGTCTTTAAGGTAAGTTTTTTTTAACAAAACCAGGTAAAAGTTAAGCTTTAACAACTTCAAGCAGGATGCACTATTGCAGCGACCGGATTACTTTGCATGGAAGCAAACATTTTTGTTTTAATAAATGTACAAATTTACAAATCTTTGTCATTGTTTAACAGAGAAACACAGTATTTGGTGATTTTTTACCAGTTCTTTCTGTTATTTAGGGAGCGGGATTCATGACTAGCACCCAACAGCTCGATTTTTGAGAGTCAAAATTTTGACCTACGAAATTCGTTCTCGCAAGAATAACACAAAAACGCCCAGTTTTTAAAGGATGGTTGTGTGGATGCTTATATCCTACTTTTAACTGCTCTTTCCATACAATTAACATCATTTTTTGTTTAAAACGTATTTTGCAGCCCAGTTGACTGCATTCAATGTTGTCCATTTTAGAGGCTGTTAATGTGCATTTTTGAATGCAAAGGTAAGAACAGTTTTACAGGTTTGTAGGGAGAAAAGAAATTGAGCATGTGGTTTGTATAACAGCAGACAATTGGAGTCTGAAATTCTAGGGGGGGAAAAATGCTAGCAAAACACATCAAACACATCCAACCTAATCATGGGTACTGCATCATGCTTATTTATTATGTCAAAGCTGTGTTAATGCAAATCAAATTATGGACATTACCTGAGAGCCATTATCATGGAGTTTAAGTTTTTTTTAAAGACTGTAAATTGATATTTAGAAAGAATGAATTTAAATGAGTCATTCTGTTACTGCCTTCTATGCACAAGGGTTTAGCGTGCATGCCAAATCGAAACCGTGACCAAATCACTCTTTTTTTTGTAATTTAAGAAATAAGTGTTAAATATGTGTTATTTTGGTGTTTTTTATACTTATTTCTGAAAGGTTTATATTGAGGTTGCGTTGGCACATAGTAGTTACATGTGAAGATTGAAGATTAATTTGAAGATTGTTTTGCAGAAAACGATTTTAAATTATTTGCACCTTGTACGTTTATTGTTTGAGGTTGCAGGAGGGGCCAGAAATTCTTCCTGCATTTGTATATTTTTATGAGTATGCCATACATGGCAACAAACTTATAATTTGTTGGTCATGACGGAATGAAAAGCCAGAACAATTAAATTCAGCTTATTTTATAGCTAATCTAACTGTCTTTACTGTAGTGAGCATTTAAAAAAGCATGCCTTTTGAAGTTTTGACATTATAACTTGCAGAAAACGTGACTTAAAATTCTACTTTATAAATCTATATCCTATATAACTATTTGCAGAACAACAATAATATAAAATACAATTTGGTATATTTAAAATTGAATGCATGTGTAATTTTGTAAATAGAGATATTTTATCTAGCGAAAAGTAGATTAATCCAATAAAATGAAAGATTCTGAGAAACTTTAGGACAAAATTTCCCAATTTGAAATATTTGCAATGATTCCATACATTAAGTTCATCAAATTAATCCATGCAGCAAAGACGTAAGGAATTGTCTTGACTTGAACATTGACTGCCTACATTCCAAAATGAAATTTTAATGAAATCAAATTGTAATTGCTGCCTAAAAAGGTTATATTATATCTTTGTATGGATTCTTTATCATTCGTAGTCTCCGAATTCAGAAGTTAAATATATTTTACATGTTGCGCATTCTTATGAAAGTTACCGAGAAGCAGTTTCTTGGCAAAGATATGTGTAATTTATTCTTGAACCTAGTGTTTGGGGCCAGGAATAAGGATTTTGATAATAGAGACAAAACCTTCACCAAAGAAATGTTGCATTTGTAAGATTTATTGAGAAATTTATGGAATTTTTGAATGGAACTAAAATGTTGCTTGAAAAATGATTTAGAGACTTATCCCTCGTATTCAATTTAAGGCGTATTTCAAAAGTAAAACGGAAATGATATAAACATGATAAGTCATTGACCTCTATAATAGATTGTAAGAGATTATTTTTTTTGATAAGTACAAAGTACATTTTGTAAATGTGTTTATTACAAATATATCCCTAAGTCCTTTTCATACTTTTCCCCTGCACTTATGTGTCCTTTGCTGTGTATGTTCTTCATTTCCTTGGGGGATAACACTATTTCCAACCAGGAATTACTTTGGTTTTATTAAACAATCCATTTATTGTAAAAAAAAAAATCATCCGATTCATGGTTTTGAAAATTTTACCATGAAGTTTAATTGCTAGGTATCAAAGAAATGTCTATACATTTGTAAGAAAGCATGTTCAAGTGAATAAAATCAAAACACTGTCATTCCATTTCAATAGGCATTTCATTGTCTTTCTCATTTGTTTTTCATGCATGCCTTCTTGTCTGTAAAAATATTTTAATAAGTAACACTGTTAATACTTATTTTGCGATTTGTTTCTCTCTGCAACCATGCGACGGCAATAAAATCACACAAAAAAAAAGGCAGTATTGATCAAGTATGGATTATTATTGCGTGACCTGACATGTTTTTCCTCATCCCCTCCATTTTTTTGTAAACTAAAGCAACAAATTGCAAAAAATACAGAAATTGAAAAAAAAAAATTGGGCCCTTATAGGCCCCCCAACTCCAAGCCGTATAAAAAAGGTTAAATAATTATAAAAACTATAATTATCTTTTTGGCCAACAAACATGAAACTGGGCCTATCCGTGGCTTTGTTCCCTGGGCTCCTGTTAGGTGTACTTTTAACTTAAGCAAATACCATGAGGTACACGTTGGCTGCTGCGGCCCGCAAACTCGCATCCGAATTTTTCTCGGATTTTTCATTTTCCTCAAATCTCAAACCTGATTATCAATTTATTGATTGAAGATTCACAACTGGTCAATTTAGTTAAAAAGACGGCTCTCACAAATGTAATCCCTTTTTTTCTGTGAAGTATCCTTTTTTATTCAGAAATATAGAGTACAGGTAAGTAATACCATTATTATTATTAAAGCTGCATCCAAAATGATGTGGCTACGGCTACCAATACATGTAGCACTGTCTGGGGCAAGTGGATTAAGCCGCTTGCATAGGCGCATGCACTGCAATACCCAGCCACAGCCAAGTAATTCAGACACTGCCTCAGTTTAAACAAGTTTAAGCAGTTATTAGCATGGCTAGGCAATAGACTCCTTGCATCAGAGGTCATATCCGAGGGCAGGTCTTTGTTCCTCTTTGATACGCACGTCACGAGTAAACAGTTCGAACCGTCATTGTCACTGAATTTGACTAATGGAACCCGTCATCAATGAGGGCGCACTATGCAAAGAGTCTATCAAGTTCTAGATATTAAAACTGCCACTCAATCTGAAATGACAAGAGTACTGGTTGAATGCAAGAAGGTTCAAAATCTAATCACAATTTATTGGTACACAGTTGAAATAAAGTCCAAAGTGTTCGGAGACGAAATTTTTGTTTTTTATGGTGTTGAATGCCTAAGAAAAGACACTTTCAAGCGTATATTCTGACTATTACTTGAAGGTTGTAACTCATTCTGGCCAAACTAGCGGAGTTGGGTACATCCTAATCTCATGTATTCAACTTATCTGAGAACACCTTCATCTTTGGTTCTAGAAACGCTCATGCCTTTCATGTCCAAACCAAGTGGGGATACACATACTCAAGTTGGGCAGACCACTAGGAGACACTCAAACACAATGCCAGCAATGTCTGATGCTCACGTGAAGACGCTGTGGGTTTGTCCACATTTATAATAAAATTAGCCATGCGTATTTCGCATTGTATGCGCATGAATCAGTAACCGTACATGGTGTATCCCTCCCACCAGGGCTCTAGAATGTGGTCACAAGCGCCCTCTACTGTCCATGCACAGAGTCCATTGCCCATGATTCTGTTGTCCACTTTAATGGCAAGAAGCCTTGCCCTTCTTTTTGGTCGGCCTGCGGATGACCGAGTTGAGCAAGTCCACCTCCGAGTCACTGCTCGAGGTGTCCGAATCGCTGCTGTTGCTATAGAAACCGAGTCCAGGGAGGATACGGACCACTTGTGCTCTGTCGCCATCGTCCACCAATGTCCGCTCGGCGGTTTCGTTGACTGTTGTGTGGTTAATACCGGTTGACTGTGATTCATTGGAAATGCCGTGTAAGGAGTCCGCTCCGTTCCGTGATGTTGAGCTCTCCGAGGTGGAGGCGGCACTTTTGCCTTTCTTTTCTCCACTTTTGTCGTCGGACTCACTTCTGCAGAATATGAGGACAAAACCAAAACTGACAATGAAGATGACAAACAAAATTATCAACCAGGTTTTTTTTATTAAAATGTAGAAATGTCAAACTGTTACAATCAAAGACTTAATACATGTAATACCTCAATCAGTAGAAGACCCAATACTTTTTCAAAGGGAAATGGCTAAGATGTTGTAGTCTAAAATTTGTCAAGGTGGGTGGGGCAGAGGGGTAGTCAACACGGAGACCTAAGGCCTAAATATTTCATACTACTAAGATTGTGAAAACATTATACTGATCAGATTGAAGACGGTTAGCGACCCAGACCACCCCCTAAATCTCCCCTTGCAATTACTGACAAAATCTTCATGCTGTGGTAGGTAAATGTTCTTTTGAACTCGAACCTCTTCCTCTTGACTGCACCAGCTAGGAGTGATGCTTGTGTTCTCCTGGTTGATGAGGCACCCATTGTCTTAGCAGGTGTCGTCTTTTCTGTCGGCTGTGTTTTGTTCGTCAGTTTCACGTTGGGTTCAGCTGCCGGTACTACCCTCTCGTGGCATCATGACATTAAGAAAAACACATCTATATTTGGTATGCAGTGATAAGAAATTTATATAAATCTAATATCATTCTAGTTAAGATATGTTTTGCAGTTAAACCCTAACCGCTTGGGTATCTTTACTAGAAAGTATCCTGAATCCGCCAAAATCCACATATTGTGTCATGCACACACATTTTGGTGTTGTTGACTTCTTAGTATGGAGGTATCCTGAATCCATCAAAATCCTGCATTACCGCCAGGCTTACAAATCCTCAATCCATCAAAATCCCCATTTTCAATATGGAGGTATCCTGAATCAGCCGAAATACTTCAAAACAGGTGTATAGATTTTGATGGATTCAGGATGGTTAGGGTGAATGTGAATAAAGAATTGAAATGCAGACTTGAAATACACCAGGAATAAGCACAATTTAGCATTAATTTCAACTTGGCTTGTGCAAAACCTCCTTCCAGGACTTGATCTTGACATTTCATCGAACAAAATTGCTCTGTAATTGCTCTTAAAAAAATGCAATTATACCCCGCCTCTGCAAACATAGATCCAGCTGTATTAATGTATTTCATATGGCAAGAAGTCACGATTAGTCGGGTAGTTGCGACTTTTTGTCACACGAATACCCGACTAGCGATTTTACTAGTTGCACAACACTAGTGTTAAAATGTATCAGGTTTAAGAAGCCATTTTGGCCATGGTTCTGGGATGTGCATGTTCAATATTCAAAATCTTACTCTAATCAGATTTTGTATGGTTGTAATAACTTGCATATGCAAAAACAACATAAATCCCAACTTCCCCGGCATTTATGCAAGGAACCTCCCTCAATCCTCCAAAAATGAACATTTGATGTTCTCAAATCAATTAAGGGGCACTAGACCCCCATTAAAAGTAATAGTGACTGAGTTCTTTCATCCTTGATTCTGCCAATTCAGCCAAAATCTCCAGTTGGATTTTAAAGGTACTTGGGTTAGGGATAATGACGCTGATTCTCAAGGATATTGTGTACTCCTTCATCTCCTCCAACATGTCTTTCTCCTCTCTCCATCGCTTTGTCTCAATCTCCATCTGACGATCGGCAACCTCATCTAGGAATTTACTCTCGTCTTCATCAATACCTCGGACCATGTTCTCTGTTGAACAAAATTAATAAACAAATGACAAAATAATGTTGTTTTATCCGGACGTCTGCTGACATTTTTTTTACTAATTTGTAGACGTGGGAGGAAAGTACAACTTGGCAGATAAAAAGCAATTCCTTGTACATGTAAATGACGGGGTAAACTTACTGAACTTGAACTGCTCTTCAAAGTCGGACTGTTTCTTGTCTTTTTGTTCCTGTAGTTTCTCATAAAGACTACGAGGGTCAACTTCTTCCTCTGGGCATTCTACAGCACCAAAAAAAAAAAAATTAAGGACTCATGACAGAAGAATCACAAATTAAGACATCATTAGAAGTAGAATTGGAGGTGATTGTGTAGCGTAGCTGTAGGGCCCTGATCCCTGTAAGTGAACAAAAATCCACTTTTAGGTTATGGACTTACCAAACTAGTTAGTGATATCGAGCACAATTTGAGTCCCCCGCGCAAGTTTAAACCTGCGCGGGAGACTCCCGAAGCACGCAAATTACACTGCGCCATTTTAATTTGCGCGCGCACGTTACAACTTAAGCAAAGGCAACTGCAATTTGAGAACCTTGCACAAGGTAAGGTGTAGCATAAGGCAATCGTAGGCTTGCCACATTTTCACGGTGTTCTTATCTTTGGCATTTGGTTATTTTCCAACACAAGCTTTCCATGATATGAGGAAGTATAACTATGGACTAGGGTTTAACTAGCACAGGTTGGACGAAGTCTTCATTGCAATAACGTAGGGAGGAAAGGGAGTCCACCAGGGCTAGGGTTTAAGTAACTAGTATCTTGCACTACATTTCGAGTGCTGTGTACACTTTAACAAAAATGCATAATTTGAAGAAAAAAATAATGAATGCATTACAAATTTAATTAATTGATTTAAATTAGTACTTCAAAATTAATTTATTGGTAGGCTTAATAATTCATTCACATTATTATGTTTACCTGCTTTAACTTAAAAACCATGAAACTCTATGGCATAAGCACATATAAAAAGGTAATATTTATTCTACAAAGTACATTTATTAATAATTTAATTAATTTATTTAATTTATTAATTTAATTAATTAATTTCATTAATTACGACAATTATTAAATAATTGGTTTACGACCGCCAAAACGCATCCGCCTCTGACACATCGAATGAGTGTCGAGAATACGTGCATTTTCCCTTCAACATAATGAAATTTACCGAGCGGCTGATCAGCGGTGCGAACTTTTTCCCATTCCTCTTGCCTTTGCTTTCGCTTTTCATCCAACTCTGTCTCGGAGACAAACGACCGGAAAGATACCCCTTCACCAGCCATATTACTAAAATGTTGGAATAAAACTATGAAACTCTGACTTAATGCCGAACATGAGTCGCGAGAAACCGGGAATCCTCAACTTTACGGCAAACAGAATAGCGCCCTCTAGAAAAAATCTTGCAGCAGTAGCCGTTTTTCAAACTTTGGTTTCATTTCGGTATTGCTTCATCGCTGAGAATAATATTTATGGCGATGTTGGTGTCCAAAACAAATACATTTACTCCAATATGTGGTCTTGCTAAATACATGTATGTGTTTCTTTTGCAAAAGAAGTATTATAGATTCAGATTGCCCATGCCTGATGCCTTAAAAGTTCTCTCAAATCCATATCCGGAGCGAAACCGAGGTTTCAAATATTCCACGCATCGATAATTTTGACATTTTCGGCTGCAGCATCAAGGATTTTGGATGTAGTTCAGATGTCAAATCCTGACGTCGATGCCAGAAATGTCATGATGGCTACCACCCTGGAGCCACCAGAACGTTAGCAAACAGGTTTAATTGTTAAATGCATTCCGGGGAAATTGCTGTTCTCAAAGCAATGGCAGAGTGTTTGTTTTTGGTATTCCACTTCTTGGTATTTAAATTTCATCCTCCACGTCAAATCTAATGCCGCAGTCCGATCGTACTCCTCATGTGAACTTGGCGAATATATGAATAAACAATACTGGTTTTTTGTTTTTGTTAAATTTTACAGCTTATAGTGGTTCTCCAGCCAGCCTTGCCATCATAGTCTTGTCAGTCATCATACCAGGCCTGGTTCTCCTTGCAGCTTTCATCGCTGCATTTTTTCTCTGCTGGCACCGGGATCGCATCCCAATCTTCCGCAGCAAGGCCCATCGCTACAGCAAACCCGCTGCCAAGACTGAGATCAGTGGGGGCATCGGGTATCCAAAGCAGAAGGCGTCGCTTCAGATGACAACGTTGGGCGAGGAAGGAGGACCATCATCTTTGGAGGAAGGTCGTGGGACTCCTCCTCCAGAGATGAAATTGAAGCCAGACGTTGATGTATGAGAGTCTAGCAAGCTGCAGCCACAATTGTGAAGAGCGGAAAGGCCACCTATGAATGCTGCAGGATTCTAGTGAATATAGGAAAAGTTGTAAGAAAATTCCAGTACATGTACTAACTCCTTGTGCCTACCTTGATTCTTCCTCCATCCCCATCCCTGCCCCACCCCCACCCCTGTCCCATCCCAACTCCACCCAATCCCCACCCCTGCCCCACCCCCACCCCTGTCCCATCCCAACTCCACCGAATCCCCACCCCTGTCCCATCCCCACCCCTGTCCCATCCCAACTCCACCCAATCCCCATCCCTGCCCCACCCCCACACCTGTCCCATCCCCACCCCTGTCCCATCCCCACCCTATCCACCCCTTGTCTCTCACCCTGTTCCTTTTGAAATGGGAAAGAAAACAAATATCAAGACTTGCAGTGTTTTTGCACTCGTGCAGGAAGAATCAAAATTGATTTCATCATTCTGTAACGCTTGTAAAGAAATAGTTTTATAGATCTGGTCATAGCATTAGACTGTTTTGCTATTTGGGTGGTGTAACTCAATGTACTACATTAATTTTAAGGCTTTATATTTTGTACTATTTACAGTTAAAAGAAAAGATATTAAGTATTCATTTATTTATGCACTAACGTTTGTATAATGTGTTTTGTTGAACTGTACAATGTACATGTATTTTAAAATGGCATTTGGGTCAATGCAGTTATTTCTCATGCTCGAGTTTAAAGTGTAACCGAGTGGACTAGATGCTGTAGATTAAGGGGCTTTGTGTATTCTTTTCTACTGATGGTGTACAGTACTACAAGTGCGGAGGGTGTGTGTGTGTGTGTGTGGGGGGGGGGGGGGGGGGGTTCACAGAGAAGTTGTTAAAGATAGACAAGCTCATGAGTAATTCCCCCCCCCCCACCAGACACACACAAACATTAAGAAATCAAACTTGTTATTTTCAATAACTTTATCATAGTATAGCTGAAAAATCCTGTCGAATATACATTTTCTTTCCATTACTGTTAATTTACAAATTCTTGTTAATAACTTTGGTAGGAAAAAATATAGAAACTAGGTTAAAACCCAACATTTTGATCAAAACAGGAGAAATATAGTAATATTTTCAAGGATTGCAAAAAAACTCCAATTGTGATGTCCAATGGTCAAGAAGCCTCACATCAATGATCAACTAACTGTAAATGTGATTCATATGTAAAACATACAAGCAAGAACAAGAAAAATTGTTAAATTAGTTGCTGCTTGAACAAATACTTGTTACAAATTTATATCAAATAATCTAATCTAATGTGGTCATTAGATATTCTCTTATATCTATGTGTGATTTGATAGTGTAGCTATATTGTCAAAGGATAAGTTTTGTCGCTTTGGTGGTTTGATATGGAAAAAAAAAGTTCAGTATTTAAACTTTTAACAAGTGTTGATTTTAAAGTGACTTTTCTACAAACTTAAAAAAATACCTTCCTGAGCGTTGCTGACACACTCGGCAAAACAAATAGTTGCTTTTAGAAATGGGTAGTCCATAAATAACTCCAAAGTTCACAATAATTATCACTTTGCGGTGAATATTTTGTTGGATAATGTACGTTGGGGTTCAAGAATTCTATTTTGAGGGGGTTTCAGGTAAAATGTCTGCTCCTGAGTTTTATAGGATGCTTAGCCAGAATAATCACTAGATTTTCATATATGGGTAACACAAAAGTAACGCCAGGCAACCATATGAACCTGGAAGTGGTTTAGAACAGCATGTGTACAGAATATTAAGGGCCTTGAAACTCACTGAAATAAAACCATTACTGCTTTTTTTCATATCTTACTCTGAACCCCTTTCAAATCTGCGTTTGAATATTAATTATAACTTTTGATACAGTACACAGTACTAATCATTTTTACCAAAAAACAAAGTTGTGACAAAAGGGGGAACTTCTCCCTCAATTATATCTGCAATTACCAAGAAAGTAACCTGTGCCAAGTTGTTTGTAAACAAAGTTTTAAATGTATTTAAGTTAAAATAAAGTTTTGTTTAATATACAGAGGCAACTTTTTGTACAAACAAATTCTTCAGCATTTGAACATGTTCAATTTTGATGTACCATTGTATTTCTAGATTTAATGTTTAATTTGATTACAGTTAGGTAATTTAAAAAAAATTTGCACAGAAATTGTCAGATGTCAATGTTTTCTTCTTTTGTAGTTAATAATAATATTTCGAAATTCAGGTCTTCCCTACTGCCGTATTAGCTTCAAGATAGCTTTTGAGTCACAAAACTCAAACATGGAAAGTGAGAAATATGCAAGTGGCTGTCGGGTTGGTGTAGTGATTCTTTTGTATGACCCTGGTTCGATTCCTACCAGAGCCACTTTGCTTACAGGGTTTTACAGTCCCAATATAATTGCAATTTTTCAACTGAAATTTTCATCCGAAGTTTTGCTCCGATTTCTTAAACTGAATTTCCATCCTAGCCTCCTCATTATGCAATTAAAAAGGGGGGGGGGGGGGAATCAGGAAAGCAGCTGGACAAACAAAAAATATGTTTCATTTTTGAGTTGAACTTCAAAAGAGAAAAACTGACCAAAGTGGGAATTGAACCAGCGACCCCAAAGTTACTTTGCAGTCATTTGAGTGAACTGTGTCCCGGGTTCGATTCCTACCCGGCCACATGTCGATTGGGTTTTCAGTTTTCAGTCCCTACCTGATAACTCCCACTTCAAAAACTGTAATTTCGTCTCGTTATCCTCTCTATAGTTTTCTTCAGGCTTCTGAGCCACAGAGCCCGGTGCACTTTTGAGGAATCCTTGGTTTCATTACCAGAAATAAATAACAATAATACAAAAGTGCAGGGACTAGTAGGTAAAAGGAGCACATACTCTTGTTCCCATTTTTTGTACTTTGACATGCAATAACTGGATAATGTGTGCAAACAACTGCTCAAGATCGACCCAATTCCCATCTCTCAAATAAGCATTGCACATTGTTATATAAACAGGCGCTTCTCAACTGCATATATTACCATTTACAAAGTTTTACAAAACTGACGGAATAACCATGCACGTCATGATACAACGTCCACGTCAGATTTTCTTAAGACAATCTGGGCAAATTGGCCTTTCTCTAGTTTTGTCTCGTTTCATTGCCACTAAGTAAAAAATCTGAACCACACCATTATAAGGCACTATTATCTAACCACATAATTATGGCTGAACGCAACTTTTCATGTGCGGACCCTGACATATCTGTCCGCAAAAGGTTCATCCAACTGTAAGAAAATTGGGGGAGGTTTATTGTTTATCCTACTTTAAATAAGAAACAAGAACATTAACTTGGTTATATTCAAAATTTGAATACTAAATAAAATTGATTTTTTTTTCCCTTCTTGATGCATACATTCCTTACTCAGGCAATATACTAATTATATACAAGATTTATTATTTACATCATTCTGTTGGTTCAGCACTTAATATTCCAGAAAAACATTAAAACTGGCTTATTCATCCTCCCATTTGAAATGGGTAATACTGAATAATGAGCAAAGTGTTTCTGTGCCTGTGGAAAACCTTCAAAAGGGTAGGATTTAAGATAATCATGTTATTTTTGTGCCTTAATTTGGTACATCATCCTGCTAAAGTGTTGAGTGTTCCAGAACTCAACCAACACTACCACCAAATTGTGTCATTTGGTAGAAAGAAAGGGACGACAGCAAAGCCTTGGAGGTTAACATTTGAGACTTTGTCACGAGTGGTGCTGACCAGCCTGGTGAAAGGCACGGACACTGATGGTACTCCTGCACAGGTGACACTGTTCTAGTTGCATTGCACAATCCATACACACACCGCTGGAGAATGGGAGGGAATTCATTCAGAGAGAAAATAGGAGAAGGATGTGAATTGATGCCTTGAATGGACCGTTGAAAATATAAACACTTTATTATCAAAACGTGATACATCCATTTGAAAAAGTGAGAAAAAATTCACGTTTGTGAAACTTTAAGGAATAAAAACAGTATATAACAGCCGTTTCTAAACTTCGTTTTTCCCTTTATTGTATTCTTAAAATGTGTTTAATTATATAATACCTGTCAAGACTAACTTTGGCCAGCCAGGGGAGGGTGGGATTTTAAAAAAACAAAATGACGTTTATCGCGTCTTGGAAATAATCTCTTCATATGGCTATAAACCCCGCCCATTTTTGGTCTACGTACATTTCTCATAGTGCTTATTACCGAGTTGGGCTAGTTGAGTTGGACCGAGTGCGGTCACCTGACCAAACGTCATGATCTTATTGGTTAATGTGCACTGTTTGATTGACGGGTAGGGAAGGTCATTGGGAGAGTACTGCATTTCATATGGTTACCATGGTTTTCACTTATGATTTTTCACCAATGTAGCCAGGACTTTGTCTAATTCAAAAATTAAACAATGAAACAAATTAACAAATTTCCAAATGACATTAAGAAGGATTTAGCTATCAGCATTACCTGTGGTTACATGGCTTCAAGATGACGTCTGCTTCTCTATCAAAGCAAAGATTGCAGGCGTTTTCACTGACGCTCATATGCCGCAGTAAGGCCATCTTCTTATGTCTGCAGAAAAAAAAGCAAAATATTGATGCGCTAACTGGATGTAAACATTCATAAAAGTCCAAGAATCTGACATGATTTGCCCACATATATTCACCAAACTTGTCCTGTGTGATAATTTTTTAAAATTTTTAAAATTGAAAAATCAAAACAGTCTCATCAACAGTTTTCCTGCGAGTATCTTTTTCCAACCTCACAAATACTTGTGCAAATGTTGTGAAATATCAGATGCTTTTGGTTTTGTATAGTCAGAATTATATAACAATGTGTTTTATTAATCACAGTCACAGTGGCTTGCGACATTGAGGGGGGGGGGTTGGGAGTGCCAAAAATAGCTTATATTTAATGTGAAGTTAACATAAAAGTTACAATAGAAACTGCTAAAATGGATCTACATTGTGGATAGTGAAATGTCCATGTATTTAGAATTTTTGTCAGACTTAAATTACCGAACCCCTGCCCAATTTTGTTCTACTGACGGAAAAGTTAAAGACTTTTTCCAGTCCAGCTAGTAATGTTCTTGCCAAGCTACTGTGTTCTCTCAATTGTTGCTGCAGGCTCTCACCTTGGGAGAATGACCTTGTCATCTGGGGCCAGCGTTGCGTAGTCGTTAAACGTTTTGAACGCCACTTGGGGAGGATAAACGAAGGGCTTCATGCCGAAGTTGAACTCGCACTGCTGGAAAGACATGAAGCTAGCTGCGGCAAAAAAACCAGACCTACCAACAACAAAAAAAGAAGAAAAAACCACAGACATACAGATAAAACAACTGTAGACTCTGTGCAGAAACAGTACAGGGCGCCTACTAATAGGAACGATGCATATATGCATCTGGTTAATGAGTAAAAACTAGGCTCCTCGGTGATCCATGGAGCATTCTATTTCCTTTGGCTGCACCTTGTAAACCCAGAACGCTCCGTGGATCACCTCGGCAGGCTAGTTTTACTACACCACTTGAAGCAGTCAATATTTGTGTACTGGGGTTATGGCCAATAACAAGCACTTCAACTTGATTAAAGTGGTGCCTGGTCCCTGCAGTATTTTCAAGACTTAGTAGTAAATGATTCTGCCCAAAAGTATAACAATAAGCCCGAGGAAATCTCTTGTGTTGGGATATAAAAACACTTACTGAGCTGACGTGAAGAGATCGGTTTCTGGAGGTAGGAAGTTACCATTCAGTGCGATCAGCATTTCTTGATGCTTCAGGTCTAATAAAAATCCAACAATGTCCCCTATAACACAAAAAATGACAAAAAGATTAAAATTACTAATTGGAACATTAGATTTGGTACGTCAGGCTGGCCATAGCTTAGTGCGTCCCTGGCCGAGGGACTAGCCAGCACATGCAGCACAGGCACAGTAGGGCCTGCAGCCACTTCCCATAGGCCCATGTGTTATTTTAAGCCATAGCCAGATGATTTGGACGTGGCCTAGGTACCGGCGATGGTGTAATGTCTGTGTACAACCCTAGAAACCTATGGCAAGCCTAACACCCACCCTCCAAAAAAATACTATTCAGCTACAACAATACTATACAAAGTAATATGACCAACATAAATTGAGAAATTCTGATCAAATTTTAAAGATTATTTTCTTTAAGCTTGCATTTTAAAACATAATCAAACTCATGAAGAGGTGCAAAGGGTCTACTCTATTTACCTGCTTTCCACATGGGGTGATCATGGGGTCTACTCTTTGCCTTGTACCACAAAAGCTGTCGGCAGCCGTCGTAGGAAAATGAGAACTCATCATCCCCAATGCCATACCCCTCCTAGACAATTTAAATAACAGACAAAGTAGGATTCAATTTTCATTTGAAATCCGAGGCATTTTTCTTGGAAAATATCCAAGTCCTTTAAAATCCACCACAATGTACGCACTCAACTGCACACTCCTTATGCTGAAAACTTTCAAAGACCTTCAAGCTGTGTGCGAAGTGGGGCATTTTATTAAGTAAGGGTCCAAACTGTGACATTTTTCCTGTCTCTGTTACCTTGGTACTTGGTAATTTGCCTTCAAGTATCATTAAGATTTTTTATTTGTTGGGTATGTGTTTTTTATTTCCAATCACTCTTGGGGAACGAATGCATTAAGAAATACATCCAGAATTATAAAAATCAAAGAGGTCAGATGTCACAGGGACAGCAAAAGGTGGACGGCAAAGTTATAGAATGAACCAGATCTCACATTTTATCAGTTTGGGTCAGAAAATGCAAATAGTACAAGAGTATGAAAAAAAATTCAAACTTGCAAGGGTTTCCTGTTGTCGTTTCCTTATCATGTTACTATGATTAGAATATTGACAAGACATGGGTTTTGACACGTTGTTTTGGTCACAACAATCATTACCTGATTCAGGAATTTACTATTCTTGGTGGCCCAGCCGATCTGCATTACGCCATCGGTGATGACGCGGACCTCGTAATACCAGATCCCCGCATCCACGCAGAACGTACACCGCACGCTCTCGAAGGATGAAGCGTCACTACGAGCCTGAAGGGGTTCCGTAAAAGGATTATTAGATTAACACAAACGGATACTTTATGGCCAGAAATCTGACATTTTCTGAATGTTAACCAAAAAGGGTGCGCAATGTGCAAATTTTGTACTCTATGCATATTCTTAATCAGTAAAAGAATTTAAAGGAGGGATTTCGACCGGAATGCACCTTTTTTCAAAATTGATATTAGAAAAAACACATGGTCAATTTTGTAAACTTTCACATTGTAAGCGCATTCTAAGTGAGGCTGTGTCCGAATTACTTTCTGCGGCTGGAAATAACACACGAGTCTATGGTAGCACCGTTCTACGTTTCATTTCATCAATTTGTTGAAGCAGTTGCGTCTTCTAATGTCAACCTCATCCAAGAAGGTTCTTGGAGTAAAGAGAATTCTTACCTCAAGTCCCGTGGGTGTAATCTTGAGATATTCACTGACATCTTTGTCATTCAGCATGGCGTGGCAATCCTTTAGTGACACTAACTCATGTGTGTAGGGCCGGCCTTCCACCAAGACTGTTAGAAATTACAACAACAACAAAAAAAGCAAGTTTACTTATGTCAATTTTACAAGAAGCCTTTCCTCAAATTTGTTTTGAGTAAAAAAACCCTTATGAGTAACAATTTGGTTGTTTTGGGGAATACAGAATCCAGCGGCTGTAACTTCACATCGGGTTAGTAGGGCTGTGCCAAATGTATTGAATATTTGAATATCGATCATCCACCGACTATCCGGAATATACATGTACGAACATTTACAATGTATCCAATTTGAATATTCGCAAATGTGAGCAGCATCAAGATGACTAAAATGTCTGTGATGTTATCTTAATTGTATAAGTTGCATGGTTTTATTGTCTGTCAAATGCCACATTTTGTCGATGCTTCCGTGAGGAATATCAGCTCTTATTTACATCTTTAAAATCTATCGAATATCAGCTTCTCAGCTACCTTGAGAAAAATGTACCGATGTTCTTAATATTTTATTAAGCTAAAGTCCTGTCAATTTTCGACTGTCACAGGCGCAGGTGCATGGAAAGCCTGATTGCCTGTCGTTTCCCCACTAGCGCACAACTCTATAGACGTTCTAAACCTATAGACGTTCTAACTGTATGGATGTAAAAGTGAAAAGAGCAAACGTCTAAGGGTTTTGCATGGTTGACGAGTAGAAAGTTTAATGTGAAAAGACAAACATGTGGTTATCACTTACAGAGGTTGTCCAGACACCACTGAGCACAGAAGCCAACCTGTCTTAGCATCAGATCCTCGCTGCTTGCGTATTTCTCCAAGGGTAGCAGCAGTTCTCGTATACCGCTGTTCGAAATCGTGATCTTGTTCTCCGCTTTGATGGAAAATGAAAAAAATCTGAGATCTAATTTCAAAGGCTTTCAGGGCATTGACTGTCATCAAGTCAGATATTTTGACCATGTTTTTCATGCTCATTCAGGCGTACTTAAACTAACTGACTGAAGGGAGACTTCAAACCAGGACACTTTTACTTTGAAGTTGGGCTCGGTAAGCTTTGCCATGTCTGATAGATATTTTTGATCACACCTATCGTAAGGCCATACTCACATGTTTGTGAAAACTTCTCCAGAGCTATGAGAGAGAAGAGAACAACCTGGGGACTGAACTTCAAATTCTGCAAGAGAACAATCAGGAGATGACTACATTATGCTTCAATTTGATCCTGAAATTTAACATTTTAGTGTGCCTTTTTCAGTTACAGTCAAACTCAACAACTATCGCTAGCAGGCAGGTACATCTCACTATTAACCCTAACTCCCTGGGCCTTTTTGCTCGGATGTAGCTCCAATCCTGCAAAATCCTCCAATTGGCTTCATGGAAAAATAGCATATAGCCTCAATCCTGCAAATTCCTCCATTCTTTCTTGAATATGGTCCGTGGAGGGGTGACCACTGCCTGAATCTTACAAAATCCTGCAGCAGTGACTTTCAATATGTTGAGGCTTGGCCAGTGATATCCTGGAGCAGTACGGAGGATTTCAAGCATAATCCAGGCCTATATCTATGCATGGTTGAGCAAAAACGACACAAGGTCCAAGACCTTGACAAAGTGCATCCTATGAAATCAGTAACGCACTTTTGCCATGTAACCTCAATCCTCCAAATTCCTCCACTTTGGCAAAGAGGATTTTGAAGGATTCAGGGCGGTTAGGGTTAATGGTAAGAAACTGCACAGCAGCATAGATAAACCCTTTCATGCATGTTTAGACCATGCATCTATAAATGCATGTACACAACCACAGGCTTCATGAAGAACTGAACCCCTTCTCCAAAAGCTGCTCATTGGAATCATGATGCCACATATGATAATGATGTCACCTGTTCCAGATTTGTACACTAACCATTCATCTACAGCAACATGTCTTAGTCAACCTAACAGCAGAATTTGATTTCTCACCAGGTTAGCCAGTAGGTACTGCAACACATCATCAATGAGCATAGTGATACTTTTGGGCCCAGCTAACTTCTCAGCCAGACATCCTAAGACGGTTGCGATATTCCGATGCCTTGCTGCATGAGCCTGTGCCTCTTGCGACAGATTTTGAGAGATTCCCAGGGCTCCATATAACCTGTGTATAGTCTCCTGAGTAACAAAAGAAAACAAAAATGGAAAAATAAATGATATGAACATGTTTGTAATTGAGTAGGATCACGGTATACAGGTATTCTTCACCTCTTTCAAAGTCAAAAGATTCTATTAACATAAGAGACGTGTTGATAAGATGGAATTTGCGTCAGGGTGATGTCAATTCAATACTGTGTTTTGTCCTTCACCGACGATTTTTTTACGTTGGTTAAGGGCAAAAACCCAATATTTGGATGAGATTACTGTACTCTAAAAATAGCACATGGATGTAAATTGTAACAATGCTGCAAAAAGCGCCAGATCTATGGTGAAAAAAAAGTGAGCATTATCTTACATGTACTATTTGTTCACAGGGCCCATAGGCAAAGAATAAACTTTTGCATACGGTGAGTCGATATAATCGACTTGATATGGTGTCCAATGTAGACAAAGGACCATAGTATTTAAGGAAAATATCATATTCTGTGCAATTCAGTTCCATTAAGAAAATCCATTTTTATTGATTTTTACTGAAATATTTGTGGAAAAAAACACACTTTTTATTCTAATGAGTCACATGTACCAGTCTTATGACTATAGACTCGTTGCATAAGTACCCCCTCTACTGTTACAGATTGGCGAGGGGGTGGGGGAGACAACTGAGAGGGACATTTAAATGCATTGCTGAAATGACTGATGCTCACGTGAAGATGCTACAGGCTTGTGCACATTCACAATAAAATTAGTTATGAACACTTTGCGCCACATGCGCGCAAACCAGTACATACACGCGGCTCCCACTGGGGCTTCAGAAAGTGATCCCAAAACGCCCTCTACTGTTCCTGCACTGAGGCGATACAAGACGTAACTCACCACTGTTGGTAGAGGGCACTCGTCTATGAGTAGTGTTATGACAGCCGGTCCCAAACCATCTTCCATCGGGATGACACGAATCATGGACAATACAACCCTTAACCAGCCACTTTCTACCATTAACACAAGGAAAAGGACAGAAATAAATAATAATATTGTGGTGCTTATCTAGCGCTTTGTAGCAAAGGTCTCATAGCCCTACACAATTATTACCCCGGTTCATCAGGCCATGAGACCAGTTTCTGCAGCAGCTCAAGATCAGCGCATTCTGGTCTCTACCTTCACAGGTACTCATTTGTACTCCTGGGTGGAGAGGGGCAATTGGAGTAAAGTGTCTTGCCCAAGAACATAATCAGCATGTTCACTGTCAGGGTTCGAACCTACATACCATGGCATGTGAGTCGAACACTGTAACCATTGCACCACAGCGCTGGACAATGAACCCCATTGGTTTTTGTTTGTTTTTACTAGGAACTAGCATTTAGCACAAAGTACAAGTTGTAAAGTATTAATCCTGCAAAATCCCCTAAAACCTCATTTTTGAAAGACTTCTGGAGGTCTATTTTTTAAAATGAATTTCCTGTTTGAAACAGAATTAAAGTTTTAAAGCAAACCAAATTTAGATTGTTGACAACTTTCAACTGTGTCAACTCCAAGCCTACTCTATAACTTGAGATTTGTTGAATGACATTCCTATAGGTTTTTGCAGACAGAAAAGTTGCACTGTTAAACCACTTCAATAAACACATGTAGAAGTATATAATGGAAAGTCTGTGTCACTGGTCCTGAGAAATCTCTTACCAGGAAACCAATGATTAACACTTGCAACTGGATGATTTGTTTCACTTTCACACAAGCAGAATGTATATTTAATATAAAGGCAATTTTATCCGAGATGAATAAGTGGAACATTGATTACGTTATGGAAAACAAAGTGAATAAAAAGTTACGTTAAAACAAAACTCAGATTTTTGGTTAACTAGGTCAGCGCTGAAAACAAACAACATAACTTACCACTCTCAGCTATATCATGAAGTCTTAACATCGAAGACGGTGGCTCAGGATCACTGCAACAGCAAAATATGCAAGTGCATTTTCAAAAGTTAGCAATCGAAATGCCTCATTCATTTTGACATTCTTCATTTTCTTATTGTCGACTTCAAATTTAAAGTAGGCAATGACTTTTATGGTACACCAAAACCTGCAAGACAGTTTCGTTCTTGGCCTCTTGCAAGTGGGTTTGAACCTTGACCCGCTTTCAAGTATTTTGTAAGAACCCTGCTGATTTTAACAATATCAAACATGTAATAAAGAAAATCCAAAAGGATCTGATGGCTAGAATAAAACATTTTTGGTGAGAGCTCAGATCAAGGGAATCCAGAAATAAGAATATTTCGTTGCGTCAGTGCAACAAGGTCTTAACTCCATTCTGCAACAAAGTCGTATCTCACAGGAATACGCTCCGTGCAACTAGGTCGTATCTCAACGTCCACTGACTGTGTGTACATCCGTGTTATTTTAAGTGAGATACGACCTTTTGACATTCTGAAACTCACGTTTCATGTAAGGCCCATTTTAGGAGATACCACCTTGTTGCATGGACAAGACGATTTGGTGTTTTTAACAGCTGAACAAAGAAAAATTAGAGCGGGGTTTGAACCTGTGACCTCCGGATTGCCTTTCCAATGCTCTACCAACTGAGCTATCCAGCCCTATGTTAGTGGTTCTCCATTTGGTCAATGTCTTTGTTGGATTTAGCAGGCTTCGGGTAAAGCCCCCCCCCCCCCCCAAAAGTGATATCTTAAACCTACTTGTCAACCAGTCGTCTGATGATTGACAGTGTATCCAAGACAAGAATGTCAGTGTTGGTGTCATCATCATCATCATCATTGTCACTAGAGGAGAGTCCCGCTAGGAACAGATTCGGGTGTCGGACATTACGTAGTTGTCTCTCAAGGTTCTGCTGCGCTGATTGGTGCATGGTGGTCACGTGATAACCCCGAGGTGGTGGGTGCAACTGCCCATGATGGTTGCGACGGTTGTGGCGGTTGTGATGGTGGTTCTGGCTTTGTCGACACGGCTGCTGTCGACTGCGATCCTTGCTCAGACAGGAACTCCCCATGTGAAGGATCCCTTGCGCAAGGCACACAAGTCTGGAGTTGAAGGCACGAGTGGCATCCACAAAAAATTGCGGTGGGTCTTGAAACAGGAGATAGCCGGTCCAGACTGTAACTATCATCAGTCTCGGCAAAATGAACTGTTGTCTCCGTCAATACATGCTGCGTGATATCTACCAAATTTGTTGTGAAGACACAAATGGGAAAATCTCTTACATTCCAAGTGTCACTTCATGTAGTTCATCCCGTTCTATCTTCAGGAAAAAAAAAAGTGAAATTGAGCAAACAAGTTAAATAATTCGTGTGTATATACTGTGTAATGTCGATTTTTAGAAACGTATGGTAGTTAGGTTTGATTGTATTGTTGTTTATGAATTAGTGTGTGTTTTAAGTTATTATAAGATTTGTCAGTTGGCACCACATTTCTCTGTTTTTAACATAGGCCTACATTTGGACAATAAAACAACATTGAATTGAATGTTAACTTTTTGCAAAATCATTGGGTGGGCCCCTCAGCAATACTATACAAAAATTATGTGGTGAAAAATCCTCTGCTTTGTTTTATACCTTTCCACACTTTTTTATCCAGTTCAATTCAAGTATGGCATGTATGGCATTCGTACATACGTACTTTACTGAACACCAAGTTACACCATTTTGTCTAAATGTAGACCCAGTAACTGGGGTGCTACAATTCGGGAAAAAAAAGTATTTCTAGCGCCCCAGTTACTGGATCTAGTCTGATCTAGTCTAGTCGGTAATTTTTTAAATATAAAAAAAAGAGCAGTGCGGCAGCATGCAGTTTCGGACCTAGCCCGACTGTGTCTGGCCGTACAATACTATCGCAAGCTCTGTAGATTTGGGTAATTATGTGAGATCCGCAATGGTGATTTTGCAATACCGTAACGATATACATTTGTACTTATTGTAGCAGTTGAAAATCGCATTACGACTGCCTAGTAGAGTGAGATAGTCACTGACTAAAGCATTACACGGCACGAGGCCCACGGACTCAAGCTCAACTCTCAGACTCTCCTCAATTTTCGTACCGGGTGTGGGGGATTTTTAAAAGAAACACAATATATTATTATAAATGGGTAAACATTCAAGGGACCATACTAGTAAATTACAGTTAATCAATGTCAAGACCATGAATTTACCTGCAACGAAACATTCAAGAACAAAATAATGAGTTTCGTGTGCTTATACCTTCGTCCCTTCCGATCATAATGCAATAGCAAAATGCAATGCAAATGACTCATGACGTTTGGTCTAGTTTCTGATACTCCGCGCGTACTAACGTGTGCATGTTCAGTTGAAAAAAAAAATAGTCAGGTGGCCGAATCAGCCGCATATTTGCAGCCTACCGAGAGGCAACTTTGTCCCCAGGGTGTCGAGCAGTATGCGCCCATCACTACCTGCTCTCTCACTATTGAAAACGAGGTTGGAAATGAAGTAAGCACTGGGGACGAGGTTGTGGCAAACAAGTTGGGTGTCCTTTTAATGGCGATCAATGGGTTTGACGCAGCTGTAATTACGCCCCAACTATAATGCGGATAGTACGTGGTACGCGTATCCAGCGTATCCGGTGAGGTACACAATAACAACACCACTAAAGATGGGTACAACCATGGCGGAGCTGAGAACGGACACACCGAGTATGGTCACGCCCACTGAGTAGGCGAATTAGCATGACCAAAGTTTTTTTTTTTATTCCTCCATGGTCGACTTTATATTAGGACATGTGTCACGCCCCAACTATCGCAATGGTCCCAACTATAGTTGGGACTGTCCCAACTATAGTGCGGCAGTTGGGTCGGCCCAACTATAGTTAGGACTGGAGTTGCGCCGGATGCTTCATGCTTGATAGATCTTGTTGGATTAAATGTTCCGCGGCGCTGGCACCGTGTATTCGTCGTGCATGCATGCCGCAAGGCTGGCCGGTCACGTGGTACTGCCTAGTTGGATGAGTTGTCCAGCTGCTGGGTTGATTGTCCAGCAACATTTTGCAAAATTCAAAGATTGCCATGGCCGGCCAACTATAGATGGGCCCCACCCATAGCTAATGTCAAAGGTCCCAAGTAAAGTCGGACAGTATGTAACAGAGCTGTAGGGAATGTTTTATAGTCGTCGTACATCAATGTAAACTATAGTTGGGACCGCCAAATAAAAATATTGCGGTGGCCCAACTACAGATGGTCCCCACCCATAGATAATTTCATTGGTCCCAAGTAAAGTCAGATGTGTATTAGAGTTGTAGGGAATGTTTTATAATCGTACAACAATGTACACTATAGTTGGGACCGCAAAATAAAAAGATTGGAGTGGCCCAACTATAGATTCGCCCCATCAATAACTAATTTCAGTGGTCCCCAGTAAAGTCAGACGTGTATCAGAGCTGTAGGGAACGTTTTACAGTTGTACATCAATGTAAACTATAGTTGGGACACCGCAAAATAAAAAGATCGGAGTGGCCCAACTATAGATGGGCCAGCCCAACAGTGGAACTTACAGTTGGGACCGTCCCAACTATAGTTGGGACAGGCCCAACTATAGTTGGGCCAGCCCAACTGTGGAACTACAGTTGGGACAGGCCCAACTATAGTTGGGACAGGCCCAACTATAGTTGGGACAGGCCCAACTATAGTTGGGACCGATGCGATAGTTGGGGCGTGACACATGTCCAGTCATGGTATGCGTGTAGACTTTATGATACTGTCAACTTTATACTAGGCCTATACGTTAACACGGACGACTCTACTCAATTAACTTTCAATTAAATGGTCGGTTACATTATAGCCTCATCATGTTTCCTCAAATTCAAGTTTTTCTCAATCTTTTGCTGTTCTGTCTCCATATAAACGCACTGGTCAACCATGCCGACACTCGAGCCAAAATCTTGATTTTAGGGGCGGGGGCTTCTGGCTTACAAGCGGCCAGGACTCTCCACGATAATGGAATGGATGACTTTATCATCGTTGAGGCTGCTGATCGGACCGGTGGGCGCGTCCAGAGCACACAATTCGCTGGCTACACAGTGGGGCTTGGGGCACTGTGGGCAGCCCCAGAAAATTCTAAAACCCATCAAATTGTCCGCGATCTTGACTTAGGTCGTCACACGAGTGATTATGAGAGTTTGACGATCCGCAACGCGACTGGGCACGATGTGACTGACGAGGCCGATGCGAACTACGAGCGTTTGGAGAAAGGCATCGAAAAACTTCACGAACTGAGCGCAAGACTGAAACAGAATGACGATTTACCAGACATATCCATGCGTTCTGCCCTTCGAATCGGTGAGTGGATACCACAAAGTGCGATCGACAAGGCGATCGAATGGTTTGAATATGATTTCGAATACGCCGAGGCACCTGAGGTTTCTTCTACCAAAGCAGCTTTTGAACGCCTGAGTGAAGAGACCATAGACTACATCACTGACGAAGGAGGATTCGAACGAATCTTTGACGAGGTTGCTGGTTTCCTGAAGACGCCAGAATACATCAACCACACCCGTCTGAGCCAGAAGGTAGTATCCATAGATTACAGGAATGACGTATCAGTAGTCGTGACGTGTGAGGATGGCACGCGATACATCGGCGAGTACGTTCTTATCACCTTCAGCATCGGCGTCTTGCAGAACAATTTGGTCCAGTTCATCCCGCCTCTCCCAGAATGGAAAGATGTTGAGATCAAGAAGTTTCAGATGGCCGCGTACACCATTATCTATGTTAGCTTTCCCAGCAAGTTTTGGGATGATGCCGAATGGATTCTCTACGCCAGCGAGAAAAGAGGTTACTTTCCACTGTTTCTCAACTACCAGGCAGAGGGGCTGTTTCCAAGCGGGACACCAATGATGATGGTCACTGTTGCTGGTAATGTAGTTTGCAACTTGAATTTTTTTCAGAAGTTGTATTAATACACCACCCATAAGTGGTCATGTTAAACATTATACCAGGTGGATATCTAGGAAATATCCTTCCAGTGTGATAACCTCCAACAGTGTATGTGTACGCGCCAAATTTCCGAGTTATTCTTCACACAAACGTCGTTACGAAGAGGCTCTGCAACGTGGTTGCAACCCAAGCCCGCGGGAACGGGGGGTGCTGTGGGTGCTGCAGCACCCCCAACTTTTTGGATTGGGGTGTTGGAATATGCTTCAGCACCCCTACTCCTGGGCAAAAATGTGTTCCAGCCAGCATGTTCTACGACGATGAAATTAATGCGCCTATACACTATTGCTCTACAAATATCTCCTTCGTTTTGTTCGTTTCTAATTTTGCCGCGGCTAAGCGCAGCGCTTCGAAACGTCTTGCACAAACATTGTAAAATATCAAGAGGAGGTATTTTCTAAATCTTCAGGCAGTGCAGAATCAATATTTCTCTCAAGGTATCTAAAATCATGACATATGTCTATGATATTTCCGCCACTGGAAGCTTTGACCCGAAAGCAATAACCTCGGCCATGACAATGGTGGCAAAGTTGGTTGTGCTTGCCAGGACTTTTTTCATTCGATCATTCAATAGATCATTCAATCATTCATACCTTTCCCCTGATGGTTTTTCTTTTCATTTAAAAGTTTCATTGACGTTGCTAGCATTAGGCCAAAAAAAAAGTATCCGGTTTCTGGTATGCGCGCGCGTCGCCGTAGCCATACAAGATGATGTCTCAAAACCGCCAAACTCACTGGTTCGACTGGAATTCTGCTGCTGCACAATTTTAACGTGTTTTTAGATGGGGTTATGATCGAGAATAAGCTTTATGTGGCCTCTTTGGACTCCCATATATTTGCACTAAGTTTAGTCGGGCACCATTTGCAGTCACTCAGCCGACATTTGAAGCCAAAAAAAAAAAAAAAACAGGTAAAAAAAAAAAAAAGCCGCGTCGCCGCACCACTTTTGGGGCAAGCTCCATACCAGAAACCGGAGACTTTTTTTTTGCCTTATGTACTCAACATAAACAAGTAGCAAGGTGAACACACATCCACAACATAATAGGAGTGGGACGGGCTTTCATTGAAACTAGTCATGCATGCTTTACGCCAATTCCAGTGTAGTTTCGTTTTAATAAAACATAAAATATCATGTGTTACCCTATGCAAGTTTGTCCTCATAAAAATTCAGTCGACCGACAAATCCTTGCCTATAGCCCCAAACTTGCCATCTACCGATCATAAACATAAAGATGCAATGGGTCGTTTAGGCTTTTATATTTGCCATTCCCTGTAATAAACAAATAACACTGCAAATATATCGAGAGCTACATCGTTTGGTGAGTTAGAACTATGTGAATATTTTTAAGACTACAGAAATTCATCCGCTTCTAATGGAACCATTTGTTTTAACTTGAAGAAAAAAAAACGTCCTTTCGTGTTTTATAAGTTTTAGTATGCTTCAGTATATTTCATCACAGTGCATCCAGAATCTAACATTTTCTGGGGCCTTAAAGCGGGCCCCTGGCCCTGTTGCCCCACGCCGTAAGGGCTTGGAAAATAACACAAAACAAAACAGACACGAAGGAATTTACTAAATGTAAGAAAGCAACCTAATATTTATATGCGATGTCATGCATAATGATGATACAATTCTTTTCAGTGGGACCAAAAATGGAGATAAAAATGTAGGTTCTCCGCTTTTCAGTACAGTTAAACGTTTTAAGAGTAATCTCAAAAAACGTTTGCTAAAAAAGTCAATTGAAAGTGGCCAGGAATCGCCTCAGATTGCACCGTAAAGCATCCATATTCCAAAATTATTAAGCCACGACGTAAGGCCAAAAAAGTCTCCGGTTTCTGGTATGCGCGCGCGTCGCCGTAGCCATGCGCGTCGGCAAAATGAAAACTGTTTTTTTCAATGAAAGATGATGTCTCAAAACCGCCAAACTCACCCACTGGTTTGACTGGAATCCTGCTGCTGCACAATTTTAACGTGTTTTTAGATGGGGTTATGGTCGAGAATAAGCTTTATGTGGCCTCTCTGGACTCCCATATATTTGCACTAAGTTTAGTCGGGCACCATTTGCAGTCATCAGCCGACATTTGGAGCAAAAAAATCAGGTAAAAAAAAAAAAAAAAGCCGCGTCGCCGCACCACTTTTTGGGCAAGCTCCATACCAGAAACCGGAGAATTTTTTTTGGCTTAAGGGCTTTGCGCTCCGCTTTCGTAATTTTGTCCGTCCTTTAGAAATTCCAGCGCCCCCTGGCAAAAGTTTGTTCCAGCGGCAGTGCTGTAACCGAGGAAAATTTGTAGGTTGTTTTTCAGGGAAAGACTGTTTGCAACCGGCATTATTGCGCCACCTTTGACTGCAATGTCATAGTGACCTGATGGTTTGGATTCACAACTGTTTGCTCATACAATAATTATTGTGCATTTTATTCAACTATAGGTGATGAATCTCGGCGCGTGGAGGCACAACCTTCAAACACGACCAAAGCCGAGATACAACAAGTCCTTCGTGACATGTACGGTGACAGCATCCCTGAAGCCACCAACATCCTGGTGACTGACTGGTCTCAGAATCCCCTCACCAAAGGCTCCTATAGCAACGTCCCTGTGGAGGTTCCTACTAAATGCCGCCAGAAACTCCAGAGCCGAGTGGGACGTCTCTTCTTCGGCGGCGAGGCAACTTCCGAAGACTTAAATGGCTACATCGCCGGGGGTTTAGACTCAGGGGACCGCGAGGCCCGCAAGATGCTGCAGTGTCTTGAAGACTTCGCGGAATGCCCGGCCTTCGAAGGGTTTGGCCTCGAATGCGAAAAGGCTAATATGGCGTGCTCCATTCGCAGTAGTAGTGCATCGCTCTTAGGTCTTTGCAGTCTATTTTTGATACTGTATTATATCTTAAACTAAGTTAGGCGGCGTCAAGAATTTGGTTACCACTTGTTTAAGTTTTATCAACCGCGGAAATTGGGTTTAATGCAGTGCCTCTCCGGCGAGATTATTATGGTATTGTTTTAGGTTAATCTCATCGGTGTGTCATTTCTAACGTTCAATAAGCAGGTGTACTCTCGGATTTTTTTTTAATCCATGTACAAATTAATATACAAAACGTATACGTATAGGCCTTATACTCAGGCGCGGTTCTACGGGGGGGGGGGGGGGGGGGGGGCTAGGGGGGCTTTAGCCCCCCCAAAAGTTAGTCTAGCCCCCCCAAAATAAATTCCGTTAAAAAAAAAAAATGCATTAGCAAAAAGAAGGATTGTGATGTACATGCGAACGGTCTCCCTAAAAAAAATAGTCGTGACAAGGGTGCATTAGTTAATATAGTGTCAATGATTTTAGGATTTTATTGGCGCTCCCCATTGAAAATATGGCATGAGGCCCCCCCCCCCCCCCCCCCCCCCCCCCACACCTATTGATTTTCGGAGGCCTAAGTGTCTGGAAAAAATAACCGGTCTACATTTCAGCACGCCTCCCTGAAAAAAAATTCTGGATCCACCCTGCTAGCCCCCCCAAAATATTGGTTCTAGAACCGCGCCTGCTTATACTATGTTTAAAATGCACTACTGTATTTGTAACTTTTTCGTGTAAATATTTCCTAAGCACTACTGAGTAATAATCTTGCTAGTCTGGTCCACCAATGCACTTTTTCCTTTTGAATTTTACTTTGCTTAACTTTATTTAAAAACGTGAACTGTTTGCAGGGCCCCAATGGAAAACATTTAAAAAAAACTGTTTGGGCAAGTACCGGTAAAGAACTGTCATGTGATAAATAAATGAATAAATACTCATAATGTACGTCTTTTGAAAACTTGAAAAAGAGACATCCAAAGGTGCTTTTGTGACGATAAAAAAAATACATGTAGATCACAGAATCCATCCGTTATACCAGTGCTTATTCAGCGCTAGGGCGACGGGTTCACAGTATATAAGGTCGTGTTCAGTATCATACAACTGACTTGCTTATTAGAATGACAATAAGTCATTCTTAACTTCTATAGAGCTAGAGTTGAACTTGGGCTTGTATGGCAAGCCATGTAGCATATAGCATATATCAACGTCTCTAAAAACAATTTAAAGATATCTCTAAATGATTGGGAGATATCTCTAAATATTTAGATATATCTCTAAATACTTCAAGATTTCTCCCAATCGTTTAAAAGACGAATTATTTTGATAAATAAGTGACACACGAAAGAGCTTTTTTGTCAGTTATTTAAAGATATCTTTAATTATTTAGAGATATATGTAATTCATTTAGAAATATCTCTAAATGTTTTATAGATATAAGATATCTCTAAGTCATTAAAATATCTCTAAATGAGGGATATGATTAATTTTGAGATATATCTATAAGTCATTTACAGATATCTCTAAAGTGTGAGTTAAATAATAAGCCACCTACTTAATTCTTGCATTCGCAGATTTAAAGATATCTTTAAATATTTAGAGATATCTCTAAATCGATTACGGCTCCGTTGAACCACTAAATGCATTGCGTTGCACGAATCATGTTGCCATCGAATGCATGATAAAATCGCCGGTGTTGCCTGTCAAGTATTGCATTATGAAGTGAATGGTGTTACCATTTTGTTTTTTACATCATAAGTCATCATCGAGGTCGTCAGCTTGAATGTCGGACACTTCGCCCCATTTCCACGTCGCCCCATGTCACTTCGCCCCTAACTACTTCGCCCCATCCCCACATCGCCCCATCCCCACAACGCCCCATCCCCACATCGCCCCATCCCCACTTCGCCCCATTCCCACTTCGCCCCATTCCCACTTCGCCCCATTCCCACTTCGCCCCATTCCCACTTCGCCCCATCCCCAATTCGCCCCATCCCCACTTCGCCCCAGCCGTTACATGTAAAAAAAATCTCATCTATTTTATTGGCTTAAAAAGAATTCCAACAGATTCACTAATTGCTAACCGCGTCAGATTAAAACACAATTTAGATATATCTCTTAACGATTTAGAGATATCTCTAAAAGAATTTGAGATTTAAGATATCTTTTAATACATTACAGACATCGTCGATAGCACTAAATTGTTTTAAAGACTTTACTAATGCTATGTTAATGTTACTTTGGCTCGCCGTACTTATTGATTCGTGTAATCATGCAACGAAAACTAAAATTTACATATTGTCACGACGTACATGACATTCCAGTGGCCCATCATCAGTGGTAGGGCCTATACTAGTCTGTTTCTCAGACCAAACGATTCTGACTATTTCTGACGATTCTTTGGTTGGGTAACCGCCACGACACGTGACCAAAAACGGGAGGAATGCCTCCCGTTTCCGAAAATGTCCGAAGTTTGCCGAATGCATTTCGTCGACATGTTTTTGTTTTACCTGCCATATAATAAGGGAATAAATGTGTGCTTCGGAGGTTTTTATCACTCTGTTTAAGACCACTTAGAGTCTGGGTGCTGATAATTACCCGAGCCGGAGGCGAGGGTAATTATCAGCACCCAGACTCTAAGTGGTCTTAAACAGAGTGATACTAAATACCGACGGAGCACATATTTATTCCCATTCATAAATACCTTTTCGGTAAAAAAAAAATCATATAATTCGTTCAAAACATCCCGATTTTGTTCAACAAATTCACTTTATGCTTTTTGAAACATCCCTCTTGCAAAATAATGGAGTGTTCAGCTGGCGAGTAAGATGTAAACAACCCTTTTATGGAGATTGACGCGCGCTTATCATGTTCTGCGCGATGTCGCGCAGAACGCACCTGGCGCGTTGCGTTTTGAATTTAGAACTATAAAATTCTGACTCCCTGGTAGTGTTGCGCATGCCTACGTGAGGATTGTGAACGTTCAACCAATGAAACGTTAAGAGGCACTGGATATTTAGGAGTCCACATTTTATCGTGACACTGGAAAAGTGTTTAAGACCAGCTAGCCATGGGTGCGTTTTGGTGGTCATAACCAAAAACTGGTTCTGTTGTTTCTCTTTGGTTAATTGCTTTGGGGGTTTTAGTATTGCATTGTCGTGAGTAATTCTCATCCATTTAAAATTCCCGAAGAAATTCGCCGACAAGAAACAACCAACCAATTCTTGATTATGACCGCCAAAACGCACCCATGCATGTCTTTATCATCCGTTTAAGACCGGCCACGTGACGGGCTCTCGACCAATAGGAATGCGTAAACTGTCTTAGGTATTTATGAATGCTTATTCATAAATACCTCAGACAGTTTAGCTATTAATGGTTTTCGCCCACCCCCTTTATTGTCTCAGAAATTGCCACTGGGTGTTAACGTCTTTTGAAGACCAGACACAAATTCCATAGATCCAAAAACTCATACCTTCCCCTTGACCTCCATGATCCAACCATAAGCCCATAATGATCCATGCACGGTTCAACCCCCCCCCCCCCCGTCATCTTGAAAACGCAATGATGGGTGCGAGAGTCATTCAAAGCTAAAGTTGTGCATCAAAATGTACGGTTTTTTTGCATTATTTTGGCAATACAAAAATGTTTCACTCGTTAAACCTGACACATGCAACTGGCCTTCCGTAATGTTTTGGACTTCGAGATATTGCCAAATAATCCCAACACTCAAGAGTCAAAGGCCATAGAGATTGCAATACGCTACTTACGTACATGTACACATTGTACCAGTCTAAAAATGACGTAAAGTTTCGCTGGTTCCCTCCTTTCCGTCGATCATTGACATAACCATTGTCTCTAGTGACATGGTTACCAGTACGATTTAATGCACAGATTTAGCAGCAGTAACAGTCGCTCCTAACTACACAAATTTACACTAAATTCAAGCTTTTTTCCACGGCAAAATGGACGTTTCATTTGGTAAGTAAACACTGGTATCTCCCGGCTGTATATTTTACTTTAGAGATTTCAGACAACATTTTGGAAGGAGGAAGTTGAATATGTTTTTTCCGGTTGTCCTAAAAATAAATTAAAAACAGTGTCTGATTTGTGAATCAATGTAATTTGCACGGGGGACGTATTTCCTCCTTTTCAGACATGGTTGGTATTTGTAATGATGTACGTTTACATTGTACATGAGGACCCCATTACATTTTAATTGTAAGGGAACGAAAAGACACTATTATGTTTTTGGACTTCAAGGGGCACTGCGTCCTAAAATCCCCGAAAATTTGGATTGTTTACTTTTCTGCTTATCCTATTTCAAACTGTAGTGAGTAAGAATATGCTTATTTATTTAACGCGTGCTGCTTTTTTTACGCAGTACAAACTTTTGCACCATATGCCTTAAGTTTTGGGACTCTCAATACACAGTATTGAGAGTCCCAAAGTTTTGGACTACTCTTTGTCGTTCATCATGTGATGTGAAAATCAATGCCAAATGAGCAAAAAGAAGAAAACAATGCCTGTTAAAAATGTAAAATAGTGTTATCAGGTCGCATTGCCTTTGGTAATTTTTTTCAGCCATTTTACTACAGGACCAAATTGCACTTCATACCACAAATTGTGCATGAATGCTTGCAAAGCAGGTGGCCAACCTCAAATTTTAATAAATGTCAAAATTTTAAATTACGCTGAATAAATCTTTTTTTTTTTCTTCAAGCAGCATTTCATCAAGATTGAATTGGGAATAAAGACGCAAGCCAAGACTCAGTCACTGTTGGATTTTGGGAGAGCTGATGTAATTTCACACAACGAGAGCTGAAAACAATATTCTGCTTTTATTGATAGTCCCACAGACAAAATGGAGTATTACTTCTATGTGTAAGTTTCTAAGTTGTTACTGTAGGAAGAATTCCATACATGGACAATACAAATTTTTGCCTGTAGTGACTTAGTCCGAAAATTTGGGACTCTCAATACTGTATATTAGTGAGAGTCACCAGAAAAAAACCAGTCCAACATCACTTCAGTACTGTATCAATCAACCATGCCAAAAGAATTTAAGAAGCATGTGGCATGAACTGGGAACTAGTTTCCAACTACTACACATTTGTCCATTGTCAGCCACCAGACTAATGATACTGAATGAAGAGGTCAGTCTTCTCCAACAGTTGAAACATGATTGGACATGTACCAGTCTAGTCTTAGGCCTCATTTTGAAATCACTTGACTTCCCACCCATGTGCAAAATATTGAAGAAAAGTCTCCTTTAAAAATTGATTTGAGTCTGCAAACTTGGTTGGTGAAATACTCGCACCCCCTTTCTTTTGTCTAGTGGAATTTTTGGAGAAATTTGCTAGCTAAAGATTGAGTAAAGTTGGCCTAATTTAGTTTTGCATGTTTCAGAGCACTCCAGAGCCCTGTCTTGCAGTGACCTATCAGCCATCAGAAAGTGATAACATCAAAAAAAGTCAAATTTAGCAAGGAAAATATTGAAACATCTGCTGAGAAAACACTTGGAAGTTTTCGACCAGTCTCATAGGGTTTGTGCACAGGGTGCCAAGTGATGTCCATGTATATTATTTATAATGTACCATTTTATTCCCTTGCAGAATTTTAATCTTTGCCATTGTGCTGAAGCTGACGGTCTACCTGTGTTGGTACCAGGTCAGGCGCAATTCAGCAGCCCGTGAGGTGCGCATCATCATGCCGGACGGTTCCACTAGGTGTGCTGTCATATCAGCTCATGGAAGGGTGCACCAGTTGCAACGGTCTCAGAGAACGTCCGAAGAAAGACAGGTAGGTAGTGAGATCTAGGCTCCATTTTAAAAAGAATGACATGACCATGCCTTTAGCTTTTTAAAAAACAGTGATGAATTTTTGTGGAGTTTCTGTTACATATCCAACAAGAATGCTATAAGTTACTTTGACTTGCCAAACTTGGTGTTTCTTTTTCTGATTTATTCCTTTTCTGTACAGAATTTGCCACAAGCTGAGTTGCTGTCCCCATACGACAATCAAGGAATGGTGGAGTGTCCTGTCCAGCCGCGGTATGGGGACAGTTTGAACCCACAAGGTCAATTCACCGGACCGCCAGAGTACAGCAGTCAGGAGTGGAAGCTACCTAAGTATGAAGAGGTGACAGGGATGCCGCCTCCCTACACATCGGAAGAGCCAGGTTAGTTGGTGACTTGCGGAAGAAGTTTTTCATCATCAGGGATCTTTCAGATTTAACTCTTTAGCACTTGTGTTATATTTATGAATCCATAAACCATAGCATTCTGGGTGGTTTGGGGCGGTATAAGAAGTAGGGGGCAGGGCGCTTTGGGGCTGTACAGGGACTAACGGTACAGTGTTGTGTCTATTACAAATGTGATTTTATAAGTACATCTGTACTGTGTACTTCAGTGTGGTGTTGACTCTAACAAGCTGGGTTGTCCAATGTTTAGATGTCCACTGTAGTAAGTAACTGGTCGTGGGTTCGAATCCCACTGTGGAAGTTCGAATATTTTCATTCTTTGCTCTTCGCTTTTCAAGGTCATAAAGCCCTGTGAAAAGTAATAGTGAGTAAACTGAGTACATAGATTAGTAAACCAATGGGTGCATTTAATTGTAGGATCTTGGAGAGTTAGGATCTGAGATGAAGTTTAATACCACCACAAGAAAGATTACACACAGGACATACTTTGAAATTGTCCTTCGTTTTTCAGAAATGGCCAGTGCAGTTCAACCTGTTGAGCCGGTGCTTTCCGAGCCAGTGCAGATATTGGGCCCTCCTCCAGCCTATCCTGGTACAGCTTCCTTCCCTGTCTCCGCCCACACTGAGCAAACGACCAATGAACTGCCTTCCTTTTCACCCCCTGTGGTGCCCATGACATCAGGAGTCTTTGCCAGTGACCTCACAACATCCTCCAGTGGTAGTAACGCTACAATAGTCCCAACGACCATTCCTAGTACTGCAGGTCAGAGTTAGGTGTGTCCTGTGAAAAAAAACCTTTTTTGTCTTTCGGTATTTTTTGGATCATATTTTTTTTTTTTTAATATTGACGGGGTGCATGATATTATTTTTAACAAGGAATGCAGTTTTCTTTTTTATTCTCAATTAAGAGTACATATTGACTCTTTGAGTACAAATAAATGGCTTTAATTGGACGAAATTAAAATAGTTTGCTATGATGGTGAGCCGATTTGGTATATAACAAAAAGTTTTAGCTATTTTGGTTAATTTTGTGGTGGGCTTGTTGAACAAATTATGCAACTTGCGATGGTCACAAAGCATTGTCTTGCATTTTAGCTCATATTTTTTTTTTACCTTAGAACAATGAGCATTATGCTTTCCTAAGATCTCATGTGGGAGCTGCAGCATTGACAATAAGAATGGCACAACTTCTTATTATTGGCTCCGTGCATGAACAGTAGAGGGCGCTTTGTGGCCAGTTTCGAGTGATCTCTAGTGGGTAGGACACTGCATAGGCTTACTGGTTCTCGTGCGTAAGCGGCAAAGTAAGCACAAGTTATTTTACTCTGCATCTGTGGCCTCTGCGTGTTAAAGCTTAAGGCGCAAGGTGCCATGCACCGTGGACAGTGCATTTGAATGTCCCCCCTCATCAACTCTCCCTTTGTAACCGTTAAGGGGTACTTGTACGCGGAGTCCATATGGCCTCATTCTATACGTTCTGCTATGTAGAGGCTACCTGCAAGAGAGCATGCTTTCACAACTAGCTTTTGAAGAGAGAATCAAGGGGGCTTGCAATACAGACCATATGTGTCTCTTGACATCATTCACAAGCTCTTTCTTAGCAAGGTGATTTTATATAAAAGAAAGGGAGAAATCATAACCAAAAAAAAGGAAATGGCATTGAGCCTGTTGGATGTGACCAAACATTAATGTGAAGGCAGCCATGGAAGAGATTTCCACATTTCATTATCCCTAACTCCCTTGAGTGATTTACTAAGAGCCTTGCTCTCTCCTGCAGAATCCAACACCATATAGTAGCTCAACACCCAAATTGTTGGACTCTGATTATGGTGGTATGCCTAACCCCATGTAAAGCATAATCAGTTTACTAGTGCAGAACTCACTCCAACTCCAACAGAATCAAACAAAACATGCAGGTGGATTTTGATGGGATTGGGTATGGTAAGGGTTAAAGAAAGTCTGCTTGTTGTGTCCATAGGATTACAATGTATGTTGAAAATTTACAGATTTGGAGAAAATTGTTGGTTATTTTCAATAATAACTGTTGAATAATCTTGCTGATTCCAATTTCTGTAACGGTTGTGCAATTTTTGCATTGATGATTTGACTATTGAGAGGCTTACAGAAAAAGAAGGGAAAAACCCACAAATTTTCAAAAATAAAAATGCCCTAGTCTTTTATTTTTGATTAAATTTTTTTGATGTTTTCCTCAAAAATAATGTACATTTTTGGGGTCAAAAAAAGTCAATCAATGTGATTTTTTTCTCACATTGTTCGACTTTTATTTTAGCAACATTACCGTATCTCTGTGCTGTAGTGCTAATAGTCTTACATTATTTTTTTAAGTTCACAAATTACATACATGTACACAGAATGATTTTCATAAGACATATTTTTATTACACTTAACAATCAGCATTGTAAAAAGCTCAAGGAATTGCTGTTCCACTAATTAATGTTGTGTCCCCAGTAGAAGTACACGAATGTTACAGTTATGGCTGAAAGTCTTTGTAAAGTTATATGAAGCATCCATTGTGTTTTGGTTTGCAAGGATAAGCTTGTGCAAAATTGAGTTGCATGTCAAATTTTGAAACTTTTGATAGTGGATGTTAGTATCATGTTACAGTGGATGTTTCTGTAGCCATAAACAAGTTTCGGACACTGCTGAAGGCACATATGATCATTTTTTTCATGCATTTTGTTAATTTCCAATAATAACACCTAAAGTCTAAAGAAGAATGTTCAAATCCTAACCTGTTGGAATTTCAGCTCAGTGAAAATTACACTTCTTTGAGAAAGTAGTGAAAAACCATGCACCGCATTTTTGATCATGAAACCCGATTTTGTCAATAGAAGTTTTTATTTTCAACGATCCGTCAAGGAATTCACCTACATTCCTTGATTTCTTCTAAATGACAGCAAGCCAGGCGAAACAATTTCATGGGTCGTTTAGTACCAGTACAATCTCTAATCCAAGTAAGCTTTTTGATAATAATTCGCTAGGTTACTATTGGGATAAATGCAAATGATCCTATATGCCTGTAAAGGCACTCCACTCGCCTCATTTTTTTTCTACAAAACTCTTCAAATTCTGCTTGCATTTCATGAGGAGCTTGAAAGGTAGTCATGAAGTTTAGTTCAAAGTATTACATGTACTTTTTTTCCACAATTTTATGTAAAAATGTATGTAAAACTTGCTGACAAGTATAAGTTGCAGCAATTTAAAGACTTGGTGCCTACATGGGATATATACTCGGACATACTGAGAAGTGAATGACACTAAAGGCTGACTGTTCCTCAGTAAGCAATTATTGTACATACGGTAAACGTTGCATTTTATGACCTCACAATATTACCATTAGTGACAGAGTTTTGAGGTGCATTTTAAGGACCCAGCTAACCATATTTTCATGTACATAATGAGCCATTTGTATTATTGTGAGTTGCCCATGTCATATCTCTAACACATAATAACTGAATCATGATCAACAGGAAGGCACATGTACATGTAGCTCATAATATGAATTGTATACCTATTACCTAACTCAACTTACTGAGGTACCGGTAGTTCTTAAGCCAAGCCAATCAGGTTTTCACACTTTGGTTTGCCCAAGCACTGAAAATAATGAACATTGATAACTTCTCAAACATTTCCAGAAAGGTTCTCTAGCAGCAAATGGATTCAAAAGATTTATAACAGATTTCCATGATCATGTTATAAACTACGACAAAAAAGGCGAGGAAAAAAGCAGAGGTCATTGAACTTGGGGAAATGTGGTCATGTGATCTTATGTGACTGTAAACTGCTGAAAAGATAAGGACTGAATTTAGTCATACATGTACAGTACAGTTCATGTATTCCTTTCACTTTGTAACACACATGTACACACACAGTCGTGTTTTACATTACTCTCGAGGACAAGGATATATGTTTCCCTTTGTCCCTATAATATAACACTCTCCCATGGACTATAGCACCTAACCCCATGATAGAGGACCGTTTTCAACAAAAGATGAACTCTCCAGACAACAAAGAATCTGTTGTTCTGGTTTTGTCTGTCTGTCTGTCCTCGGGATGTATGTAATTCATGCCCACCCATGCAGATGTGTATGTGTCTTCCTGCTTCCTGGAGTATTTAACTAGTCAAGTTCACATAGGCTTATCAAAATATAAAACCACCAAAGTATGGTGTACATGATGTAACTGATGTTTAAGCATTCCAAAGTCAAGGGACAAGAAACTGGAAAGCCTACATGAATTATACAACTGTGTCGCTCTTTTACATGCATCCATACATGTATGATAAGTATATTCTTTTACTTACATATATTTGTAATGTTTTTTTTTAACATTATATACCTGGATCTATTTTTGCAAAAGAGCCTTGGTGTCCAAGGGCTTGTCTTGTTCTCTTGTCATAGGTATGAGAACACTTTGTACTTTCTTGGTATTGAAAACACATGTAAAATAGAAAAACAAACAAAAAACTTGCCCTTAACTGGTGCAAACTGATGTTGAATCCAGTGTAAGACTTAACTGTTTTCCTGTTAGAATTGTTTGACTTTTTTGTGTACTCGGAACTTATTAAAGCATCACTCTTTATCTTAGATCTGTTAGGTACCTGTAATATTGATAAACTCAGTTCCTTTTCTTAAATTTCATGAAAAACTAAACAATATTTTAAGACGTTTTGACTAAAAACATTTTCAATGATACTTAAGTGTCTTGTGTATGCATGTCCAACATGTAGGTCTGTAAGTCAAGGCTTTTTTTGTTCGTTTTGAAAAATTATTTTAATTTGTAACTGCAACTCATTTATCATTTCCATGTTTTTTTATGTATAGTTTTCTTGCTAAAGACTTTCAATGCTTGCGATAGTTATGTGATCTTTATAAATGGATGTTAATTTGAAGATACTTTATTCAGATATTTCTTTGTTTCCTGAATTGTAAATATTAAATAAAAGCGCAAAGGATCGACATAAACCCAAAGACCCATGTGTTTGTTTAATAATTGATAATTTCTTGCCCATGCTTCAGCAATTTATGAATCATTATCATTCAAGTTATTGTACATAAATCAAGGATGTTGTTTGACTTTCTCCGAAAATAAAGTTAAAACACTGAAATATTTGTGAAAAAAAAACCAACCACTTGAAACCAGTCTATCCCACTCACTTCTACTTTCGCCATTAAATTAAGTTTTGAGACAAGTAAACAGTGAGTCCGCATAATGTGGTCACTTAATTCTTAGTTCCAGAATGGTCAAATTCTTGGTATTTGTCTTCATTTTATGTATGGTATGTTGTAGCTTTTTTGTGTTGTATGCTTCTAAAATGTATTATGAAAACATTGTTTGACCTTTAGGCCGCCTCGGCTCTGTGACTACGCTTTAGCGCCCTCAATTGTCCGAAATTGTTTAATGTGCCCGGTAGATCAGAACTAACTTCACACAAGCAGTTACTTGACGCGTTTGTTGGATTATTCAATCCAGCAACATCATAAAAAGCAAACGTAAGTATGCCAATTTGGTAACACTTTCTGCAAGAAACATTATTTGAGACCATTTTCCACCCAAGTTGATTAACATTGAAACTGTATTTTGGGGGGAAAAATGAAGTATTCCAAATCCTGATTCATTTTAAGATGGCAGATTATCTTGACGACCAAACCGAAGATGCGCTACTTGCTGGACCTGATGAAGAAACTTCTCCAGGCATGCCAGGGTTTCAGTCACCGGGCGGAGATGAAACGGGTGTTGAAGATGCTGTAAGTGAAACATTTAATGTGCTCGGTTTGTCATTGATCATGTTGATATGTTCGTTGTTTCATGCTGTAGGGCTAGTCATGTTTGTGCATTGTGTGACGTGATTGAAGATGCAATGGGCATGATCAAAGATCTTATAAGTTATAGCGCCGAAGGCGCAAGATGGGGAACTCCATAGAAATTGCGAAATCGCCATGGGCGCCATTCGAGCAAGCAAACCATTGTGCAAGCCATTGTTTGCACAATGGTTTGCTTACTCTAAGCAAACCATTGTGCAAACAATGGTTTTCACAATGGTTTGCTCACTGGAATGGCGTCCATGACGATTTCGCAATTTCTATGGAGTTCCCCATCTTGCGCCTTCGGCGCTTGAAGATCTTTGGGCATGATGGAGTCCTGGTCCTACTAAAAATATGTCAAGGGTCGTCAACCCAGCGTTAACAACTTTTGTATAAGAACAATAAAAAATACTTTATAGGCCTACATGTTATATGGTAGAAACAGCGACAAAGAATACCTTCAGTATATATTAGAATAGAAAGTTAAAATTATTTCAATTTTTTTTTTAAACGCGAAACGTACGACGAGTTTGTCGAGCTAGTGTAGGTCGCCATCTTGTTTGAATTGGCGCTGTACACTTCACGCATGCCATGCATGCGAAGTAGGGCTAGCTTCACGTAAACAAGATTGCGGCCAACACTAATCACATTCTCATTGTTTGACACTCGTGCATTTGTTTCATTGCAACCATATTGCAACACCAATGTAGACATATTGAAAAGCTCAGAGAATTAACCTACCGCGGTAGTTTTGTCCAATTACTTGATAAACAAACTTTCTGGTGTTCTCCTGCAGGAACTTGAAGCCATCAAAGCCCGCGTCCGGGAGATGGAAGAAGAAGCTGAGAAACTCAAGGAGATGCAGAGCGAAGTGGAGAAGCAGATGAACATGAGCTCACCGCCTCCTGCCGGACCGGCCGCGCCTCTGTCTCTAGAAGACAAACAGGAGGTGGATAACAGATCAGTTTATGTGGGAAATGTAAGAAATTGGAAAGCTTAGACTCATTTTATGAACACGGATTTACTGTAAAAAGAATATATGTCTTCACAGTGGTAACTGCTTAATGGCAACCTGTATTTGTTGATCACACTCATTGTACAAACTTTACCACCCTTCATGAAACTCCATGGTTGTCAGGTAGTGAAGGGATGAAAACATTACACTGATTCCTACCCATTTCTTAAACGTTATCAATGTTTACTGTTGTAATTTAAGAAGTGGAATGTATTGATGCAGTGTACCAACTTGACAAGGGTTGGCCGGAACTGTGAATATTATTTTTATTTTTAAGGGGTTGTGGAATAACAAGGAAATTGGAAAAAAAAGGACCAATACATATACTTTTGAAAATTTAGATTGTAGTCAAAAAGTCCTCCCCAAAAATAAACATTTTTAGAAATCACCTGGAAATCACTGTACTTGTTTTCCAAAATGGCATATATATTTGTTCCCAAGTCAGCGAGACTAGAATTGGCGGACATTTTACTCTAATCTTTTGTTTTTTTACAGGTCGATTATTCAACAACTGCAGAAGAATTAGAGGAACATTTCCATGGCTGTGGGTCTATCAACAGAGTAACAATCCTGTGTGATAAATTCACTGGTCATCCAAAGGGGTAAGTTAGATTAGACCCGAACCCATCTCCAAGTTATTCCAGGTCCAAGACTGAATTTGGATTTTATTCCGCCGTGGACTAATCGTCACCATCAACAAGATGAATCAAATCAAGTCTTGGGAACTTTGGCAGTGCTACCCAGGGGATTAAACTTGCAACATGATTTAGTCATAAGGACACAAGATGATTTGTTTGTTGTACAGACTACAGATTAAGAAAATCAAAGGAAAAACGGTTGCCATTTGATGATGCCAAATTCAGCATGATTGCGTTGAAGAATTATCTATAGGTTTTGCATGCACATACCTTGCTTAACTTATGAGTTTTAGCTTTGTGTAGACTTGAGATCAGGCTGATATTGGCAAGGTTTATCTTCAAGGGTTGGACTTCAGTCATAGATAAAAAGGAGGCCAAGTCTAGATTTGAATATTGGCTTTTCACCTCACCGAGATCTTTTGCGGAAAATAAAATCAGGTGGAACTGGAATTAATGACCTCATGCCCTGCATTTAATAAGATAAAAATGTTGGTAAAAATGCTATATACAATTGTTTATCGCCCTGATTCAAAATTTCATCTTAAAGTTGAGTCTTTTACCGGAAAAATCTATCCATTCAAATGTTTGAAGTAAGTACGTACATGTATACTTGCTTGAATCTTAAGTGTTATATGTGAAACAATGTTGTTTTGCAGGTTTGCCTATGTTGAATTTTCCGACAAGGATATGGTGGAGCCTGCTCTAGCACTCAATGAATCCCTATTCAAAGGAAGGCAGATCAAGGTATGCAACCCATCTTCACAACAATTCAACACGTTAAGCATTGCTTAAAGAATTCCTGATTGGGCTCATTTGTTCAAGACAAAACCATCTAATCATTATCAGGGGTGTGAAATCTCAGCTTTAAAGCTGATTTCATTTTTTTTTTTTTTTTGGATTTCAGCTTTTTTCAGTTTTTTCCCTCACTTGCTGTGTACAAAGGTATAGGAGATTTCCAAAGTTCAGCTTTTTTAAGCTATTTTCAGCTATTTTTGTAAGTGGTCACTCACACACCTGCATTATATGTATGTAAACAGAAGTTAGAAAAGAGCTTGTATTATTTTGTTCATTACGGAGGCATTTAATCTTTAATTTGTACACAGAGTCCATATCAATTTGTGAAATGACTTAAGGCTTATTCAAAAGGCACCTGCTTCAGCAAAAACAATAGGGAACAAAAGAGGTCGGTGTAAATAATTGGAAAAAAAAATCCTTGCGTGTGTCTAAACATTCCTCCTTTGCACACCAGGTGAGCGCTAAACGCACCAATCGTCCTGGTATCTCTACGACAGACCGCCCAGGCCGGGCGCGATTCCGCGCTACCGGAAGGTCAGCTTACCGTGGTTACAGTCCCTATGCCAACGTCTACGGTGGCTACAGGCCAAGAAGATACAGGTAATCACACAATTATAACAATTAGATTTATTATTATTATTATTATAAGTTATCAATCCATAAAAGCTACATGTAGCACAAAACAGTTACTACAATGCATAAGTACATCAGAAGTCAGAAAAAAAAAATTCTGGGAAAAAATGACTTTGTGTTCCTCATGAGATGTTACTTTTCCATACTCTTGTGTTTCTCCTCAAACGATTCCATTTTTTCTTTGTGTTTCATCAAGCTTATTTTATGGGCTGTTCGATTGAAAAAACATACCAATAACTTTTTAATGCTTCTTAATTTACTTTTGCAAAATTATATTTAGAAATGGTGCATTTTTGGGTCAATAAACATGAATGTGAATTTCATTTAAGAACAAAATCTTTGTTATCAAGCTGAAGTGTTGCTACCCTTTTTAGTCCATTAACTGGAGATTTTTTAGCGATAAACTGTACCTGAAATAAGTTGAATTCTTGTCCAAAGAAATTTTGGTGTAAACATGGTAAAGGTTAATTGCCAGTATTTACCATGAAATGTATGCAGCAACTTTTGTGAAAGGACCCAATGTAAGCTCGAAAAGAAAGTCTCAAAAACACGATCCAATCATTTCATCGTCAGGTCTGGATCGTCACTTGAACATGTTGAATAGGATAGTTGGATCAGGACACAGGTCACTTCAGTAGCCCATTTTAGTGGAATTTATTTCTGACTATACAGAAATCCATCACAGGGCTGTATTAAAAACACTGGCAATTTTCTGGCGCTTGACAAAATCGGAAAATCAAAGGCTGTGTTGTGTCAAGTTGTGTCTGGTTGTATCAAGTTTTTGAATACATCAGAAAACTGCCCAAGAGTTAGTGAATTTTGGTGGATTTCTTTTTTTGGGGGGGGGGGTTTGAGAAACCAACGAGAAAAGGGTAGCTCCAGGGCTGCAGATTTTAATAGACATATTTTCTGTTTATTGGTTTGTATTAAGTAGCTTATCTGTCAAGAGTGTTTGTGTGTGCTTTATTTGTGTTTTAATCAAAATTTCTTATTCTTTTGCACCAAGGTATTTTTTTAAAAAAATAAAAAATAAAAAAAACATAAAAAATAAAAAATAAAAAAAAAAATAGAAATAAAAAATAAAAAAATAAAAAAGAAGTAAAAAAAAGATAAAGAAAAAAAGAGAAAAAGAAAAGAGAAAAAAAAGAGAAAAGACTAAAAGAAAAGCCAAATGTAGGTCCAGCTGTTCTCGTCATGAAATCCTGTGAGTGGTGGCAGATAAGATTCACAAGTGGTAAGTGACTGACACTCCTCTCCTGGATGCAAGACGGTGATTTAGCAATTTGATTTTAGACTGTACGAGGTGGAGTATCTATATTAGAATGAGTTTGCAGTTGCACCGTGCAATAATAGTATTTGTCAAGAGACACAGCACTGTAAATGGGTAACCAACAGCTCTTCGTGTTTTGACAGTGACATCACAGGAGCAAAAGTAATCTCTCAACGCTCAATACAAAGTGTGGCTTTACCTTTTAAAACACCATCAGTCAGCTGACATGTGTATACAATTGTCTAGCCTACGAATATAATTCACAAATAATCGCTTGAAGATTTGTGCTGAACAAGATGTCAGTGGTGAAAATGTACGATTATGGTATTAAATCCAGGTTAACTTGAATTTCTTTCAAATTTGCCGATGTCTGAGCTAAAGAGCAGGTACCATTGCAGGTGAAATGTAGTTAAACCTTCTAAAATAATGAGACTGTTGCTGATTGTCACACAAGCTGTATGCAGTGTGATTCTGGCCATATGCAGTGTGATTCTGGCCATATGGAGTGTGCACACATATTCCTATAAAAAGTGTCGTGTGACTCGACCTAACACTAAATCTTTCTCTCTTTTCTCAACAGACCAAGACGCTACACCAGGTATTCCCCTTACTGAGAAAATTGAATGTATGAATTGCATAATGTTACTGCAGTGGTAGAGCACTTTCCGATATAAAAAAAATGTGGGGTTTTTTTTAGGCGGTGGGGGGGGGGGGGGGGGCTGTGCGGGTTTGGCTGTTTGGGGAAAAAAACATTACAAAATATGGAGGTTGGTTTTGGCAAAAAGCTGTGAGGTTGTTGGACTCTTCAGTATCGTAGAAGTCTGGGGTAAATGGAATAATGCCAAGCATGGAGAGCCACTGTGTCGTGCCTCGGTCCCTTTTTGCAATGCCATTTTCTCATTTAGTAAAAATACATAGTAAAAAGTAGTAGGCTAAAAGTGTGTCCAAGTTTAGTTGGCCTGCAATGGAGGTAACTAGGACACTGGGAAGTCTGTGAATTTGGGCATACGGGGATGAAGAAAACATCTCAATGTCCACATATATACACTACTGATTTTACGGGAAATGGGAATCACACAAAACTTGATTTCAGAATTTTTCTCTTGCTTTTCATTTGCACCAGAACGCAAATTTGTATCATTTTAAGAATTTTTTTGGGGTTACATCTTGCTTCATATAATTATGAGGACATTGAAGAAAGCTGACAAATCCTAGATACAGATTGCTATTTCTTAACCCCCCCCCCCAAAAAAAAAGTTACCAAAAATAAAAATCAACCTTATTTTCATCAATCTGGTTATTTTCTATGGACAATGCATTGCTATGATGTAAACAATTTCCTTGTGATTGTACTAAAAGATAGTATTCGTATTCTGATGACTAAATTCATTTCACAGCTTTGGAAATTTAGATTTGTGCCTTTAAATAACAGGCTCCAAAAGCCACAGTTTCTTTAAATTATTTGAGAACTAAACTCATGCAAGGCATTGCGGATCACAAGGATCCCTTTGAGAATTTGTGGTGTTGATGTGCCTTTCTTTAAAATGTTGAGATCAGAGTGTCCCAGAATTTTATCACCACTCTGTAAAACACAATTATAGCGTCTATCCACAGGTTTATGGCCCTACAGAAACCATTGTTGGCAAAACTACATGTATATCCTCCAACAAACTTCTTAAAAATTGGTAGAATTTTCCACCTATTGGCCAGGATGCTAGAGCAGGCTTTTTGGGGTTTTTTTGGAGGCAACTATAATAGCTACTAATACTTAGACTATGAAGTACAAATCACACAAAATAATCGTTTAAGGCCTTCTTATACTGTTTTCTTTTTATTTATTTTTTTGTTACATATGTACAATGTTAAGCTGAACATTTTAAAATTTCTCTTTTAAATATCAATATCAGTCTGACCTCCGGTTTTAAAAACAAAATTTCAAGTTTAAAGTAAATTTATGCATATTTGTCTAATGGGGGTGGGGGTTAAGATAATACATGTATATGGAATAGGGGAATTCCCAGAGTTAGGCTTTAGATTGCAATTTTTACTTTTTACTCTGAAATACACTAGGCTAGAAACTGATTCTGATCTACTGGGTTTTTTTTTTTGGCGAAAAGATGACTAATAAATTCCTGTTAAATAACTTGGTCTGCATTTGTGTCCCTTTTGTGTGATGTGTTTTATATGACTGTAGTCTGGGGAGACACGATGTTGTAACCGTCCAGCTGGGACCAGATTTGCTGGTGCCACAGTAATCGCGTGTTTAGTGATTGCTTCAGTATCATCACTCATCCTGTGTTTTTTTTTGATAAAATATAGTTTCCCGATAAAATTGTCCATCGTATCTCCCTTTGACGCAAGTTTGGTGTAAAACTGATTTTAGTACATGGCAGTTCAGTCTGTTTTTGTTTCATTGGTACGTTTTGCTCCTGGTGGAAACAAGCATTTTCTTGTTTGTCCTCTGCTTGATAGAGCTGTACCTTCTTTGGGTGTTCCCAGTTAGACCAAATTCCCATATGCTTTCATCTGCCCATAGACAAATCAAATCTCCCCCCCCCCCAAAAAAAAAACAGGCAGGGTTTAATTTCCAGCTGTATCTTCACCATTCATTTTTTTTGGTATAAGTAACTATTGAATAATCTGGAATTGAGAAACTTCAGTCTTGCACCATCATCTGCATCACTGTGTTGTCAAAAGTCCTGCACAGAAAAATAATCAGAGGAGATTCAGCAATAAGGTCAGTATTTGTATTGGAAAAGAAACATTTGATGACAACTAGGGCCTAGCCTTTTCTCTTCACTGTGTGATACAGACATTTCCACAGTGACCTGTAAACCTTTTGCAGCTAATAAAAAAAAAAGGCCATATTTAAAAAAAAAAAAGTTCAAAATTATCATGCAGTGGCCTTCACTGTCATGCTTCAAGAAAACAGTTTGGTGCCAAACGCCACAAGTAAACTTTTTACAACTTAGAGATGAGACAAAAGATAAACCAAATCGTCTTAGAATGAGCAATGGACCACTTGCAACTTGCACAACCTCCAAAAAAGGGTGGAGAGATCAGTTTGAAGAGCCCGTATGGCATTCTAGAGACACAAATCAAATCTTGTTTCAATCTCAAATATTGAAAAAGACTTAATTAAATGACATTGTTTGTACTCACTTTGATTTTATATTTTCTCCTGGTGTGTAGAAAGGATTGCACAACATGTCCACATAAGCATTGTGTAGCGTCTTAAACATCTTCAAGAAAAGTCAAAGAAAGCAAAATAAGTCAAAATGTGAAAACCCCAGTAAAGACGACTCAAAAGTTGGCCCAGCTTAGTTAACTTCTAAACATAACAGAATTGGTAAATGATAGGAAATTCCAAATTGACAAAAAGTCTCATTGGATAGGTATCTTTCTGAATCTCCCAACTCGGAAAGATACCTTGGCTTGGAAATTCTAGAGCCAGAGATGAATCCAATGCACGAGACAAAGTAGAGGTTAACAAAAAATCCCTGAGACTCACATTTCGTATTTCGTTGTCTCTGAGTTGCATATTGGACGACTCCACAACGATGACAAACTTGACCTTGGTGTTTGTGACGTATCCATAGACTTTGTAGTCTTCCGTTGGGTACAACAGCCCCAGGTACAGCTCTCTAGGGTCGTTCACACTCTTGCCAACGGCTGACACCTTTTCCTCAATGACGTCCAGACATGTGTGGACGGTGTAGTGGAACTTGAGTTCATTTTCTGTCGGGATTGTGGTGATGTACAATGGGTAGTTCTGTGAAAGCAAAAGTTTGGTGTGAAATAAGAATTGCACTACTGCACAGAAATAATAATAATAACAACTACAACGTTTTACTTCAAGACATTTTACTTCAAGATTTATGTTAGGAAAATGTAGTTTGGTGATAAAGGAGTCCAAAAATGGCTAGTACTAGTGCAACTAGGGGTACGTTCCACTAGTACTAGCAAACCTTGCCAAAATTAGCAATCGTTTTGAGCATACACTTGGCAAATGGGAAATTATTGGCAGCGCCAATGTTACGTTTGAGTCCAAGGTAGCACGGTCAGTAATCTTTACTTCAAAAATTCTGATATTTTAATTTATATAGAACACTAAAATGAGCCGAAAACAGCAAATTTTGATCAGAAGTTCCTCAAATGAACAGCGCCCTCTTCTTTTAATGTAGCCTTTGCCTTTGAATGAATGTAACATATTTACATAAACACCGTTTTGACACGGCTGCAAAGGAATCCTGCAATATTTTAAGCAGATTACGGCATACCCACAACACTAAAGTACCCCTTTCAACAAGAGAAATAAATATTTTAATACGACATTAGAGTAAAATGAAAGATTTCATACCTCTTTAGCTATCACCGCAACACAGACAGCCATCTCTGAGCCTTGTGTGTGTGTGTATTATAGCGCCCTCTCGTGACTACATTGAAGACGAAAAAAAATCAAGAAAAGGTGAGACAAGACCGGAGGGAGAAACGAGACCGCGTCTTGACGTAAGTGAAATGTTTTCCATTTCAACGCTGAATTTTGCTCATATTTTTATGCTTAATGGTTACACAATATTATTTTCTGATATAGGAACAGGTGATTAAATGATCTGCCATTTCTAGAGTCAAAGCACGATTGAATTCATCAAGTTGAATGGTGTACAATTTGACAGGTTGAAAATAAAAATGCACGTGTGTGTACGGAATGTTGGACAACTCGTACCCGACACAACTCGTACCCGAGACAACTCGTACCCGGGAAAATTCGTACCCGGGACAACTCGTACCCGGGACAACTCGTACCCGGGACAACTCGTACCCGGGACAACTCGTACCCAAGACAACTCGTACCCGTCTGAAAATAAAACACTGTGCAGCGTACTCGTATCTGTGCCTTACTTGTGCCGACTGTTATCATACTTATTTTCAACCAATTATTATTCAATTATTTTATTTCCGTTTTTCATTTTTAAATAGAGAAGAAGTTTTTCATTTAAATAGGTCTCTCTGTTGTTGGCCTGAAGATTTTTTTTTTTTAATACTGTTTTATTTTCATTCCGTTTCATTCAGAAACTCTGATGCAATCTCTTTTTGGGAATTATGTGGATAGAGACTGGAATAAACCGATGAAGACTTTGCAGGCTTCTGCAGCGATGGAGAAGAATAGCATACCTGAAAATTAATGTCATAAAAAGTGTAGAAGGTGACATATGTAACATTTTTATAATTTTAATGAATCGGTCCACTTATTTTAGAAATAAGTTTTCGCAATAAATGAAGATCAAATAAGTTACGAAGCTCATGATTGCTATAGCTCCTTCCGCGAATTCCGCGAACTCCGCGATCATCGGCCAGCTGCCAGAATCTCTCCAGAACAATCTCTTGCTTGTCACCACTGGCAATTCCCCAAAAACGCTACGGCTTTTGGTTTTCCACATCTTTGGATTTGTCAATTACATCTAACTAAAAAGGAACAGAAAAGTAAATGGTAAGAAAAGTACAAGGTACGAGTCGTCCCGGGTACGAGTTGTCCCGGGTACGAGTTGTCCCGGGTACGAGTCGTCCCGGGTACGAGTCGTCCCGGGTACGAGTCGTCTCGGGTACGAGTTGTCCCGGGTCACTAATTTGGGGTACGAGTCGTCCCGGGTACGAGTTGTCCCGGGTACGAGTTGTCCCGATACCAACAGTATGACCGACGACCATGGAGAGGTGGGAATAGCTATTAGTATTAGGCCCTAAGCTCGATCCCATATCCAAGGAAGCTGCCGGCCATTGAATAAGCCAGTTCGGTATTTTAACTGCGAATGTGCACAATGGTATGGGTCACGAGTCATTCGGGATAATCAAACGTTTTGAAGGCGCATGAATGTGGACGCACACATGACAACGGCAACGCTTGAGTGTAAATTACCAGCATGATGCAGCAGAGGGCGTGTGCATAAGATCGCGTAACGTCACGCCAGTGATGTTATCCTGAGTGACCTCGGGTCATTGAAATACCGAACTGGCTTAGGCGAAGTAAAAAAAACAACAAGTTTCTCATCCCCGCCCGCTTCCTTTTTGGAGGCCGCCTGGATTTTTTTATTATTTTTTATTTTTGAAAAATGTAGTAGAAAAACACCGAAAAAGTCTACAAATTCATCAGAAAATAAATACCAATACCAATACAACTCTAAATGACACTGCAAATATGTTCAGTTCTCTTGTCCAACTTGTCTTTCATCTTTAAAAGTGTCTTTGAACAGTGGAACACCAACGGTTTGCAGGAAATTTTGAAAAGGCGGTCATCTTGAAAAAAATAAAAAATAAAAAATAAAAAGCCCCGCTTCCTCCCTTTTTAAAAAAAACCCGGACGAGAAACTATTTTTGTTTTACTCGGCCTTATATGTGTTCACCTTAATTCTTATTTGGACCTTTGATCCCCATAGCTGTAGGTCAGATGAAGAGATTACCATGGTCACATGGTCATTTTTTAATGTTTGACCAAGGCCAACATGTTGACACATCGGTCAAAATATGTAGGAGCAATAGATAATGTCAATGCTTGTTACTATATTACTAGCTACATGTGTAACTAAATTAACAAACTCCAAATGTACAAATGTTAATAGCGTACATATGGACTAACAGAGAGATATGATGAATTGTTGAGTTGCTACCCGCTGCTAAAAAGACTACATGTATGACTGAGTCAGACTCAGAGTTAGACTGCGTTCATAATCTCTGGATTTTCGACAAGTTCAAAATCCCGGTTGGAGACCTTCCACTTACAGCTCTGAAATTTAGCACTACATGTATATGTTCAGTACTTGACTTTCAAAACAAAATACATGTTCGTCAGGCAAATCAAAACTCTTGAAAAAAAAAAAACAAGAACAAAATAAACACAAAAACAAAAATTATAAACAAACTAGTAAACAAAAATATTGAGAATTTAACTTGGTTGAATCCTCGATTCAAATTTGTTATTAAATTAGTATCATCTTTAACGTAAACCAAAGGTTGCCTCACTCTGGCTGTAGGTGCTCTATCTCAATCTGCGTTGGCTTTTATACAGAAAAGTTACAAGTCAGATCAGTATGAGTTTCGACTTTAGATGGAATGTTGCATACAGGGTGGTGTATGCGATATCTTACATTACATTGTATACGATACACATATCTCAACTGGGTATTGTCCCAAGTATAGTTGCTGTAGTCGGTAACAGAGCTACATTCATGTACATTAATGTTTTGAGAAACTTGTTTTTGTTCCATAAGGGATGCAATGAAGAGACGTTTTGTACATCCATTGTTACTGAATAATTAAAATGACTAAAAACACTTCAAAGCTAGTAGGGTGAAAGATGTGTGTATACAAATTACAATTTATAAACTTACAAATGCTATGCATAATGCACAAAAAGGCATACTGTACATGTACATAATTTGCTGCTTCATTTTGCATGTATTTTTATCTAAGCAGTTTGCCATCTGCTGTTGTTGAAATGCTTGATAACATCTATTAATCCTTCGATAAAACCCAAAACATCTGTCAGAAGGCAAGAACATTGTCAGTTTGTTATACATGTGCAATAAAATTCACTATATTTCCTTTTTTTCTAAAAAGTCCGAGGAAAACATAGCTGAAATGTACCATAGGCCTAAGGCTTTAAGAACCAATAAAAAAAAATACGTTATATTATGTAAAACCTCATTCTAAAATGAGGCTTTCAAAATACGGTACAGTCCTGAAACAAAAGTTGAGTAATTGCCAAAATTGCACAGACTGAAGTGTGAATTGTCTTTATCTGCACAGCGCATCAATACTTGGTGATAAAAAGTGAAAGTATTAAATTGATCTATAGTTTGGAAGATGCATAAATTTACATAGCCTATGCTGTCATTGAAATTGCAATTTTTCACTTTAGCAAGGCTAATTAGCTTGGGATCAGATCAAATAGTCTTTATGGTACTTCATTTAAATAAGTTGGAACAGGATAGCCAAAATATTAATGGATACAATAGAATAATTTAACAAACAGGTATATTGTAGAGTTAAAGGATATACAATATTTGCAAACATCAAAAAATAAAACTACCAAATTTTTATGGAATACCTTACTAATACTAGACTGTTAGTGAATGACAGTCTAAAGCATCCTGTAAAATCACAGCACCTGGTGTGCTGACATTTTCAAGAAAAGTGGTATTTTTGTATCAATTTCCAACGATGGTCGGCTGACCAGCCTTGGAAAAAAGTAGGTTTTTTTTCAACTACTGCCCCTAATTTTCCATATTTAGTTTGCAACTGTATACAATTGATTATACCTGTATGAATGGGTACAAGCCAGCTAGACTGGTTCCCTGACCTTACAATTCCCCGACGTCTATAAATTGCTCTGTTTCATCTTAAGTTGAATCAGGGAACCAGAATACAAGAACATGATTGTTTTTCTTGGTTTTTCCAGCATCTACATGTATGGACTCAAAACTTTAAACAAGTCAGTGTAACAGTATTTGCTATAAAATACTAACCCCCAAAAACATCAATTTCTGAAAATTACAGCAAAAGCAAATGTTGTATATTCCCTTTTAAAATGGGAAAATATTTGCTTTTTTCTGCAGGTCGTAATTACGCACATAATTACACAACACAAAACAAGGGAGATAAAAATATTTTATTATCCTTGTAAAATGCAAACAGCTTTTCCAAATTAGCTACCAACTGAAGTCATTCAGACTGTTTTTTGCTTTACTTTAGACAAACAAAAGAGTTGATGTCTGTTGTATTGGCCAACGGATCAATATACAGCACTCATTTGTTACACGTGCATCTGCAGTTTGGCTTTGTATTTCATGTTTAGTATTCATGGTCCAGTTGTCAATTGGATATCTAATGAGCCGGAAACTCAAGGTATGGATTGAAACAGGTGACAGACACGTCAGCTTTGTTGTCACCATTGGGATGTGTGAATGGTAGGTATAAGAACTCACAGATTTTTTTGATTTTTCTTTCCAGATTTGCACCAATAGACTTGTGATTTGTTCATGTTACATCACTTACATGTATACCTCATAATTGCCAAGAAATCCCATAAAAAATGTTTTAGTTTTGAAATAATTTTGTTACAATTTTATACTAATTTTATCATAGTTTTGTAATACTGTTGTTACCTGTACAGTATGGAGTGGAGTATAATCGAGTAGACTTAAAGGAATCGTTGAAGCATGGAGGTGTGAAAGCTGGGGTCCTATAGAGACCAAGTTATATGTTTGTAAATCAGTGACTTGAGATGAGTGGAGTGTTTCTAAAAAAAAGCTTCCTTCAAATTTCGGTGATTGACATTGGGGTTTTAAAATAAATGGATGTAATAAGAAGATCAGTCTTGAGTCAGTACATGTACATTATAACTGCCATTCACAAGCACTGTACTCTATGTATGTTTTACTAGACACTTTCCCTGTTTCTTTCTTTGTACACGTGCATTAGTGAAAAAAACAAACCTGCTCAACATACTGAACTACATGTGTAGTACAATCAGCTACGTCATGTATGAGCTGTGGCATGCAGAATATGAACTGCCTCCACCAACTTAGATTACGATGTATAAAATGTGACTGAGCTCGTCCATTTTTGTTCAGATAAATAAACAGTTGGAAGACGTTCAACGTCTGACCGTTACTTCACCCTCAGCTTGTGCATTAGTATTGGAAGCTGACAGTATTTTGAGGGTTGGTTTCTTTGTTTATGTAGGAGATCACAGGTAAGCAGGGTCGCTTGTCGTTTTGTACTGGTTGAGTTGCCAAACATTGAAATCTCCACATTGTAAAGCAAAAGTGAAAGTTGTGGTTAGAGTCTAGTAGGACGTAGGACTGTGCAGAATGCACCGATTATTCAATCATCAGTCGGATAGGCGATAAGCAGTTTTACCATTTTAAATTTTTTCTAAAAAAAATGAACAGTCTTGAGGAGATGATGATGAAAACATCCACGATCGTGTAGAAGCTGCCTGGTGTTATTGTTTGTCAAATGCTACGCTTTTGTTGAAAGTCACTTTCCCGTGATTTGAGAGCTTCCATGAGGACTATTACATGTACATGTAGCTCCAAATTCTTTGTTAAGATTGGTCAAATTATCAGTCGTATCCGCATCCTGATTATGCACACAATATCTGAACAATTTATTTCATGTATTCAGACTGAGATTGCCCAAGTACGACAGATGCTTGCCAGAGTATTATGCTATTACAGCAGTTGGGCTGGCAATTACAAGTGTCGTCTGATTGGTGATGACAGACAATCTCGTATGGTACGTTGGGGGGGGGGGGGAGGGGAGGTGTACACAGGCAAAGCCTCACACCATATGTACGTATGTGTGTCATCCCAATATCAGTAAATGTATTGAGCTTCATTCTGCTCATACCAAGACACTCATCATTTTTGGGTACATTGTAGATGGTAAGAATTGTCGGCAATTGGATGGCTTAGCCCACGAAAGTCTTTCGACTTATTTCCAGTGGCGGCCCTTGGTAGAAGAATTGTGAAAGAAATTACAGTTTTAGTGGTGGCAGGAAGAGCCCAGAATGATATTCTAGGGGAAAACCCATGGAGACAGACAGGGACTGAAAACCCAATCCATATATTGGCTGCGGGCAGGATTTAAACCCGGGTCACAGCGGTGGAAGGCGAGACAAATACCGCTACGCCAACCTGATCCCCTATCTGCCATGACGTATTTATGTAATTTTTCAGTGTAAATTTTATACAGGTTGCACCCCTTCTGATTTGAAAATCACAGGCTGGTGGAAAAAGGCACACCTGGATTTTTCTAGGCATGTGATTTTTCTAGGCGTGTGATTTTCTAGGCATGCGATTCTGTGGTCCTGAAACTGGAACTGAACAATCCGGTATTTTTTTTATAATATTCATCTTGGTTTACAGTGAAGCCATATTCTCTTCATCGACATACTTTTTTCCCACAAATTATGTATAATTAAGTATAACTATGCCATGAATGTATGCTGAGGTTTGTGGAACAGAGGGATTCAGGCGTGCGATTATTCGCACTTCTCAGGAAGCTTTTAGGTGTGTGATGGCGTGGGGGTGCTATCGCACGCCTCAAATCAGAAGGACTGGGTTGTAAGCACATTTCCTGTTACTGTACACAATTTTGTTGTTTAGAAAAGATGCAAGACTGCTTATAGTGAATTTAGTCTTGAAAGCCCGACTTAGACATCTCAACTGAGGAATCCAACAAAAGATATACTGTAACCAGACTATAATCTGTTGACAAAAGCTGCGGGATCAGCTGGGTGTTTTTCTGTGGATTATTTCCTTGTGCTGTCCCTTCTTCCTCCTCTTGTCTTCATTAGCAATGGGGGAGGCAGCACATGGGATGTAGCCGAAATGATCGCCAAAAAAAGCCGTCTTTGTTATTGTGAGGTGAAATTCCACATGAGTTATCTGACCTATTGTAGGTGTAAGAACTCCCCTGGTATGTAACGGGGAATAAATCTGGCCGACAGTCACCCCCATTGTGAGTCCTCTCTCCGACCCTTAAGGCTAAGGATTTCATTCTTGAAAAGTTCCTGTAAACGGAGTGAGAATATCGTGTCATGGGTTCCTGCCACCCTGTTTGGATTTATAATGTGGCGGGTCTTTTTCTTTTGTTGGCGTCTAGGATTTGCCACTGTAATGATAATCCGTTGCTTTATGTGCTGAGAGTACTGCTCAGGTACCACCCTTAACAGAGTGGGAATAAAGCCCAATTTTGCCCTCCATTATGTCCTTTCCTTGTACAATTCCTCAGTTAACTTTGTCAGAAAACAGCCATATGAACACCTGTGTGAGATGCCTCTGTGTACACCTTATGTTTTGAGAGTGTCTAATTCCTTGCTACATGTATTCTTTTTCCTCCTGTTAGATTTTTGGAACAATGGACGTTTTCCTTGCTCCGTGATCTTTACAGCCTGCAGCCATGTAGCATTCCATCGGAGTAACTGCAGTAGGTGAGTAAGTTATGTGTCAAAGATTAAAGGTACTGGCACATGTACATGTAGGATCGTTTGATCGTGTATACTTCTCTCCTGCCCCCTTTTCCACTTTTAATTCAGTTATTTCCATGTGTTTTTAATATATCTTTTACTTAATGTTTTTATTTTTAATGAAATATTGTAAACCACATCCAATTTGGGCCACGATTTGTGGTCTTATAAACCAATTTCTTCAATTCAATTAAACAGTGTGCAATGACAGTGAAAACTTCATTGCGAAGTTCTCAATGTCACAAATTGTAGCAATTATGCATGAGAATAACAGATGTTAGCAAGGCCAGTGCCATCCTGTTACACTTCCTGTTCCTGGTTGGCTTGAAGAAACTGGTTATTTCCTTCCTAGAATCAGAAGAGAAAGTAGAAAGTTGCCGAAAGCCAGAGAAAAAATCCATCACACTATCCAGTCTCAAGTCAGGTGACGAGTCATTCAAATGAACTGTGAGTGTGACAACAGTATTCCTTTGTCCTTGTTACGGTACAATGTGACTGGATGTGTGATTGATTTGTGATCGATACATGTAAAGGCCTCTTTACAAAGTTGTGTGGAGCAAGTTTCTCATGTTTGAGAGATAGTTATGAAATGAACTAAAAAGCTGCTTTGTGACTAGTACTGATATAAAAAAAAAACCCAGATTTTTTTAATTCGGTTTGAATTCCACTACTCGGTTTTTGGATTGTGGAAATCAGATATTCAAAACCAACATTAAAAGTTTTTTGGAACATCCCCCAATTTGCTCCATAGTCTCTGGTTATGACCACATTTATTGCTAGCGATCTTCTTGGTTCATGACTAGCCTGCTCATTGGACTGATCAGAGAGTTCCCTCCCACTTTAAGTCACCATTACAACTCTGGACTCTGGAGTGTTTTTGTCAAGGCCCAGTGGTCATTGAATCCTGGAAACTATAGAAAAAATCTCCCTGGAGGGCATTGCATGCGGCACCTCACTTGTCACTTTAAGTTGGCAGGACTGTGAGCTGATTGTGAACTTCCAGTGAAATCATATTTCACCGTTATTTGGTTTGAAAAAAACAAAACACATACAGATCAAAATGTTAATGGGCTTGGCGTTTCAATCCGAGCAGGTTTCTGGGTTTTTCCATTACAATCTGTCAAATTTTACCCTGCTTCCAAAGTAAAAAGTACATCAGCAAAGGAGTCTTACTGTATTGATTTGGAATTCCAATCGACAAAACATATGCACACAGTATGTATCAAAAATGTTTCCTTTTGTGGACAAGTAGAGATTACAAACTTCGTTCATTTTTTGTCATATTGGTAAAGTTTTAAATGTCCCTGAAGCAAATTTTAACTGGATCTATTTACGTCATGTAACCATTGATTTGTGTTCAATGTTAACAAAACAATAGCGCATTTGTATGTCATTGCGTGCACATTACTTATATCGTTCAGAAATGTTTAACACTTTCACGTATCTCATGTTGCTCTTTCAGTAGATAATATTTGTTGTTGGACTATTGAATGACATTTAAATTCAATACCGTTTCCCCCACAGGAAATCACCGGTTAACATGTGAATTGCATTCACATCACATTTTCAACGGGAGCCAGTTATATTTTGGCACGCATTGACATTTGGAGTTGACGTCACAATCCTGTGTGAATTCCGAACCAATGAACACTGTCTGGAATTCAGAGGTAATCACAACTCGCTCATGGGACGATGAGAGCTCGTATCCGGCCGACAATCTTTGCTGCCGCCCTCCTCCTGTGCCTATCCCTGTACCTCTTCCTCTATGAGGGCGGGGTCAGTCACGCCCACCCCAAGGGCCAAGTACCAGGTTTCTTTTCCCTGGCATCCATCACGCATCTCTTTGCCACGGAGCTGACGGTACCGGCCAACGTTCAGATCCGAGGTCTACTGAACACGACGGACGGCTGCCATCGACTGTGGCTGAAGGGAGAGTCGCTGTGGTTTGATTTAAAGTTTAACGGGAGTCTGAGTCCGCTGTGGACACGACATAACAAGAAGCTGTCAACGGAGGTTGCATTATGGTGGAAAGTAAGTTGAACATTAAATGTATCATTGTTGGAAGGTTTTTTATCTTTAAAAAAGTACTGAGTTTTATTCCAGAAATGCAAGTATCTGTCAAGATAGCCAATATGGCTCATCAGGCTGGCCTTTATCTCTGGCTTCATTGGCATGAAATGTCTGAGAATAATTCGATTTCCCCTGGATGGGATGCTTGGGCCACAAAAAAAATGTTCTGCTTCTGGTTTCCCTACGTAGTCTATTCTGACAGCCCCTACCCTAATTTTTTATGGGAAAATTGAGAAAAAAAAACACCCAAAACCATCAATTGCTACCTTTTACCCTTGACTACACGCAGACACCTCCACATGATCATACACAAACAAATCCCCCCAAACAAATCCCTACCTACCTGACCTATTTTCAAATACCATGTAATTGGATGCAGAACTTTTTTGGGGACCTAGTCCATTGCAGGTTACTCCCAAACTAATGCCAGTACCCATTCATAGCAAGTGGGGGTGAAGTGGCTTGCCCAAGGACACAACATTTGAACCCCTTACCCTCTGATCACGAGTCACAAACCCTAACCACTAGGCCACACTCTAGCTATTCCACAAAAGGTATTGGCACAAAAGGTATGACTGGAATCTGGTTTTGTTCTTCAAGTCCACGTCACAAGTCATGCAAGACTGCCAATTGAGTACATGCATGTGAAAATGTTGGATACAAATTTCTGAAAAAGTTAACAGTGAATCTTAAGAAATATGTACAAATATGAACATGCACTTCTCAAAAAGCTTAATTGACACATGAAATTCTCAGAAACTTAATTATTTATCCATACATATATTCTTCAAAAAATGTTTAAAAAAGTAATCAAGTTGTACAATATTTATGAATGTAGTTCTTAAAAGACACAGCCTTTTCTGCAATTTTTTTCAGTTTTGAATGAGTGCCTTTACTTCTCAAAATTAGGATGTCACTTAGATGTAGATCTTCCCCGAGGTTGCCCCCTTCTTGTGTACCAAACATCTTCTATTTGTCCTCATCCTCTGTGATCTTGCCTCCCGGCAGACGTTACAGAACAGCAAGTTCACTAATATCTCCGAGGTAATGAGGGAGGCACTGCGTGTCATCCCGGGGGAGGATCCTTATCGCATACGGGACGTCGGGCGCTGTCTGCGCTGCGCCGTGGTCGGCAACTCAGGGAACCTCCGCGGCAGTAACTACGGCCATCTGATCAACTCTCACGACTTTGTCTTCAGGTGGGTTGGGGGCTATCTTTGACGACCTGTCTATCTTTTCTTGGCGAGGATTAAGGGTCTCCAGAGACACAAACAAAGCCTTGAGCTACAGTGTGTGATTGTTTATCAAGTTTAGAATGAGTAGAACAAGTAGCAGTGTTATAGTCCACTTTTTTTCAAAGTCTCCAAGTATACTAATACAAAAGGTCATGTTTTACGTGTACTGTAGGAATAAAGCCGAATTATTACTACAGCTATTGACTGCAATCTGTGAATAAGGAAGAATGTGGGTGTTTTTTGAAAACACAACTTTCCATAGTTATTCAAGAAATGTATCAATATTTTTTCTCCAAATATTTGGACACTTTTTAGCATACAGGACACATTAGTCTCAAAATACCACACGGATTAGTTTCTTAGGCTTAATTCCAAATGTACCACACAATCCGCCGACCGATTATTTCAACATATTGAATCTATTTGATATTACATGATTTTGCTAACATAATTGCTGTAGAGGAATCCTCCCCCATTGGAATTTCCACTTGCAAACGTTGCCCAACACTTTGCCAAACTCAAATGGCATGTTTGAGCGCCATGGTGCAATGGTTATGGTGTTTGACCCCTGTGCCATGGTACGTACATGTAGGTTCAAACCCTGACGAGAAACATGGCGTTTGTGTCCTTGGGCAAGACACTTTACTCCACCTTTGGTCAAAAAGCGGTATAAATAAGTACCACACAGTATATTCTTTATAGATAAATGGGACATCACCAAGCCCATGTACAATAAAAATGCACTCAGCAGTTTATGTGGCTCGACCATCATCTTTGTAAAAAGCATCTTTACTTTGCTCTTTTCCAAAACAAACCCACAGAATTAACAAGGCCCCTACTGTGGGCTTCATGACTGATGTCGGCAGCAAAGAAACGCACCATTTCATGTACCCAGAGAGTTTCCTGAATCCTGGCCACGATGTGAACTTTGTCCTGATGGACTTTAAGCTGCTGGACATTGCCTGGCTGACCAGTGCACTGACCAATGGCAGCATTAAGAGGTACATGGAGACTGGGGAGAGGGGAGGGGGGTGGCTGTAAAGATCGTGTTTAGATTTCTTGTAGTCAAAACCGTGACTGTGTATGATACCATATGTTGCAGACTGTAAGCAGTAAGCAGTTCTAAGCACACCAAAGGCAAGCATACCTCAGAGCAAAAAGCTGCTTAAATTGGTGACGTAACAATTGAAATCTCTGTGCGCATACAACCGTTGGCACATCTACGCCATATACATGTAGTGCTTCAGGTTAGCACCATTTTCTGCTTGTGAAATTGAGGTAATGCTCAGTTTCAGAGGCGGCGGAAAAAACCCTAGATATGTATCATAGAGATTAGAGAGAAACCCATGGAATCATGTAGGGACTAAAAACCCAATCTACGGTTGGCCTGGGAGGGGAATCGAACCCTGGCCTCAAAGATGGAAGGAAGAATGAACCATTGCGGCTACCTGACTTCCCAATCAGACGGTCTTTTAAGGACACTGCTTAAATGAAAAAAAGGGAGAACATTGGTTTTTTTTTTTTTTAATTAATTAGATATTTCTCATCAAAAGACATGAAGTGGTGATGTTCAGGGTTGAGTCTTAAATGTACTTCAAACTAGGAAAAAACATCCATAACAAATTAGCTCTTTTTTTTCCTTTGTAGAACATACACGGCAGTCATGAAAAAGATAAATGTAACTAGAAGCAAGGTATGTTATCAGTTATTTGACATTTGTTAAATCTTTTGATGTGATGTCTGAATTTTTGGCTGGAATTCATGTTATTATTATTCGGAAATTGTCTTGTTCCAATATTTTTCTAAATTATGCATCCTGTTCACACTATTTTATGACAGTCAAATATTTTAGTGCCCTATTTTTCCTCAACTTTACTTCTTTAAGAACCAGTGACTCTTCAAAGCTGTAAAATAATTTCTGAGTCTTGAGACTTCTGTTACATTACATTTGAATGACCCTTTGATAAAGTCCTTACTCTTCAAATTTCATGTAAAAGCATTCAATCAAAAATTCACTGACATAATAAGGTAACATAGGTTTTTCTCATCACTGTTGCTGATACATGTGCAACAGAATATTTTAGTTGGAAGAAAAGGTTATGTACGCTGTTCACACCAAATACATCCAACAAATAAATAGATATGGTAATGCTTTGAAAGGTTAGGCCAAATATAAAAAAAAAGGCTTCCTTTTTGGAGGCCGCCTCCGTTTTTTTTTTTAAACACACAAAAAAGATAGATTTTAAACAGTGACATTCTGGCGTCTTTGTCTGTTGCATCTAGCCCATATTAAGCTGGTATGTCATTCCTGAGTCCAAGTGGCGGCCATTAAAAAAAAAAAGCTGGCAGCCATCTTGAAAAATAGCCCGGTCGGGCGGCCATTTTGGAAGGGAAAAAAAAAGGGTCTCCTTCTTTTTTTTCAAAAAGCAGGACGCTAAAAATGTTTTTTTTTTACTTGGCCTTAAGGATGTAGATGAAGTGAAAGTAAATGTTCTCTTTCATTTGGTTGTTTTATTGTCTTCAGGTGATGATCTACAATCCAGCCCTTATGCATCACGTTCATACTGAATGGACACAGAAACATGGCCGGTACCCGTCAACTGGTCACCTAGCGATGTTCTTTGCCTTGCAGATATGTGACGAGGTATGCCAGAGAAAGTCATCGTGGAATAAAGGCTTTGAAACCTAAACAAAATGTTAAGAGTTGACGTCAAATACTCTTAAAAGGGGCTTGGTTTGTTGTTAAATGGTATGAATTTCTTAAAAGAAATCAAAATTTACAAAATTCAGATTTCTGCAAGCTTGTGTAATAATATAGATGCATTTATCCTCTTGGATGCTGAGAACAGATATGAACATTTTATTTGAAAATGCTGCATTTTGCAAATTAGTATATTTTGTCAGTCTTCATTTTGTTGTAAGAGTTTTCTTTGCAGATGAGACGTAAAAAATCAGTGGACTAAAGGTTTTCTTCAAATTATTTCTGATATTTCTCTTTGTTGAAAGGTTCCCCCATTTTATTGGTAATTTTAGGTAAATTATGCGAGGTAAATTATTTAGGTAAATAATTAATTTTTTACACTGTTGTCGTCACTGTTAATGAGTTTTCTTGTTTTAAATCCTTCTTCCCTTGCAGGTTAATCTGTTTGGCTACGGAGCCAACAAGCTGGGAAACTGGGATCACTACTGGAAGAAAGACGACGGAACTCACAACTCCTTCTTCAAGAAGACGGGCGTACACGACAGTAACTATGAACAGTCTATCATGGACAGCCTCCAAAAAGCCGGCAAGATCAAGATATATCCGGGGGTCAGATGATCGGAAAAACAAAAAATTGGCAAGTGTATCCAGCTTGTAGTCAGGAGACTTGACACAAAAACCTTCTTTAGGGGAGGATAGAGCTAGGGTGGGGTAAGAGGAGACAGGACTCCAGACAACATAAGTGTTCATGCAGGGAGGTTACACTGTAACTAAGGTGACATCTGATTTAGTTGGCTACGGCAGTCTTCTCAAATATCCAAGACAAGTTGCAAACAAGTTTGTCCGCAATTGGCCCAATCGTATCAGGTACTAGTTGCTGGATTCTGAACAACTTCCCTGGAATCCTCCTGTGTTGACGTTATCGGCATTGTTTACAGACACTTAACTTCATTCCAGGAAGATTTCAGGAAATTTGTGTGGAATCCTGCCGTAATACCCAATAGGCCTATTGAGAATATACATGTGGATGAAAACGAAAGCCAGGGTCCAAATTAGTCTGGCGCTTCTACTTGATCAACCCATTATAGTACTTGACGTTCCAAGGAACCTCACAGGTGCGGTTCGAATGGGAGCTTTTCACAGGATTTTGGTTTTTTTAATGAACAATATGTTCACATCAATTTTGTCGGGTGCACCACGAAGTGACGCATTGTCTATGGACTTTGTGCACACGATACGTCACTTCGTGGTGCGACCGACGATTTGTTGATATTGAGTGAAATTTTGTCCTTTTTGGTGGTGAGCCTGGTAGGTTTCCCATGCTCAGTTAGTTGATGCAGTTTTCTTTCACTGAAGTAATTTTAGAGACGAAGAAATTTACCAAAATCAAATCCTTATAAATAAGTAACTGTTTCCTTACCCCCAAAAATGCTCCCTCCTAAAAAAAATAGAACCTCACCTGTACCCCAACAAAATAGTGGCAGCATGATTCAAAGATACACATCTGAATCGAATTCAACAACGACATCTGAGAGAAAATTGTTTTCCCTGTTATTGAACAGCTAACAGTTTCGCCTGCCCATGCCAAACATTAATCCTAGATGCATTCCATTGTTAAAAGTACTGAATTTATACCAAAAAGAAGCAACCCATAGGTTTGAAATATCGGTCACAAATGAAGCCAAAGCTTTCAGAAAAATATGAACTTGTACTTTATTCGGAATTTCACATTGCAGACTGTAAATTATTTGCAAAAGTTTTTTTGAAACCTAAAAGTTCTGGGGTTAATATTCATAGTGAACACCGACACACTGCTGCAGTTGGCACTTTTTCTGAGGTTCATTCTTCTTTTGAAAATTGCCGTTTGTTGTTCGTTTGCAAATCTTCCAGTCCATTGGTAGATTTGAAGTCAGAGAACAGCCAGGCCAGTATGTCAAGGCAGATTCTTGCCGTATTGAACTCTGACACAGGGTCAGCTTAATTTAAATATTCATGTCCATGCACTTGGGTACTGCATGCCACGTCAATGCTTACTTTGGATCCTGACCAATCAGAAGTATTGTCAACCATAGCAACCAATGACATCTCAGAAGCTGTGAGAATGTGAAAACACCGAGAATGTGAACATTCTGTTGCAATATTTGTGTAATGTTTTTGCAACTTACAAATGTTATATGCTCTTTTGAAACCAGTCAAATGGAGATGCAACCAAACAAAAAACAAAAAAAATGTGGAGACAATTTTTTTTCTTCAGTTTATTACAATGTGTGATCCATATACCATGTATACATGTACATATATGTCTAAACAGTACTGTAGAAGTAAATTGCCACTAAAGGCAACATTTTGAAGATGCTCAAAAAATGTGTTAACACAGAGCTTTATTTTTCACCATGGTGACATCATAATTTTCAAGTGGGCATACATTTTCCAAAGAAGTTCATAACCAAAAGAAAACAGTCCTTGTCAATAAGAAGATCTGTCTTTAAAGTATCCCTAAAAAAAGTTAAACTCCACACGTGCTATTGTATGAAGCAAAACTCAAAATCTTGTGCTAAACTCATTTTTCAAAATTTTAAGATTCAGTTTCTACAGTATTGCTCAATTCTTGCCATAAGCTGAATCCAAAATTTAAAGGTTTTAGGATTGTTTTGTGCTGCAAGAACTAAAAGTTCTTGTTGAAAGTACAGATTGTATGAATATTTCGATTCCAGTATTTAATTTGTTCACTTCATTTCAATTTGTACAATTGTTAATCCTCTCCTGTGAGGCCAAGTGCTTTTCCCAGTTGACAATTTCAGGGTAATTATGATTTTAATTGGTCATCCGTTTGTTGGACTTCAGATGAGTTGTGAAACTGTTCAGTATTAAAGTTCATGTTTTAAAGTCATGCAGTTTATGAACGAAAAAAAACATTTGAACAAATTGCGGCTGACATGTTTTCTAGTGCTCCAGGGTCTTTTGTTTGTACAGGGTGAAAAACAGTTATCCGTTGTTGTATTTTGTTTACGTTCCACCGTTAAGCATTTAAGCCACCTCATGTGAGATAATTTTGCATTTTCCAGCTTCAATATAAATTTGGACTCTATGTACTTTAGCTCTGCTAATTATTTATAATAGGCTGTTTCTAAGATGTGTTAGTCAGTTGACTTCGTTGTTCTCATGAAAACATTTGGTCATTGTGATGTTGGTGCTTTTAGGCATGCCTGCTATGCTAGAAGCATGAAAGTTTAATATGCTTTTCTTTCTCTTTACAAAATGTCAATTATTTCATAATAATTTTCCATGTTTTATCATTTTCACCGAGTTGTAATCTCGGCAGCCAAGTTGTGGTTAATATTCCCTCTGCACCCAAACAGTTTGTGTCATATTCAGGAACTTGTTTTTAATGCCATAAACGCTGACATTTTGGAAAGCAGTTATATCAGCCATAACAGAACTTTGAATGTAAAACTCGATAATTTTGAAACTGTTCAGGTAAATCAGTACTGTACAGAACCAAGGGACTTGTCTTGTATTTTTTGTCACTTACCAGATTTATATGCTAAGCAGAAATAAGCCAAGCTACCAGTCACTAAGTTGGAACATATTCATGTAATGTTTTTGCTGTTAATCAGTTTAGAAGTTCATGTATAAAAAACTCTTTTGTGCTCAAACAATCTGTGTGCTGAACCAATTTCATGATCTTACCAGCTTTTCCCATACTGGTGAGAAAGTGCTTTTTTTTCCTTCTGTTTTTCACCGAATCATATTTGCACTATAATATTATTGTATAATGTTTTCAATGTTTAGTATGTACATCCCATCCAATTTAGGCGTTATACAGAAGTTTAATGTGCAATGGATTTAAGTTTTGATACTGAGAGGTTTTTTTTACAGTTGAAATTTATTTAATACAATTGTATGTACTGTATGTATTGTTATGCAAATGTAATATTTAAGTTTATAGTTTGATTTTGTTTTGATTTTCATTGTTAACCAACATACTGTTTACGATAACAGCAATTTTGCCCCTGTAATTGACATACACAATTACCATGCCTGAAGGCATTTTTGATATTGTATGTATGCAGACTCGGCATTGTACAGGCATGAGATTTTTCAGACTTTCGACGGAAATCAGACTTTTTGAATCCGAGGAAAGACATTATCAGTATGGAAAGAGCAGGCCCTTTCATTCCACTTTCAGACTTTATATTAAATTGACGATCTCATCCTTCATTGTATGGTGACCCATACATGCCATCACACATAGACTCAATCAGGCATGAGAATGAATTTCAATGGAAAAAACCCCCAGGAAACTTGTGCAAACACAGGAAAAAAGATGTGAAATCAGGCAATAAAGCCCCCAAACAGGCTCAAAACAAATAATAACGTGAAAATTTGGGCAACTGCTTGGTGCCAAGGCTGATATGCACTGGGTTCACTGCACAATGCAACAGAATCCACTGTTGCAATTTGTTGCATTTTTTATAGCAGGGTTCTTATTTCAGCCAAGTTGCATTTTGTTGCATTTGCCAGGGTGCCCGGAGAAAACCTGTCGGGGGGGGGGGGGGGGGAGGGGGTTAAGGGAAGCAGTACCTTCTAGGGGATTAAGTTTAAAACATTTCCTCTCATTTCTTCGAACTTTTTTTTTTTTTCCCTCTGAAGAAGTCCTTGCTGAGGATGAAATATCAGGCCATTTCCTTGAAGTGATTATGTGTTTTATGTTGAACCAACTTCATGAAATTAAAAGTGTGCTGAATTAATGTGCTACTATAAGTTGCACCAAAGTATTTGTATAAATAGTACTTGGAATTATTTAACAGTTTGTTCCATGTGAATTGAAAGATTATTTAGATTTACATATGTTATGAATATTAATTTGTTGCACTATGTAATTAGTATTTGATACTGTGACTGTAAGTTTAAAGAGGATGTTAACAGTATGAAGCAAACTCTTAACTTTTCAAAATGCACCTACATTTGTGTGTTGAATTTGGCTATACATAAATGAATCTTCACGTCCAACAACAATCCACCAAGTTCAACTACATGTATGTGTTGAGCTCACAACATGTCCATGGAATTTCTATGAAACAGTTTGCATTTGTCTAACAAACCAGTTAAACTATCCAATACTGAATATGAAATCTTTTTACAGAAATAATATTGCAAGATCTGTATATTTTCCCTTAGAAATCATCTTCCTCCAATTATTTGGATTCCCAAGTTTCAAAAGGATAATGGACACAATGCAGAGAAGACTTCATCAGGATTAATCTTTTACATGCCTTGTGTTTTACAAAATGGTCAACAAAAAATAAGATTCACATTTACTGAGGACTGTATATGACCGTGTGCTGAATTGTTCTGCGTCTTTGTAGAACAAAACAAACAATTGGACATCTTTTTACAATATCTATATGTGTATACTTACAAATATGAAGGTTTTGGGGTTGTTTGACTTGTTAGAGGGGCTGCATTTGTGGACATCCTAGTATGAGAACACAAATACTCAACACTATTAAAAATAGGTCTATATTTCATTGAGTAGTGTTCTACGTACTTCTCAAAGAGGCAAGATATATGGCCTTCTTTTGTCCACCCATTGAAAGCCCAAAACCCTCCTTTTAGCAGTACTTTCTGCAAAACCAAAGTATAAGAGTCTTTGAAAAACAGTAACTTTTAATGTTGATATCTGTTATATCTCAGCACACGTGCACCTAGCACAAGCACCTCATCTATTTTTGTTGAAATAAAAGAGTTACTATGTTGAAATAAATGCTTTGGTCTGCATTTTTTCCCCAAGTATATACACTGTAGTTACATTTGGTTAATTCATCTTAAGAATACTTACAACTGCCAATTTCGTGTTGTTTTCAAATGCACAATTTTTAGCTGTCGGACTAAGTCATTGTTATGGGCGTTAGGCTTACACCTTAATAAGCAAAGTTGGCAGCAGCATTTGCCTTAAAATCACAACAGAAATTCCATAATTTTTTTTGTCAAAGATGGCTCGGATTTCTTTTAAGTGTGAAGCAATTCCACAAAATTGGGCCGTGTTCAATCCGAGTCTTCATCGTCTGTGTTAGAATGATCTTCTTGTACTTCTTTAATGCCTACAATCATGTCAATCCTTAGGAGGTCTTGAACTGTTTTGATAGCATCCCTCCACAACATGTACCTAGCGGACATGGCTTCCCAAACACCAGCGTCACTGTTATCGCACAGAGCTCCCGTCCTGCCATTGACACTGATAAGAGCATTGCAGTGTCGCACTTTGGAAACAATCTCTAAAAAGGATGACTTCCTACTCTTTGGAGAGAATGAATTCCTGTGTAGGGTTCTGGGTATGCAGAGTGCTGCATCCCGGAGAATACCGATAGCTGTGCTGAGGGCAGGATCCTTCAGATTCAGGTTCCAATCTCTATCATGACCACGAGACAATATTCTGTGTAACAGGAACTCAGTACACCCTCCTCCAGGGATACAAATTCCTTGTGGCTTACACATTTCAGTTTTTTGCTGGCTGTTATTTGTTGGACTGAGATCTGATTCCAAAATAAGTGCATCAGGAGCCCCAGTCGTATCTTGCATAGCGGAACCGCAACGTCTGGCACTGGATTGGTCCAAGCTTTCTACACATTCACATTCCACGGTCATGGGATTAGATTTCCTACTTGAGGTCTTATTGATGTTGTCTCCATCTCTCATAGGTACGGCAGAAACAAAGCTGGTATCCAACCACATACGCAGAGTCTTGAGTGCATTGAGTACTGCCATGAACCACTGCCTGCATATGCCTTGAGTTGGTGCACAGAGTACCAGTTGCTTTGTGCGTACTCTCTCATCACTGAACCCTAGATGAACACCAATGTTTTGTCCAACCATTACAGATCCACAAAACTTAGCACTGCCTATTTTTAAAGTGGATCTCAAGATGTCAGTAGAATCGTAAACTATGTCGGTTTTTGTCAGCCGTGCAAGCCGGCTCAATTCTTCTTCTGGGATCATGTGAACAGCGGAAATTCTGGCAGCTCTGCAGAAGGACAGCGTTGCATCTGAGAGAAGTTCAGATGAAAGAACAAGCATCACCCCGCACTCCTTGAGATGTTCAATTAGGGACTGAGTCCGAGATGTTCCCAACTCAAGAAACATTGTCAAGTCTCTGGTACTTTTTGCTGCCAAGGTTGAACGGACATCAGGGGTCCACTTGTCAAGGGAGCAACTGAGAATGACAAATGGCACAGTGGTCAGTGTATCAAGATCGTCTGACTGGAAGGCGAAGTTTCGTGTGCACACTACGCCATCCAGAAGTTTGGATTTACTGACGGGTTGGTTAGGAACCTCCAGGCATCCCACGTCATAGTCGTTGATCAGCCCCTGCATGGTTTCGGCGAGATTGCCAACATCTTGACAACTGCCGCAGACCAATTCAACAATTAGCTCAGCCACATGATTAGTTGCGTGCATAGTAAACTTCCCACCGAGAGAAGTTCTCACAATCTTCCTGCTCATGCTTCTCAAATCTCCTCTCTTTTCTTCAACCAGATCCAAGCACACACAATGTCTCCGTAGCTCTGGTAGAACCACCTCAGGAAAGATCTCGGAATGGATGGTCTCCAGAGCTTGACTGACTGCAATCAGGTCTTGCTTACTGGAAGAATCCGAGCTTGTGCTTTTCAGTGAAACTGCATCCTGCAACTGCCTCAGTAGTTCCGTAACGATCAGCACAAACGATTTGGAATTGTCTCCCGTGACATCGTGATGACTCTTGACATGCTGCAGGATCCATCTTGCTATTGGATGAGACAAATGCAAGGAAGTCAAGATGGTGAGGCCGTCTCCAGTTATCACCACTCTGCCTGACGGTGAGGTCAGCATGGTGTGAAGTGCATTGGGACCGATGGAATCCCTCAAGAGGCCCTCTATAGTCTCGCATATCGTCACGGCAGTCAAAAGGTTAACTGGTAGCTCCTGACACATTCTGCAGCTGATAAACATTGTAATATATCTAATTGAAACAGGAATTGGAAGTTTTGCTTTAAAATGTGTGCACTGGATGTAGCTTGAGTATTAACTCCAGCTCTAATGCCTAATGGGCATTAGCATGATTAGAGCCAGACAGGGCTCTGGAGTGCTCTGAAACGTGCAAAACTAAATCTGGCCCACTTTACTCACAGTTTAGTCAGCAAATTTCTCCAAAAATTGCACTGGGGCAAAGAACATGTTCTCAGTATTTCACCAACCAAGTTTGCAGACTGAATTCAATTTTTAAAGGAGATTTTTCTTCAATATTTTGCACATGAGAGGGAAGTCAAGTGACTTCAAAATGGGGCTAAAGACTAGACTGGTGCATGTCCAACCATGGTCCAACTATTTGAAAAGAATGACCTCTTCATTCAGTGTCAATAGTCTGGTGGCTTGACTATGGAGAAATGTGTAGTAAATTGAGTCTAGTTCCCGCTTCAAGCCACATTTTTCTTAAATTCTTTTTGGATGGTTGATTGATGCAGTACTGAAGCTGTGTTGGACTGGTTGTTTTAGGTGCCAGTCTATTTTCTTGTTTTGCATGTTTTCAATACCTTAAGTTTTGGGACTCTCATACACAGTATTGAGAGTCCCAAATTTTCGGACTAGATTAGAGCTGGAGTTACTCAAGCTACACTGGATGTATTTAATTACAAACTTGAAGTTGCACACTAATAATTTCTGAGAATTATTAATCTGAGATTTTAATTATTTCCAATTTTGTTAAACACGTCTAACATAAATGTTATTTTTTGTTTAAATCATGGAGCTAAATGAAAATGAAACTGCACTCCCCTAACTTTCTAATTGTACACAGACTCACAGTCCAACAAGTGGCGTCTGGATGTATGTTACATTCTTTCCAGTTAATTATGGCCATGTTGTCGGCATTAGATCACCACAATTTCGTGAACGTGTATTTGGGATACTTACAGCAAAAAATGGGTGGTGCATCTGATACTTTCGTCACTCTTTGCTGTAGGCCTACTAACTACAACAACAACCAACAACACACCGGCCGGTGTTAAACTACCGTTGACTCTTGAGGGCGCTGTGGTGACTATATGCAGAAACTTGTCTTGTACAAATTGTATATAGTCGTATCGTATGATAGACCGTACCAAAGATCCTAGTAGCGCGCGCTCTAGGATCTTTGGACCGTACCCATTGACCTCTAAATATACATTAGCAGAGGTCAGTGATTAGACTTTGTCCTTTAATTGAAGGACATCCAGCCAGCCAGAGCTTTTAGTACTTCGAAGCATTGCCATTGCATTGGAAATGAGTGCGCTTTATGAGGCATTGGCCATTGCCATTGGGGCCTACATCTGAGACTGAGACGAACTGCGAACAGGTAGGTAATGAGGTAGGCCTAAGGTGATTTGTTTTAGTGTTAGTGAATTGAACAGGGAGACTAGTTCTCAGTAGTAGTAGTATCAAATTTGTCGAATATTATTTTCTACATTTGTTTTTGATGTGGTTTTGTAAAAAAAAAAATTAAAAAAAAATAAAGTAAGAAAATGGGGAAAAAATTCCATTACTGGATCACAACTTTACTTTTGTTGGTTCGTGTGGTACCAACTGGAAAGCTGGGCAACAATTGTTTTTTTACCAAAAATAGGCCTACTTTTCAAATTTGCAGCAACTATCACTATGGTCCTTAGAATTAAAAGAAGATTATTCAAGTTTAAAAAAAGTATTTTCAGAGTGACAAAAAGTGTAAGCATGCGGTAAGAACTAACAACAAGTAGAGGGGTCCTGAAGTACACTTCAATTACTAATACTATGATACTGTCGAGCGCAATTTGAGTCCCCCACGCAAGTTTAAACTTGCGCGTGCAAGTTTAAACTTGCGCGAGGGACTCCTGAAGCACGCAAATTACACCGCGCCATTTTCATTTGCGTGCGCAAGTTTAAACTTGTGCAAAGGCGATTGCAACCTTCTTTTGCGGGCGGGATTTTCATTGATGAAGATTTTTTTTTTTTCAAAACACGAGTACATGGAGAAATAATGGAATATATGAATGAATAAAGATATAAATAAAAAGGGGAATTCAATTAGCGTCAATGAAAAGAAACATTGAGATTTAGCAGTGCTTATCAGAGAAGTTGTTTCAGGGTACGTGGGGGCGGGGCCGGGGAGGGGACCGGGCAAGCAATCAAGTTAAGCACACTAGCGGCGATTGCTTGGAAAGTGTACTGAAGTTGTTCAATAGAGACCAGCTCCAAGTTTTTTGCTTTGTAAACCTAATTGGCATTTTATTTATATTCTTGAATGTAAATAAATCATAATTTCCTAGGGCTGGTGTAACCCGCTGTTAACGTAAAAAGAATGATTATGATCCCTTCAATTGTTCAAGTTTTGACATAATAGTAATCATTTACATTATTTTTAAAACGCTTATGTATTCTACAATTAAAACAGTACTTATTCTTAAAAAAATACTAATTGATTCAACAATTAATAAATTGGATGGTACAATAATTCATATTGTTTTTTGAATACTTGCATAACATTTCAAGCGCTGTGTACACTTCAAAAATGCATAATTTGAATTTTTTTTAATGAATTCATTACTAATTTAATTAATTAATTAAATTTATTACTTTAACAAATATTTTTTTATTGCAGGCTCAATAATTCATATTAAAAATTCTTTACAACTTAAAAACGCTATGCATATAAAATGGTAATTATTTTAAAAAGTAAAAAAAAAAAAAAAAAAATTATGAATTTAATAAAATGTTTCAAAAAAAGGCATTAAGGCATTGTCTCCCGAAGCTCAGTCATGCTATTAAATCGGAGAAAAAAATCTGTTTAAAAATAATGTTACATATCTGCATGAGTTTACCAGGGAAAAATAATTTAGCGGCTCTGTATGCGTGGCCGGGAAAATCTATGCAGTGCGCAAGTTTAAACTTGCGTGCCCAATTTGTAGCAAGGAAATGAATGCGCGCGCAAGTTTAAACTTGCGCGGGGGACTCACTTTGCGCTCGACAATACTAAATTAAAGCCCGACACATTCTGCTCATAATTTTATATTTGATTGTAGATCACGAAGCTCCACTCAAATCGAGCAGGATTCAAGTTGTCCACAATGCTACGCATCCAATCAAGCCATCTGCCTCGATGCTTGAGGGCCACCGGCAAGTATTGGGCCCCTCCTGTCCAGGCCTCTGTGACCTATCGTCAGGCTAGTGCAGCGTCAACCTCACAAGACCAAACAGTCAATGCCCTACCCCAGCAGGCTAGAGTTGTTATCTGTGGAGGGGGCATAGCGGGTCTGTCAGCGGCCTATAACCTGGCCAAACTGGGAGAGACAGACGTCGTGCTGCTGGAACAAGGAAGGTTAGACCATTGTATAATTTTGGTATTATTGAGAAATAGACTACTTGGAAAATATGGCAGAATTTTCTCCGCTTCAGCCTATAGACCATTTGCACTGCGGCCATGTTTGAACACACCTCAAAAATGGCGGCTGAATGCAATCCATCTATACATTTTTACATAGAATCACTGTCACCGACTGGTTTATTGTGCTGAACCTTTTTGCTTACCGGTTTTCCAGCCAATGTTTTGTGTAAGTTTCATCAACAATAATGTGAAATGTGGACCTACATGTATTTTACTCAGGAAATATCAAATTTTGAATGCAGTGTGGTATAACATTTTTTCCTTTCCATTGACAGTGCATAGAAAACAATTCTTATCGTAGCCTTAATAAATGAGATTTTAACAAAATGCTTATAATATGCCATTGATATATTTACAAGCATAGCAAATTTGAGCAAATTCTCTCTATGCACATCTGAGATCTTGGCCCAACTTCACAGCTCTGCTTATTACTATAAGCGAAAAAATTGTCAGCAGAGTATAAAATTACACAAGTTTGAAAGGTTTATTTAATTTATTGAAATATTTCTTATTTTAACTGGGTAGCCAACCCAAGGCAATCCCCTGGTCTCCCTCAGGGCCCTGTGACGAGAAGACAATTACAATAAAGAGAAGAAATGACAGTTTTAGACTTTGGAGGATAACCCCAGAAGAATATTCTGGGGAAACCCACAGAATCAGGCAGGGACTGAAAACCCAATCCACATGTTGGCCCAGGCAGGAATCGAACCCGGGTCACAGCGGTGGAAGGCGAGTTAAGTGCCGCTACGCCAACCGCACTCCCCCTAAGAGGTTAAAATGGCAGCTTTATTATTTGTTCACAGCTTCACATGTGGAACAACATGGCATGCTGCGGGGCTGGTAGGCGTTCTCAGACCACACCCATTGATTTTTGCTCTGTCCAAAATGAGTGCCAACTTGTATGCCAATCTGGAAGAAGACACTGGCCTGAGTTCAGGTCAGTCCCAGATTTAGGACTTTGCAAACATTAATTTCATGGATAACATATCAGTTAGGTTTTGGCGATACTCCATCCTGTCTTTGACCTTGTGAGACAAAAAAATCACATCTTGTAATGTTTGAATGGGACTTAATGTAACCGCCGCTTGGCCAGTAAGCTCGCCACGTTTGGCAGGACAGTTTGAATCGATGTAGCAGTCAGTGACTTTACTTGCATTTTCTTTGGAGATCGAACGATTTAATTTTCAGAATTGGGGTTTTCCCTTTTCACTTATGTACCAGTACCCCCCCCCCCCAAAAAGAATCTCCGTCAAAAATTGATAATAGAATTATATGGTATATACATGCAGGGTATAGGAAAATCGGATCAGTCATTTTGGCACAGACTAAGGATCGAATGACTTACCTGAAGAGAGCTGCTGCCCTCGCTAGGTGAGTATTGAAGAGCTTTTCTTTGCTATACTGGCATTAAGTATAATATTGGCGTGAAACTCAATTTCTGCGTGTTTTCTTTCATGGGTATTTCTCGTGATCTCTAGTATTGTCCTTGTTGGTAATTTCTTTTGGCTTTAAAGACTTGTTTTCTGTTCAACTTTTAGGAACTTTTCAAATGATATATTCCTGAGGTGGATTAAAGACAGATATCAGATTACAACTATTTACCATTCCCCCCCCCCCCCTGATCAATTCTGTTGTATAAGTACATGTGACAGTTCAAAGAAATATACAATATTTGTAATTTTCAGAAATGGATGGATTTGGGGGTTAGTATCTTATAGCAAACAATGTTACAATGACCTGTATAGATGCCGGAAAAACCAAGGAAAAAAATGCTATTCTTGTAGTCTAGTTCCCTGATTCTATTTCAGACGAAACAGAGCAATTTCAGGGAATTGTCAGGTCAGGGAACCAGACTAGCTGGCTTGCATCCATTCACGGCTGTGCAACCGACTGGAAAAAAATATGGACTTAATTTGGTAAAGTTGGGGCAGTATTTGAAAAAAGGTTTTGTTTTTTTCAATGATGGTGGGCTGACCATTGTTGGAAATTGATACAAACATTCCACTTTCCTTAAAAATGACAGCAGACCAGGTGCCATGATTTCCCAGGATGCCATGATTTCACAGGACTAATATTCACTTACAGCCAAGGAAGATATTTCATCATGATTTGGTGGTTGTGTTTTTGATGTTAGCAATTATTGTAAATTACCTTTACATGTAAATAGATTGTGCCAGGTCGTTTTGTGCAAGTTCTCTTTTATGTCTAATTTTACGTTTTGAATTCCATTCGATTTCCAACTAGAGCAAGGAATATAGACCACACTCTGCTGGCACCCTCTGAGGTCAATTCCATTGTCCCCTGGGTCAGAACCGATGACCTTGAAGGAGCGATACATATCCTTGACGACGGCGTCACAGACCCAACAGACACTGCTTTGTCTCTAGCAAGGGGTGCCAAAAACAGAGGTAGATAATCTTACAAGGGCTGAGCTACTATGCCAGAAATCCCAAGATAGCAGTAGTTATTACAGCTCATACATATTTATGAATCCAATACGCTTCTTTCATTGGTTGATTCCCCAATGGTCAGGGAAGTAAAAGTAGTTAACACGAAGGCGCGCATGACGTACATCCTATCAACCAAGAAAATAGTGCATCAAGATTAGCTTCTGTGCTGCTAACTACTTACAACGGCATTCTTACCCATCTTACCATCTTTCTTCCACAGGTGTCAAGCTTGTGGAAGGTGTCCAAGTCAAAGCTGTGCTGTCGGAAGACGGAAAGGTTTCTCAAGTTCAGACGTCCCTCGGTGACATCCAATGTGACTACTTTGTCAATGCAGCAGGACAGGTAAGAAACTGTCAATGTGGAACTGACTCCATGCAGGGACTGTAGAGGGCAGTGCACATGAGCCATATGGGACACACTGCTTCATGCACCAGTTCTTGCGAGTGTGTATTACCGTCTTAATGGTTATCTGATTCTTTTGTGTTTCAGTGGGGTCGAGATGTTGGGTTGATGAGTCGTCCCATAGTCAATGTACCAATGCACTCCACGGCCCATGGATACCTGGTCACTAAGCCTCTACCAGGACTGGATGTTAAGACTCCATGTAGGTAAACCTTGTTCTTGGCACACATCTATTGTTTTTCTTTTTGTCATTTGCTATTTCTTGTTAAGATTTTTTTATTGTAAAAGGTATACTTTCCGTTGTCCGATTTTATTTTTCCTTTTTAATTTTCATTTTGCTAGTTTTAGTAAGTTGTTTGGTCAAGAAAAAACAGTGAAAACACTTTTCATTTTGCTAGTTTTAGTAAGTTGTTTGGTCAAGAAAAAACAGTGAAAACACTTTTCATTTTGCTAGTTTTAGTAAGTTGTTTGGTCAAGAAAAAACAGTGAAAACACTTTTCATTTTGCTAGTTTTAGTAAGTTGTTTGGTCAAGAAAAAACAGTGAAAACACTTTTCATTTTGCTAGTTTTAGTAAGTTGTTTGGTCAAGAAAAACCAGTGAAAACATTTTTCATTTTGCTAGATCTAGTAAGTTGTTTGGTCAAGAAAAAATAGTGAATTTATAGTGGAAAAACAATGTTATCTCGGTTTTTCAGATGTACGTGACTATGACAGTTTAAATTACATTCGTGAGTGGAGCGGAGGTCTGATGTGTGGTTATTTTGCCCCCAAAGCTAAGCCAATCTTCCACGACGGAATTCCTGAAAAGTCTGCATTTTTGTCCCTCCCAGAAGACTGGGACCACTTCCGTAAGTCTAATGCATCCTAAACGAAGATCGATGCGCTGAGTGCAAGTATACGACTTGCTCACAGTCGTACCTATGATGGGTGTTACCAATGCAGTGAGGGGGGGGGGGACGGGTTTTGCACAGCCTTTACAATTTTGTTTTCATGAAAAAAATGTTAGAAATTTATTCATCGTATTTTGCCTGTATTTTTATAAACACTGTATACTCAGTGTTGTCCGAGGGCTTGTCGGTAAAAATTCACAAACAAATCAGTGAAGGATAGAACCCAACAATGGGAAAACCATTCAAACATTTTTCCCGTTTTGCATTGGGTTTTTTGTGAATAGAATGCGCCCTGGATTTCTGAACAATACAGACTTCCAAAAACTTCCTTTTTTGCAGAGTACCACTTGGACGGTTTTCTCCATCGGGTGCCAGCCGCTGACAAGATGGAAGTCAGGCAGCTGTTTACTGGGGCAGAGTGCTTCACTCCGGATCTCATGTTTCTATTTGGGGAGGTTCATGAGGTGGGCAGCTCAACTTCAGTTTTACTTTTAGAGGCCCTCACCCAATTTTAACACATTTGTAATAATCGTTTTAATGAGCTTTTTGAGGTGCTTATTACATTCTACACAACATGTCTCATAGAATTTCACAAATATTACCCCTGTTCTTCAGGCTGTGAGACCATTTTTCTGCAGTAGCTCGAGATCAGCCCATGGTCTCTACCTTCACAGGTACCCATTTATACATACCACTCTATGGCACTCCACATGCATTCATTAGAACTCTGAAATAAACACATCTACTGAACCCCCCCCCCCCCCCCCCCCAAAGGAAGATTCACAGCCCAAGCCAATCAGTACTAGTAATGAGTGCAAAACATATTTTCTCATTATGTTTTTGCCTGCCAAGATGAGGAACTATTACCTGATGACAGGTTTCAGCTCCTTGGGTATCACCATGTCTGGCGGCTTGGGACAACTCTTAGCTGAGCTGATCGTTCACGGAGAGACTTCCCTCGGATACTGGTCAGTCAACCCTCAACGTTTCTCACCTCAACAGAACAACAAGGCGTACCTTAGAGAGAGGGTTACAGAAATCGAAGGTATGGAACCATTGGGGAAGATATCGTCCAGGGTAAAACCAAATTGTAAAATTTGCATAAACTGCTAAATAAAGGGCTCTCTGTTCGAGAATCAAATGTACTTTCCTTTCATAAAGATTCTGCTTGGATCAAAAACATCCTACCCTCTAACATCTACGATTTGCTGCAGGGACCAACTATAAACTCAGCTACCCATTTGGCCAGTACAAGACAGGGAGGAAGCTACGATGTACTGCGCTGTATGCCAGACTGGCCCAAGCGGGGGCAGTGTTTGGGGAGATGATGGGGGTGGAACGACCCAAGTGGTACGTGGAAGAAGGCGACACAGGTCAGTGTATACATGTATCTATCGGGATCAAAAATCTCTGGAAAATATTTACTTTCTGGATTTGTTTTGTGTCCAGACTTTAGGATCAGCCTTTTGGCGAATGAAAGTGTCCAGCATCTTTTTGATTGCATGAGAAATTGCAGAATGCAGATTCGGTTACCTCATCCCCCATAGTGTGTGCTTACCTTCGGCATATATCACAAAGTAAAAATCGACCAATAATGTTATCGATTTGGATCTGTGTGGGTTGGTCTTACAGAAGAGTTTGTGGAGGACATCCAGCGCGGGACGTTCTCCAAGCCTGGATGGTTTGACATGGTGAAGGCCGAGTACTGGGCTTGTCGTGAATCTGTCTGCGTGATGGATATGTCCTCATTCACCAAGTTTCAGTTAGAGGTATGTAGAGTGTGTCAAATCATTGCATTGGTGGAGTGCTATGGCCTTGTGGTCTGATGCATCAAATTCAAGATCTGTTGATCCTGCCTGTCAGGCAAACAGTGCGCACTGACCAATCAGATCAGGACTTTTGGTCACCTAGTGCGCATCACTGACCAATCAGATCAGGACCTTTGGATCAGGTGACAAGGGTAGCTCGGTCAAGCTTGGTCATAAGAACTGTGGGAAATTTACATACACCATAGGTGGGCGGCGTTTATTGCTGAATCTGGAACGGTCTATATCGTCAATTTGGGGTTCAAGTCCAGCCGTTGGGCTTGTGGTGTGTCAGTGTCCTTGGGCAAGACACTTTACCACTAGTTGCTTCTCCCCTCCCAGGAGTAAGTGGTTACTGAGGCCACAGGTAGTTATTGTGTTTGAGATGACAGCATCAAGCTGTATACTCCCGAGGGAGCTGAGATAGTCTAAGGAATGTTTGAATGATGCGAGCAGCTGAGAATACTGGACAAGATCTTATAAGTGGATTCGCACATTGCCTTAAAATCTTAAATGGGTGTTGTGCACAAAAATCGTTCGTAAACCATGAGTGTTAACTCGGGTAACAAGGGCAGAGGAATGTCTAAGTTGTAGCTAATTTGAATAGCTTGTGACTATAAATCAGAGAAAAGCAATTCAAAATAAATTTTGTTTCTGGCTTTTGCTATTTATAATGTATCTTGTCAGGGCAAATCAGCTACGTCGTTACTCCAGCGTCTGTGTCCTAATGACATGGATGTTCCCGTCGGCACTGTGGTGCATTCTGGGATGCTTAACGAGAAAGGTTGCTATGAAAACGATTGCAGTATAGCCCGCTTGGGCGATGAAAGGTGAGTTATGTTTACTCAACGAAAAACAGACCAGATATGATTTGTGCATATCTTTGATTGAATTTGTCCTTTCTGTAAATCCTGTGGCCTTCCATTTGAACCTGAAGAGGACCACAAAATGCTGTAATGAGCAAATCCTTTTTCCTGATGTGTAATACAAATGTTAGAAATCAAATCTTGACTGAGTTTGTTTTCGTCCTGATTTGTAGATATTTCATCGTCTGTCCCACTATTCAGCAAGTCAAGGGATTTCACTGGATCGCGAGGCATCTGCCTAAAGATGGCTCGGTCAAGCTACGAGATGTGTCCGGTCAGTACACCGGTCTGAATGTCCTGGGACCAAAAGCCAGAGATGTCCTGCAGAAATTGACCAACACGTCACTCAACACAGCAAGCTTCAAACCATTCTGTTACAAGGTCAGCTGCCCAAATAAAAAGGGGTTGCTGTATTTATTAACACAGGGGCATACCGAAACAAAAAGTGTTGTATCACGCGGTAGTTAACATTTGTACATGGACAGAATACTGCATAGATTTATGCAAATTTATGCAAATTAATGAAAGCTGCAGATCCAAAAGGGCAAAAGGATTTAACTTTGAGTTGTTTGCATAGTTTATTCATACTTTGTTGGTTGATGATTGTTTGTTTCTGCAGGAAATCAACCTTGGATTTTGTACCGGGATCCATGCTATGACCATAACCCATGCCGGAGAGGACGGCATGTTGCTCTACGTTCCCAATGAGGTATTAAACCTTCACCTTCATCTCACAAGGAGTCCAAAGACTGCTGGGCTCTTGCTTATGTAGTAGTTGAAGTAGTGGATGCTAAAGTTCAGTGGACCATTAAGGTGGGAGATTCTGGAACAAGATGCTAAGATGCCGGGTAAGATGCTAACATGCCGGGTGGGATGCTGAAGTGGACTGTGAGTGCATCTTAGCATCCTGTTCGAGAACCTCCCGCCTTAACGGTTCAAAAATTCCCACTTTGATACGGAATGCGTATTGGCCTGCCATTCCATTACCAACTCTTCCCATTGTTTTCTATTGCAGGGTGCCGTCCATGTTTTTGACATGCTGATGAAAGCCGGTCGCGACTACGGCATACGCCCAGCGGGATATCACGCGCTCCGATGGCTGAGGGTAGAGAAATTCTACTCCTATTGGGGGATCGACTTCAACAATGAGCACACACCATTTGAAATTGGCCGAGAAATGAGAGTGAAATTTGATAAGGTAAGATTTAGTGCCCCTCTCAAAAATGTTGAAGGGGGGAGAAGCCTGCCCATTTTGCCTGTTAGTCCATGTACCGCCCTAAACCGCCCTGCTACAACACATAGTGTGGCATTGAAGAGGCCCAGGTGCACAATGACCGGGGCGTAATGGTTTGGTTTATTGGCCTATTGTTCACATCTTATCCCAGATATGGAATGCTGTGACTCCTAAGCATTGCAGTCTTTTTACCGTGCCGCTCCTATAAACTCAAGTGCAAAGTTCTTTTGACATGCAACGTGTTTTTTTCTCCGAGTCTTTTACCTCTTCTGATTTGACTTTTGAATGACAGGGAGTAGAGTTCATAGGTCAGTCAGCGTTGCTAAGGCAACAGCGTGAGGGCATCCATCGTCGGTTAGTTGCATTCGTCATGGAGGATCACAAAGTGGACAAAGATCTCTGGTGTTGGGGCAGTGAACCCATCTATCGTAACGGTCAGCTGGCCGGAATGACCACGTCCAGTAGCTTCAGCCCCACCTTAGGCTCCATGCTGTGTCTAGGCTGGCTGAACAATACTGACCCTCAGACCGGTCAGACGCAAGTGGTCACTCATGACTATGTGACCAAGGCTAAGTATGAGATTGATATCGCTGGACAGATGTTCCCAGCTAAGGCCAACCTCTACCCGCCTAAACTGGTCACTAAACAGCCCCTACATGGCTAAAAATAAGATACATGTACCTACAGTATTAGGTCAAGCTCAGGTGTGGAAGGGGAGGGGCAATATACATTCTTGAAAGCGGATGAAGCGAGTGTCAAAAAACACTTATTCTTGTGTGCTTTTGGCCTTCTTCCCTGTATACTCCCCAATGGCGTCAGTTTAACAGCAACTCAGATTTGGTGGTTTGCTTTTTTTTTTTCGGAATTTTTGGCAGTTTTAGATTTTTTTTGTTTTTTTGTTTGGTCAATTCAGTCCTACCTTCGTAATAAGTACAATATTTTGTTTATCAAGAGCTTCATATTTCTGTCTCATAATAAAAGCCAAATCACAAATCAAGATTAGTTAATTCCAAATATACTGGCATTTTATATCCAGAAAGTGATTAGAAAAATATTTTGAAATGTACAATTCTCTGTAAATTTTTATATAAAAGCTTTTGCACTTGTGGCTAATGAGAAGTTATGGTTGGTTTATACCATAGGACTAGTTCCACGGAATTAAAAAATGTAAAGGAAAAATCCTTTAAAAAAAAAAAAAAAAACAAAGAAAGATAAATCTTTGCATATGTCAAGTGCTTTGTCTTTCCTTCTGGATAATAAAAGTGGAATTGTGGTGAGCTAATGAGACCGACAAGCTAAAACATAAGGCCAAAAAAAAAAGTCTCCGGTTTCTGGTATGCTCGCGCGTCGCCGTAGCCATGCGCGTCGGCAAAATGAAAAAGTTTTTTTTTCAATGAAAGATGATATCTCAAAACCGCCAAACTCACTGGTTTGACTGGAATCCTGCTGCTGCACAATTTTAACGTGTTTTTAGATTGGGTTATGGTCGAGAATAAGCTTTATGTGACCTCTCTGGACTCCCATATATTTGCACTAAGTTTAGTCGGGCACCATTTGCAGTCATCAGCACACATTTGAAGCAAAAAAATCAGGTAAAAAAAAAAAAAAGCCGCGTCGCCGCACCACTTTTTGGGCAAGCTCCATACCAGAAACCGGAGACTTTTTTTTTTTAGCCTAAATCAAGATTTTTAATCCCCAATCATTTGTCATATGTGCGGGTTGACATGCCTCCGAGCAACAGTGATTAGATTTGCTTTTGCGGTCCCTGACCCACATAATCGTTTTCTTTGTGATTTTTATTGTCTCATTGGTTATTGTTCAACTCCCAATTGGAAAGCCCACTCCAGCTGTCTTTAAAGTGCATGCCCTCTACTTCATGATTTTTTAATAATTTCAATTTCAATTTCAATTTAAATTACATGTTTATACGTTTCTTTTGTTGTGCGTTTTCAACCACTTTTGTGTAATTTTTGTTTGGTTTTGTATCACTGTTTGTAATTCTTTGTTGAGGTCGAATAAATAATAATAATAATAATAAAAAGATACTTGCATTTTATATTCAGATACTGGATGCTTAGAAAAAGATGCTGAAATATTAAATTCTCTGTATTTTTTTTAACTCAATCTTCATAAATTTTTTAAAGTAGATAGTAGCGTTTGCACTAAATTGGGGCTAATGAGATGTTATGGTGCATGGTTTATATCATAGGAATAGTTTCACAGATATTAAACGTCTATTCTTAACTCGAAATATACAGGACAAATCCTTTATAAAAAAAAACACCCGAAAAAAGGTTTTTGAGTCGGGTCACAACGAGATGCTCTGTCAATCAATGTAGCGATGCCCTTATGGACCCCTCAGCCCTCATTAGCATGTCCACCCCTTCCAAGCTGAGTGATGTTCCTATAGGAGCTTATCAGCAACCCATCAAGATCAAGAACAACTACTTTCGTTATTAGACTTGTTAATTAGACTTGTTTAAGTCTCTCACTGACTGACTGTCGCGTGTGAGTCCAATATAGTTGACCTAATGTTATAAATTGCTGGATTAGATGTTAAAATTCCAAGGACAGAAATATGCAGAAATAAACTTTAATGGAAATTCAAGATTGCTTGCCCATATAAGCAACATGTATTCGGTGATATTTTATAAAAAGAACAATTCAATTAACAATGTGCTAAAAATGGACATCTATTATATTTTTTATTAAAAAAAAGGGTGTAAATTTTTTCCAAGAATGTTTGTATACTTTGCTAACAATAATCACCATAAAGATAATTATTATATTTCTAATCATCAGTTCTGATGATTAATCATAAAAATGGATGTTTATTTCAGTCTATTAGCGCGAAGAAAACAACAGTAGACTAGATACGTATCACAATCAAAATATAGCTATAGAAAAAACACGGGGTGTATTTAAAGAAAGGTAAAACAACAAAAATGGATGATGTTAAAATTACAACTGTCTATCTTGAAAAATAAAAATATCTGCTGTTTTAATGTAAATGGTGTCCAGTCATTCTTGTGATTTGCAGTGGGCATAAGGTGGGATATAAGTCAATGGAAGGCTATTATTAGTAAACAGTCCTTTCAGAGGCATTCACTCTGAACATGCTCCGACAGTGTTCAAAACTAGTCTATTGTTTTCAAGGGCGGATGGGGGGAGGGGGCATGCTCTTTAGTGGGCCCCGAACCCCACGCCGTCATGTTTTGGACCCACTTTTGGGGGACCAAATATCTTCTGGCCCCTCCCCCCAAAAAATTGTTCTGGATCCACCCTTGATAATGTTTGGATTTGGCCTACCTATTTTGATGAACACCATTATTGATTAATGTCCAAACCGAGCTTTAGAGTAAAGATTAACATCACCGGCCGAGGCAAAACGAATAAAAACATCAAGCTGATTATATACTTAAACCAGATCATCAGCAAATCGTCTGGAGTAGGCCCAAGACGACGGTGTACGGTGCGCCCCTAATGGCACAACAATAATTAGACCAGCGCGCCTGTATACTTGCACTAGCGTCTTGGCCATTTCGTGTCAGCGGCTTAACCTTTCTTTATTTTCTCTTTAGGCTTTCATAGGAAACCAATCACCGATCGATTCTAATACTCTTATTTAAGGAGGTATAGAGTATTGTTTTGGGACCGCAATAAAAATAAGTTTTGATAACTTTTTTTGCGTTATCCCTGCTTTTTCCACTGAATGGGGACTCTCTATGTTTAATTTCTTACTTACAGTTCAAAATATGTTTTCGTGTTATTTCTTAACTAATCTGTATCTTTATTGTGGGAATTGCGAATAAATCAAATCAAATCAAATCAAAATCCAGATCACCTTCAAGACGACGACCGAGTTATCTCAAGTCCTCTGGGTAGCCTATTTCTAAACCAACATTGGTGCATCCATGGCTTCCAACATTAATCCTTCCAATACGCACTTTTCTGATTATCTTTACAACCTCAACCCCAACAGGTCTTCATCTTTCTCACACCAACCGATCCCTTTGAAGCTAAAAAACCAATGAAATGAATGGAAAACAAATCGCATGCATGGTGTCACATTAAACTTCGTATCTTTAGTCCATGTTTGTCTATCTGCAGATAAACTTTTATAATTTCGAGCATTAGGCTATGTTTGTAATTATGTGGATTTTCGCAATATTGTCGCAATGCTTGACTTAAATTCGAATTTTCGAATTAAACAGTGATTAAAAGTCACGTGACCATTCAAGCCTCTCCCTCTGATGAGGGATAATTTTAATGATAATATGACTTTTGCAATGGACAAATCTCTTCGTTAGAAGAAATGTATTTCCTTGTTTTGTGTTGTGTTATTACTTCTCCACAGATGACTCTAAACTAGCCACCACCCAAGTTCCCTTAACTTCTTCAATTTAGCGTCATACCCATGAAGATATGAGAAATGCATTACAATTGTTTGGTTCATGTTTTGCTGTCTCCAGCCAGGGACCCGGAAGTACCACCTACCGTCGGGGTAGTTGACGTGACTGAGGGTCTTCATTGTCAACCCCCCTGTAACATTCCTAACAAGCTCTCTATTTATCAGACGGTTAAAAACCTTTTGATCTAAAGTGTTCCTATCTGTTGTATTCAACAACTGTATCCATTCCCTTACCAGACGAAATGTGTTTTCTGTTGGACGATAGTAAGTAAAACCGTCGCAAAATACGGGTTTCCTTGGAGGATCGACCTCGTTATGTGCGGCAATATCAAAGTCACCCTCGAAATCTTTGAAGGGATCTCTAACCCAAAAGGTATCGGCATCGGCAAAGAGCACCTCAAAGCCCGACTCGAGAAACTGTAAAATATAACGCGGACGTCTTCGGACGAATTGATTGTAATTGCTCCTGCCCACCAAAAGTCTTTGGGAGGTAGTCAGTTCCCCATTAGTCTTCTGGACAATCAGGAATGGGTAGATTTCCGTCTTCTTGGCCAAGTAGTCATAAGATTGCTGATCTTCGGTGATAACGGTCACGTTGGGAAAAGATGCAGTTTTGAATCTCCTGATGCTTTCCAGCATGTTTAAGGTCATGCTTAAGAAGCCCGCGTTGGTAGTGGTAAGCACCATGCTGCGTGCCTTCTCGACAGCTGCTCGGTTATTGCTTGTTGACGACTTTGCTGACGTGAAAACTGCCATCCTATGCACGAACTGGTTGGCTGCGAACGGGACACACAAAACAAATATAACCAGATGTTGTTTCCACATCGATATGATGCACCTGCTGCCCCGAATGTTCATGTTTGTTCTTTTCATATTCCGTACTGCATGCACAAATACACTTTTACACTCTTGAATTTAAAAATGTGGGCGGGGGGATCCCCCAAAAGCAGGGTTTGTCGAGTAGGGATCCCCTTTAATTGAGTGAAGGTCCCCTATGTAGGTCCAAAAACTTCATCCGTCACACGGACGGGGAACTCATAGGCCTATCTGCGAACTTTCTTTGAACCGCGTTCCGCTATAGGGCTTGCATTTAATTCGCCTAATAATACTCACCAATAAAGAGAAAACTGACGCAACAAGTGAAGCACCAAGCAATCATTAGTTTTCTTTGACGACATGCCATCGCGACTTGTAAACTGTAAACATTTGAGAGGAAAAACAAAACATTTTCGGTGTTATACTTGGTATAAGCAGGCGAGTGAACTGTTCATATCGCAAAAGTGAAAGTGAAGCGAATTTCACGACGTTAAGATATAGAAACCAAACCGTCCCATGGTAATTATCGAGCAAAGGAATTTCAGCGTACATCATTTTGGTCCTCAGAAGGCGAGCCATTCCTGGTCTACTCATGATTCTTTTAAAAAAATGTTGCTTCAAACACACGTGACCTTATTATTGTGTGACCTCATTTCCAACAGCGAATTACCAAATAAAGTTCCTGAGCTGTTTTCGAGTTTCATCCTGAAATGTATTTTCTAAATTGAAAGTTTTCTAGCAATACAAATGTTCTTCACTTTTGAATGAGACATCGACCAAAAAATGGGCCTATGTTACTTATTGAATTACTGATTCCATCCACTACACTACACCAGCAAGAGTCCGACAGTCTCCTGATGACGAACAGAACATACTGTTCGAAACGTCGAGTTAAACCACTGGTTCTTCTCAGAACCACACAACTCGCTAAGAGGTATACCATTAGCATGGTGTTACCACAAGCCTCCCATTCATTGACCGTGCTCACCATGCAAACTTGCCTTGGATTATTACTTTACAAATTTGGAATTATTGGCTGCCAGACGATAAAGTGCGGGCCGGGAGCCAGTCTGCTCGCAAAGCGGATCTGTTTGAGCCCAAAGCAAAAAAGCCTTTTTATTTTTAGAGGGCTACAGACGTCCAAACAACCCCCAAAAATTTAAAAGGTTGTTTTTGGGGGTTGGAATAAAAGATACAAGTTGATTTTTGTTTTTAAATCGAAGTTGTTGAAGAGCACCAAGAACGCATGCATTTTATGCAACGCCGCCACTCTGACGTTGCCGGCTTTACCAATATCATTATTCGTTGCTGAAAGTAAATTATCAGCATGGCAACAAACTAGTTGCTGAGTTAATGTAAACAAACGTGGTTTTCGACATTTTCCTCGAAAATATAATTATGTTTTGTATATTTCCTGTTACCTATAGACCTTCGAAATTAAAGCAACCACAAACACTATACACTTCGGCGATCTTTGACGTGTCGCTTCTGAATCTACATTTGCAGTAAAATGGTAATTTAATCGGAGAAGTACCAATCGGAAACGGTACAGTTCTTCCTGTCACCCCTTGCACTCTTGCGTTGTTGCACTATCGTATTTCTAGAGCACTTTGGCGCCTTATCCTGTGGACGCACCGGTACTACAGGTCATTAATGAGGTGTATAATTTCATGGGCCTACACAAATATCTACAAATACGTTATACAAAGAGTGAAAAGTAAACGTATGTGAACATTAATTTGGATATATATACGGAAAGTAATATAGTTTAAATGGTACGGAGCCCCCTAAGGGACGTTCAATATTTTGTTTTTATTTCGTACGCACAAGATATATCTCAGCCATGTTATGTCTTTTCGCCGACAATTTCAGATGTTATTAATTTTTTCCGTGTATTTCTTTTTATTTTTTATTCCGTGTATGCCATTTGATTGTTTTCTTTGTCTATTTTGCGTAAGATAATAATTAATTTGTTGTCAATCATTCATTTTGTTTATTAACTTGTGTTTGTTATTTATTTGATCAGCTGCTTATCGGTTTATTATTTCATTTTCGATTATTTCCACCACATTTTTTATTGAAATAGAAGTTCATGTTAACTCTATTTAGATTCAAATATTTTTAAAATATTAAAACCAAGCAGAATCTGCCGTTGAGATGTTATAGAAAACAAATTGAATGCTTTATCTCGTGGTGTAGTAAATGATTTTAAATCGTTTAAAACATTTTTTAAAATAAATTAAATGACAAGGATCTATATGATAGTTATATAAAACAAAATATTGAGTGGCTTTAAATTGTAACATGGTTGGAATATTATCGCTCGGTAAAATCTGGACTTTTCCAGTTCACTCGGCTTCGCCTCGTGAAATGGAAAAGTCCAGATTTTACCTTGCGATAATGTTCCTCCCATTCCACTCAGAGACACTCAATATCTGTACACTATCCCTCATTATTTTCATTTATCCAATGTGTGTTGTATTTATGTTTGTCCGATTGTTTTGTTTGCCTCTGTATTTGTTGAATTGGCGTTTCGGTTTTGTTTTGTCAATGCATCTCTATAAGCCCCGGCTTCGGAAGATGCTTCCACAATTGCACATTGATTTATTGTTCTTTTTTATTCTCAGTCTATCTACATGTATAATATTAATAACATTATTTATTACTTCACTTTGTTACATTGTTTTATAAAAGTTGTGGCATTATGGAAATAAATGTTGACTGAATTGAAACAAAACCCCCCAAAATATTCAAACCGAACATCAACGCTCCTGACCACATCAATTTCTCGTTTTCTGGAGTGAACTATCGTGTCTTCGGCCTTTCCATTGAGTCGAGCCGCTGCTTTTACTGCGGAAAATATGGTCACATCAGCCGCTCTTGTAAAAAGCCCCCCTCCACCAATGACAATCAGGGCAAACACACCAGCCTTCTATACCCCCTCCCATAGGTCAATTCAGGCCACGGATCGGGGAGGGGGCGCTCTGACACACATAGGCCTAGAAACCAATAACAATTATATGTTCACCTGTCCACAACAATCATACATAAAATAAGTCTGACGGGCCTGACCCCTCCCCAGGCCCCTGCAAAAATTCCAGGATCCGCAGTTGGTCATATATTACCATTTCATGAGCATACACAATAGCTACGACGATACGCTACAAAGAGGAGAGTAAAAAGTAAACGTATGTGACAATTTGTGGTTTACATGGATACGGAAAGTAAAATGTCAACCTAATTTAAATGTATATTCCTCATGGGCAAAAGTTAGTTTTATATCAACTCAAAAAATATGGGCTTAAATATACCCTTCTTATTTTTTCTTACCGGTTGAGCAGGATGAAGCAAGTACCTGAACGCCTTGCAGGTTGGAAGAAAACGACGGTGGTCCAAGGAACGATTTCGATCTGCTCGCTAAGGTTTTAGAGAAAGTATGAATCGCACCATCCGTTTGTGTAAAGTGGAGATCTCTGATACGGCACGTCTGTTCACGTACCATTCAAACTCAACTGGAATTTAGGGTGTTTTTTTTTTTCTCAATGCGCATGCGTCCCGGAGATGTTGACGAAAAAAATGTAAAGTAAAATTGATCGTTATGCATTGGTTTCTTTTGTAAAAAAAAATTGGTTATGTCAATCAGCATGGTGTCTAACATCAAGAAATCTTTAAAAAGATTTCATCACCATCAACTGTCACAATCTTGGTTTTAAGGTATTTTTCTGGTATTAAAAGGTATTTTTTAAAATGAATCTTTTAAAGGGAAGATAGAACATTTGCAAACATAAAAAAACCGAAATGATCAAATTATCACGAAATATCTTACTGGATTGTTAGGGAATGACAGTCCAAAGCATTCTTTAAAATCGTGGCTCCTGGTGTGCCGACATCGTTTTCAAGAAAACTTGTATTTTTCCCCGACCAGCGTTGGAGAAAACTGGTTTTTTTTACACTGCTCCTAATTGTTCATATTTAGTTATTCCGCATTTTCTTTGCAATTGATTACACACCTGTGAAGGGGTACAAGCCTGCTAGACTGGTGCTCTGACCTTACAATCCCCCCAAAGTCTATAAATTGCTCCGTTTCATCTTAAGTGGGGTCAGGGAACCAAACTATACAAGAACATGCATTCCTTGGATTTCCCAGCATCTCTGAGCCCAAAACATGAAACAAGTCAGTTTAACAATATTTGCAGTAACCTAATCCTGCAAATACATTTATTTCAAAAAATTGCAGGAAAAGCAAATGTTGTACATTCCCTCAGTTAGTGCCAATATCTACCAAAAGAGCCCCTGGCCTTGCTATATCAGTTGATGCTAAGCAAAGATTGGCGGAAGGTAAGCTGTACTAAGCAAGTCAGGACAGACCCGTAGCTAGTCTCTGTTGCACCGTGTGCTTCAGAACGACACACTTTTCACGTAAATTACATCGGCGTCAGTTGTTGATTTGAATAAGCAAATTTCTGATACAGTTTGCAAAAAAAAAACGCCGGAGGAATTGTACACAAGCAACGATTTTCCCCGGGCAAATACACGAACGAAGTGTAAACACGTTTTGGGGTTTTTTTTTTGGTAGTGGCGGTTCACATGGTAAGACGTCACGTGTGAAAGAGTCAAGGGGCGGGACACGGATATGACGCAGGACAGTAAATTTGCCAACGCCGGCGCAGCCAAATCACGATTTGCATGCACTCAAAATTTCTGCTATTAGAGCATTTTGTGGGCCATGAACTTGAGGGTTTGTAAAAGAGAAGGGTGGAGCCGTGAACAGGACTGCGAGCTCGTACTTATGCGTAATTTAGATGAAATTGGGCCCTAAAACTGCTTTATTGTGCAATGGAGTGCACGGGCGTCAGTTTTCAAAATGGCGATGGGCTACCGGATAGGGGTGATTTTCTTTGGATTGAATTTTCTCCCAAAAGTCATAAATTAACCCCTCA